CTTCGGGTACCATTGCCATCAAGATTGTGCGGCGTCATGCTAGCCAGTCTCAGCAGCGGAGGTGGGGAACTCAGCTTCCTGGGCCTGACACATTACTATGGGCACTTTGCACTTGCTTCGTGGGGCTCGGGAACTGGAGGCGCTGGGCTTGTAGGTGCTGGCGCATATGCGATTGCGACCAACACGCTTGGCATAACCCCTCGCACAAGTCTGCTGGTGTTTTCCTTCCTGCCTTTGATCATGGTCTTGAGCTTCTTCTTCATCCTCCCACTTGGTCCCCTCCGAGCTGGTAGCAAAGAAGCTGGCTATGAGGCTATAGATGACGAGGAAGTGGAAATAGACGCAGACGAAGACGAGCAAACACAGGCTAGAGAGCATGATGACCTACTTGCTACTTCCATGCATTCGACCTCAGGCCGCAGCTTCACTCCTGCCAGTACAAAGCCTGCTAACGGCGCGCTCAGTAGCTTTAGAGCAAACTTGAACCGTGCAAGGGGCTTGTTCTTTCCCTAGTAAGCAACACGGTCGAACATGCCCATCTTGATACTAACCCACCACAGTATGCTACCCCTCCTCCTCGTCTACATTGCCGAATACACAATCAACCAAGGCGTTGCACCCACCCTGCTCTTCCCCCTCGAGTCCTCCCCTTTCGACGAATACCGTTCTTTTTACAGCACCTACAACGCAATCTACCAAGTCGGTGTCTTCATCTCGCGCTCCTCCACACCCTTTATACGCATACACCATCTCTACGTCCCGTCCTTTCTCCAAGTCGCTAATCTCATCCTACTCGCACTCCACGCCATGTTCGACTTTATACCAAGCTACTACATTGTCTGCGTCGTCATCTTCTGGGAAGGTTTACTGGGCGGATTGGTATATGTCAGCACGTTTGCAGAAATTACAGATAACGTACCCAAGGAGGATAGAGAGTTCAGTTTGGGCGCGACAAGTGTGAGTGACTCGGCTGGTATCTGTATAGCTGGTTTCTTGGGCATGGTCGTCGAGGTGAGCCTTTGTCGCTGGCAAGTAGATCATGGCAGGAACTATTGTAAGCTACAGTGAAGATTCATATCATACATCCAATTCACTCAATCCGCAACTCTTCGCTTGTAATTCCCCGTTCAGATGTTTTGGTTCAAAAGATATTACTTTTTCCCATGGCTGCCCTCGGTTCCCAAAGTCCAACTCACGAGAGGGGGGGTACACAACCTTACAAGCATCCACAACGATGTGCGAAAAGCCCATGTTACTCTCTTACCAATCAATCCACGGACAAACCAAGTGCCACAAAGCTTCTCGCTTGTGTGGCTTGCTGCTTTTTGCTTCTACAATACTACATCAACTACTGCTTTTTTCTTCGCTTTCTTGCCAACCCGTTCCCCATTTCCCCCCTTCCCCACCGTGGCTTACTCGTCGTTCACAACCGGGTCTGAACGCTTGGGCTGAGATTAGGAGATATGTCTGAGGTTTCTTTTTCTTTCGGTCCGAGGTAGTGCGACATGGACAGCGAAGATGGGGAACGTGCGCATGACAAGTATTCGCGTTTTCTTTTGTAAAGGGAAAAAGAAATGAGGGTTGCAATGGATGACATGAACCCTTTGATAATAAGTGATGGGTGTAGTGATGACAATGTTGGATGGTTTGTCATCTAGCTGCATGTCGAGAACGGGGTTGAGTAGATGTACATGAATTGGCAACGGTTCATACCGTGAGTAGCCCATGAATCCAGGCAGAATCCGCTGATAGACATTTAAGCACAATACATGCTCAATCTTCTTTCAGCTGTGTCTTCCACTCATGGATGAAACCAAATTAACTTCTACTAACGTTAATATGAACACGTCATTTGACCATATCGCATTGAAGCGGGTAGACGGTAATAAATTGCTCGTTTCCAAGGCTCATCTAGAATACACGTGCCTACCCCTTACACAATCACCATGCGCACTTGGTCTATATCTACAAAGTGTCCTTGAGCAGCTTGTTCATCTTGGCCATCTTTGACGACACAGACAAGTCGATGGTGCGGTCGGCAATCTCGACAATAAGTCCACCGCGGATCTCTGGGTTAACCTTGGGGACGACCTTGAGGGTTTGGCCACTTGTGACGTATTGCGAGTTCTTGATGGCGGCCTCGAGACGGCTGATCGTCCTGTTGTCGAGAGGCTGTAGTTTGTCAGTAATTTTGTTACCCCCAAATTGACTGATTCCTCCCTCCTCCGTTCACTTTCAGAGAGAGATAAACCCAGAATTCAACGTACCGCAGCGCTGGTAACCACAAGCTCAACCTCACCTCGGTGCGCACCCATGAGCACACTGAACTTCTCTACAATACCCTGTAGTACGCCCAATCGGTTGTTCTCCGCAAGGGTGGTGAGCAGGTTCTTGACGATGCCCTCCTTGTCTGCGCCGCCAATGTGCTTCTGGAGTTCCTGGACAATCTGCTGCTTGTCCGAGACGGAGAGCGAGGGGGCGTGAAGGATGTCGTTGAGCTTGGGGTCCCTCTGGAAAACGCTCTGGAGGTTCTGGAGCGACTTCGCAGTGGGGTCGAGGGCATTGGTCTTTGCGGCCGCGGTGTACTAACACAATCGTTAGCCAAGCTTCTTTTCCTCGCAACCAATTGCGTCTCCTTTGTCCTCCCATCATCGTCATGATGCCAATTGAAGTCGTAGGAATCGTACCAGAGCACTCGCGTATGTTCCGTCAACGCCAAAGAGGGCAACCGGGGGCTTGGTCGCAGAGCCAGTCGGGGCGGCGGCGGCTGCGTAGCTTCGGGTGGCAGCGTAGCGGGCAGCAATTGGGGCGCAGGGCGCACCAGCCCGGAAAGCGGTGCTGAAGGCTCGAGCTGCAGACATGGTCGGAAGAGGGGAGATGGATTGCGGGATGGGGCAGCTGGAGTAGCGCGGGTGCAGATGAGGATACTGCGATGAGGTTTCTGAGCCCGGCTCGGCACCGTCAACGGGCTAGCACCGATTGGGTCGCGAGCTCCTCCATCATTTCCATCACAACTTGACCACACACTTTTACTGGGGTAGCCCTCTGCAAAATTTGAGTTGTCCACCTAGAAGGGGACTGTATGTTATCTGTACCCCGCCCAAACATGACGTGTACTCTCTGCAGAGTTGAAGAAGTTTCAGTAGCACCAACATCACTAATGGCAATTCAGAATTTGGAGGACACCGTAGGGGAGTCTTGAATTACACTAAGGTGAATTTGAATGTTCGTAGTGCACGTGCTAGCTTTACAGCCATGCAAATGAGCGCACCCCGCCGTGGAAGACATGGACAAGCCGAATGTCGATAATATTAGCAAAGTAACGACCCCACGTCCAACGCAAGTTCTCCGTCAAAACCCAGCAACAATAGTGATTGCATTGTTTCTATTATCTCATTTGCTTAGTCTCTTTCACGCTTGGTGTGATGGTCGAACCTTCATTGCCACTCTTCGTCACTGTTCCAAGCTGCCATACACCTTCACCTCATGACAATAGCCGCAATGGCTCTTGATCCGTGCCTTGCCGCACTACACAATCACCACCAATTTGAATGAGTTAGCGAACCAACTTTACCTTTACTTGTTCCAGCCTCTACTTATATATACCTTCTACCACGCTCTCTACCCATCAACACTCTCAATCTACTCTCCCAGTTCCGCAACTGCAATCAAAGATGGTCAAGATGGTCAATCTAAAGAAGCGATCAGCGACGCCTCCCTCATCGTATCCTATCACTCCGCCTTCTACCTGCGGTCCACACAAACGCGTCCGTTTCGGCACGGCAGAGCTCATCGATACCAACGGCTTCAGGGACCTGCGGCATTCCACTATCTCCAAGGAAGGCGAGTCACCGAGTGGCTTCTTCGAGGACCCCAAGGAAGGTTCCGATACCGAGCTCTTCGACATCAACGACTACAAAGAGAGTAGCTCCTTCACAGACAACATCGCTACAACATTGTCTCCAGCATCTACCCCGTCTCCCGTCTCCATCCTCTCAAAGCACGACCCCTTCTCCTCCCTCGCACTCGCCATCGACGCCCCCAGCTCCACTCCCACCCCTACCATCACCGAACCCTTCCGTTTCCTCGACCTCCCCGTCTCCATCCGCAACAGAGTCTACACCCACCTCCTTGTCATCCCCGCCCTGATATGCGTCCGCCAAAACCACACCTCCTTCTCCGACGAGAGAAAGGCCTTTCTATATACCGAAGGCCGTGCCTGCCTCCCTGGCATCGCCTACGCTCTCCCCCAACTCGTCGTCTCAGGTCCCAAAACTCACTTCTCGCGCTTCCGCCACACCAACATTGCCATACTGCGCGTGAACAAGGAAATCTTTGCCGAAGCTAAAGCAGTTCTGTACGGTAAAAACGACTGGGAGATTGTGAGACCGACAAATGAACTCACGCCCCCGCCCGACTATAGTGTTAGATTGTTCCCGCAGGGATGTCAGCGCTTGGTTACACGGCTGAGTATCAAGATTCGATCCTTCTACGATCTGGAGTGGTTGCTGCTTGGTGGCGGGTGCATTGACATCAGGAGGTTCTACCGCGGTCTTGTTTGTCTGACGCTACTTCTTGAACTAGAGGATGTAGGTAAGGGCTTCGGGAAGAATTGGGCCTGGAAGTCGGGCGAGAAGTCGGCGGGCTATGTGCAGCGTCTGCAGGATGAGATTGCCAAAGAACTTTTTCGGAAGGTAAAGGACAAGGCCAAGGATACCAAGATTGTGCCGGCTTGGATGAATCTGAGGATACTGTTTGACGGTGAGAGCTATACTGCACGGGTGGTTGGTCACGAGGTCAAAGCGGCGGAGCAGGTAAAGCGAGAGGAGCTGACGCAGGGGATGATGGAGTCTTGGGAGCTGTTCAGGAAAGGTGGGAAGTAAACTTGGAAAGTTGCTGGGATATGCGAACCTTGGTTTGGAAAGATTTAGGTTGGGTATATTGTACGAACCACTTGGTCATCGAGATGAATATCGGAAAGAAGAGCAGCCCGGAACGGTGGCGAAGGAAAGCATGAGCAATATCATTGGAGTGCCCTGCTATCGAGGGAGCAGCACTCGCACAGGTTTGTTAAAGTAGACATGACCAAGATGTGGTGAAAGTCAGAACATTGCAGCACGAACCAGCTTTCAGAAAATCATAGACTCATGATCTATGGAGCATAGCAGGACGTAAAAATTGCATTCCATTGACCATTACCACTACTATATAAGCCCCATCATCTGGAGACAACATTTCCAATTTCCAGCACATAAAGAGTTCTCAATCCCCCAACGCCACGCTATATGCATCAATTCAAAAAACAAAACCAAACCCAGTACATTTCTCTTCCTACAATAGCATGAAAAGCCATCCAGCTGCGCATATAACCATATTCTCGACCCATTTATCGATGCCTGTGCCATAACTTGCTGCACCACGCTGCTTGCTGGTCTCACCAATGCCGCTCGCGATCAGATCCCCCGCATTATGAGTAGTGGTAGGAGAGTTTGAGCTTGAGCTTGAGCCCGTAGTAGTTGCGCTGGTGCTCTTGGGGAGATTTGAAATGGTGCTTGTTTGCCCATTAATTACCAATGCCGTTCCGGCTTTGTCCAACGAGTACGTCGTGCCATCAATCACCACTGCGCCGCCTTGTGCCAGGGTTGTTCCATTGCCCAAAATGTACTCGGTTGTGCCGTCTCTTACCTTGTTCGTGTATGTCACTCCGTTGATTATTAGCGCTGGTGCAGCTGTCATACCTGCGCCGTTTGCTATCGTGGAAGTAACGGCGTTGATAACCACGACATTGCCGGATCCATCTGCAGGTAACGCGTATGTGGTCCCAGAAACGGTGACAACGCCACCCGGTGTGAGAGTCTGTCCAGGTGCGAGTACATAGGCCGGTACGCCACCTGTAACTTGCGCAGTGATGGGCTGCCCCTCGCCATTTGTTATAACAGGCTGCCCGGCACCAAGAGTTGAGGTTTTTCCATTTATGACAATAACTGGCCCTTGTGCATCAGCGGGTACGGCGTATGTGGTGCCATTGACAACAAGCGTGCCGCCTGCTCCAAGAGTTTGTCCTGGGGCTATTACAAAAACTGGTGAGCCTCCCACCACTGTCGCAGATACAATTTGGCCGCCTGCTATGAAAGCAGGAATTGGGGTGGCAACAGGGGCATTAGAGATGGTCTGCGTGACCCCGTTGACAATGGCAATGCCGTTTGAGCCTAGGCTAACTGTATTCCCATTGACAACGATCGGGGAACCTCCTGCTTTCAGCGTCACTGGCCCGAATACGAAGTCTCCATTAGGATTCGCCTCAACTCTGCCCCCGCCGATCGCAATTACAGGTGAACTGGGAGTCACTACCGGGTTCAGAGAAAGTGTGCTACCACCTACAACGATCGCCGCCCCATTGCCATCCGGAAGAGCATTGACGGGAACTCCGTTTATGGTCTTGGTCTCTCCAGGCGTGAATGTCTCTTGTCCAATGACAATGCCGGGAGGAGGTGGACTCTGGCCATTGTTGTTCCACGTCGGTCTGGGGACATTGATCGGGAACAGGACGCCCCCTATCATCATACTTGCAGTCGGAATGCCCGGCACAGGTGTAGGTCTGGTCGCAGTCCCAGCGTTTTGGCCGGGCGCAACTGGAGTCGGTGTATTAACGGAATCCTGCGGTGCATTAATGCGAGTTTGAGAAGGTACATTAACTCTGTTCGTTGGGACGTTAAGCTCGTTTACTGATGTCTCTTGACATCGTAAACAGCCCCGCACTGTGACGTGAACGGACGTTGTATCGTAGGTTGTTGCAAGGTAAGTATTTGTAAGTGGTGATGGTAGTATCGGTATCATCGATGTTGGAGTTTCCAGTCCAATGTTCAATGGAGGCTGTGGCGCCATAGGCAACCCCCCAGTTGGTAGTATTTGGAATGGTCTGCTCTGGGTCGCCCTGCTAACACTACACGTGGCGATATCTGCACCGTGATATTGAGACATGATAGCCGGCTCTTTCTTCAAATATTCAATCGCCTTGGAGGGTAATGCGAAGGCCTGATTCATCGCTGTCTCCTGGGGAGGAGGGTTTCCTGTGAATGTGGCTATGAAGGAACTCCAGTCTATTGTCGCGTTCTTTGGTGGCTGCCAGTTTCTGAGCTGTGTGGTGGCAGGATCACATCCTTTTTGTGTCCAGTCGTACTCTGGCCAGCGTTGCTCGTTGTAGTGGTCCAAGCCACCGATAATGTCGTTGTATATAACGTAAGTAGGCCCAGCAAGCAGTGTTACATAAACATCCTTTGTTACCAATACTTCAAACGTTGGTGTATGATGCATGATCACCGCGTCTGAAATGGTAACTGTCTTTGTTTGGTTGACAGTCTTCCGCTCAGTGACGACCGTTTCGATGGTGTTGTTGTCCATATATGTAACGTACTCTGAAATGACAGTCGCAGTCACCACGTAGCTTTCCCATACAATTTTTTTATCTTTAGGGTTGAATGAAGTGGTTACAGGGCGCCGCGCTGCGATGACACAACCAGTGCAATTTTCGGGGCCTCTTACTGTGGAGTTGGTCGGAGTTGATGTAGAATTCCAGGAGGGTGGTACTGGCCTTGATACATGCGGAACATGGTAGACTATATCAGTAGGTGACGCTGGTGGAGAGGTACTGAAGGGCGTAGGAAGCGAAAGTGCATTTGGGGGTGACGCCGGCTCGGCCTCGACATGGTGCGATGAACCCGGGAGTTGGGGCGATTTAGGAGGTTCCGCAGGATTAGCATGGAAGAAGGGCGACGAAGGTAAATGCGGGATGTCGGGCAAATCTGGTTTTTCTGGATCTGACGGCGATTGGGGAGTATGGTTGTTGTGTGTAGTAGCATCCCAGGATATCGCAGGTGCAAGCTTGTTGGCTATGTAGGCAAGTTAATAGCAGACACGGACCTGATGAACGGCGGCAACGTACGATCTGTGAAATGTTAGTTAGTTTATATATGAGTATACCCGAATATAGAAAACGTACCTCTCTTGTGGTAAGCGTTGGCATGTGAGCCGGTCGCGAGTAGAACCCCAAACAGACTGATGTACTTCCACATGATGTGAGAATCCTTCACACAGAGCGAGTGATAGTGTCAAGGCTAAACAAGCCCAGCCAGTGCAACGACGGAGAAAAAGAGAAGACTGAGTATCAGCTCTAGACAGATGGGATTGGACGAAGTCGACCTGGGGAAGTGGCGGCTATCAGTTCCCCTAACATACCCTAGCTGTAGCCACGCTTAGCGGAGAGAGACAGAGCACATACCAGCGGACGCGTCAAAGGGCATGGACGAACCCCGGCAATGACGATCAGCGGAGTACATCAGGCTGCCTAGTACTGGTAGCCATTTTTTCTCGCATGCCAGGGCTACTGCTGACATTGAAATCATCTCTTGCAAACCTAATGACAGCTGTACCATAATACGAGGATGCAGACGGCGCCCCTTTACGGCAATGACAAGGGGGCCGGCAGTTCGTACACCCGATATCACGTCAACCAAACTCTGCGCTGTAATCCTAGAGAAGAGGACAATGCGCAGCAGGATGACTGGGGAAGCGAACGGCTTTTTCCTGGAGCAAGGTGGGGAGATTGTGGGTGCAGTACATACACTAAGGCCAGGGGAAAGTGACCCGAATGGCCAAGAATTTGGACCGTTGAGGGCTGCAATGTATCCGATGAGATGAGAGATGAAGTACCGATGTAATCGAGCGGTGGCAGAGGGGGATGCAACGCAGTATGGAGGCTGACAGGTTGTGGAGCGGAAGATTGATGCGCAAGCCCCGTCATTGGCCCTAGCGCCCTGAAACCATGAAGAGTCCAACACGCCACCCGTATTCACCTTCCTAGCCGACCGTGCCCTCGCCCTCACCGAATCATGCCGTGTCTAGCCTGGGATTCGCATCTTGGATCGCCGTCATGCTTGAACCGCGTGGCCTTGGGCACTGTGGGCACCGTACGATGCGCCGCAGTGGGCTTATTGCCATCAGATCGCAGAGTGGCAGCGAGTGACATTGACATCGACATGGGCTCTCTCCCCTCTGTCTCCCGTACCATCCCGCCGACTCAAGGTTCGACTACCGGCGGAAACCCATGATCGCTAATTCTCCGACCGACGCCTCTTCATCATGTCTTGTCTATCCTATACGTTTTCGTAGTAATTGCACCTGCGCCCTAGACCCGTCGTCCGCCCTTTGCGTGTGGGGACGCCTCCATTCCATTCACTGCTACACGCTCTCTTCATCATGTCTCTCGCAGCCCAAGGCGCCGACGCTCCCCAGCCCTATGTCGTACCCCCCTCAACCAAGTTCGATGGCCCTGACGGAAGCTGGAGCACCTTTAAGATAAGCGTGGGAACACCAGAACAAGAATTCCGCGTTTTGCCAAGCACAAAATCGGGCGTCACTTTTGTCGTCGCACCAGAAGGCTGTCTGGCAGGCGTGGACCCGTCAAATTGCCCGGACCTGCGCGGAATAAACGTGTTTCGCAGCACGCAAAACACTGGCTTCCAGGTTGACAAGTCGACAACATGGTCGGCAATAGGACAGTACGATGTGGATCTGGAGGCTGCGCTCAACTATACCGGCCGAGCACTATACGGCGTTGACACTGTTTCGCTGGGCGCTGCTGCCGACAGTACCTCATCAGCAACGCTGACGAACCAGATCGTTGCTGCTGTAGCCGATCCAGACTACTACCTGGGGATGCTGGCTCTAGGGCAGGCCAAGTCGAGTTTTAATAGTGGTGGCAAACCTATCAATTCATTTCTCGCTGCGCTGCGCGAGAGCACAAAGATACCTAGTTTCGCATATGCCTACACGGCAGGCGCAAAGTACCGATTAAAATCAGTCTTTGGCAGTCTGGTGTTAGGCGGCTACGATTCGACCCGATTCAAAGCAAACGCCAACGACTTTTCATTCACTTTCTCACAGGACCCCTCCCGGCTGTTGACAGTGGGCGTTGACTCCATCATGGCCACCAACACCCTCAAAGGCACTTTTTCGCTAACCTCCGGCGCCCACTTATCCGTCATCGACTCGACCGTTCCGCACTTGTGGTTGCCCAAAGACGTCTGCGCTGAATTCGAGACAGCCTTTGGCTTGACCTATGATCCCAAAACAGATCTTTACCTGGTCAACGACACTATGCACCGCCAACTCATCTCCAACAACCCGACCATCACTATCAAACTCGTCAACTCGCTCCAAGATACAACGATAAACTACACCAACATAGAACTGCCGTACGCCGCTTTCGATCTACAGGCTTCGTATCCTTACTACCCCAACGCAACAAATTACTTCCCGATCCGCCGAGCTGCGAATGAATCTCAATACGTACTTGGGCGTACGCTGTTGCAAGAGGCATATCTCATAGTGGATTATGAACGAGCAAATTTCACAGTCGCGCAGGCAGTGTTTCCCAATCCTATGCCCGCAGCGAACGTGGTCACCATCACCCCAACGAGCAACTCTTCATCTACAAGACCTTCATCAACTTCATCACCTTCATCGTCTTCCTCAGATCTCGCCAGGGGCGCAATTGTCGGATTAGCAATCGGAGTAATCATGGCTCTCGTCCTCGCCGTCTTCGTATTTTTGTTCTTCTTCCGCAGACGTCGCAACAAGCAGCGGCAGCAACAGCAACCACAACATGAACTGGCAGGCAAGAACATTCCAGAGGCTGACTCAAGAAGCCACCTTCCCGTGGTCAGTACGGTGGTCAGTACGCCACTCAAAGTCGTTAGTCCGCAAGAACTCAACGGCACACCCTTGAATGAGCTCGCAACTCCTGTCAACCAGGAATACACCAACCATGACTATCCGCCAGATTACAAAGCAGCCGTTAATGTGGCAAATGAACCGCAAGAGCTTCACGGTGAATCAATGACACCGATAACGCCCAGGTGGAGAGAGGTGCATCTGCCGCGCTCACCTACGTTATACGAGATGGACAGAGAAAGCAGCCCAAGCCGCAGAGTAAGCTTCATGCCCAGCGACGACGGCTTTGGAAACAGTGATGGAGGACAGTCGGGCGTATCACCACTAACACCGCGGTGTCAGGACCCCTTTCATTCAAAATTAAGTAATGTTCCTTGAGTTGTTATTTCCTTTCAGTGTCGGAACGCGATGGAGTTTTTGAGATACTACTTGTACATAAGTATGCTTAGGATTTATGCATGTGCATCACGAATGCACTCAGAATAAAATCTCATTTGTCGCCTCAAAGGTCAACGCTAAAGTATCAATACTGTCGCTTGCGAACCGAGGCCTCCATCATTCTTCCCCAACACCTTTGAAGCTGAGCGCATACCCGCCGCTCCCGAGCCAAGATCTGGGTATTTCCGTCAAGGTATCAGATGATGGCGGAGCATCATAAGTTGTTGACCAGCCCTTACCGGATTGTGTCAATAAGCTCGTGATGGTGGAGACGCGGAGATATTTTCTTTTCAACTGAATCCGGATGGCCCGCTCATAGGGCTGACGTGGTGCCCATCCATTTCAGTCAGCGATTCAGACTTCACCTGGACGACCATCTTCATGCTTTGTGTTCTAACTGCTTGTAGTGCACATAGTCGGTCGTCTTCACCACTGCCAAGATGTGATACTCGAAAACTGCAAGAGTATCATTCATACTTCAATCTTGTCTTTACCCACAAGCTGAGAGTCAAAGACGCCGATAGATGTATGGAAACAGCCAAGTGTCATGTATGACGGCAAAACATTCATACCTAAAAGCGCTTTTCAAGGTTTCCTAGGCCCGTTCCGACGCTAGGCACGGATGTAGCTTCACGCGCGTGAGGCTACGAGCACCGCAGACGCGGCCAGGAACTATGACCAGTGGCCATGGAACACTGAAACTTGCAGCCACATGAAAGCATCACTTGGATAAGTCGGAACTAAACCCGTGGGCCGCGCTTCAATGGGTCCACTTCCAGCAGCAGGCTGAAGTCGCGTACCTCCAGGCTATGACGTAGGTGACACGCTGCGAGCTATCACCCCTCCTCCCCGCGCTTTCTCCTATCCAAACAACACACCTGTTACCTAAAACCGTTTTCTGCTACCTGCTTGCGTCGATAATACAAATCTACAAACAAAAACTCCAAAGTACGACCTGAACCCACGAATCAAAAATGGACAAACTCAAGGAAAAACTCCACATCGGCAGCAGCCGTCGCAAGTCTCAGCCTGAGAACGATGTTGGCAATGTCGGCACCATCGAAGGTATGTTTTAACTTCAGACATATACGCAGCATAGCATCTATCTCTCAAAGCCTGTTGGGTTTCCTACAGACCCCATATATGTTTTCACCATTCGCGATTTCCTTTGCTTCCAAACCTCACCACTAACACACAACCACAGAGAATCGCGACTCCATCGACTCCGAGCTCGCAGCGATGCCTCCCCATGAGCGTGTCGCCTACCTAAAGGAATTCGAAGACTCAGACAAGCACGACCAACCGAAGAAGGGCGGTCTCCTCGAGAAGCTCATAGCCCGAGGCAACAAGAAGACCGAAGACCAGATTGCAGCAGAGACCAAGGAGCGTGAGGCGCGCGAAGCAGCTCACCGTGACGCAACACACGCGGCGGTAGGCCCTGGTGCTGGTGCTAGTGCACACTCAGCTGCAGGACCTGGTGGTTTGTAGGCCGTGGATGGAGGAGTGGCGAGCTTTTCAAGATTCAGGAAGTGGGTTCTCTAGGCATCGACTCTGAGCGAGGCTTCTTTCTCAGTGATGGACTGTGATTAGGGCTATGTGTATTTCTTTCCACATGACGGCCAATGACATCAATTTGAACTTTCTAACTTTGAATATGAGTAAATGCTTCTGCGACTAAGGAATGATTGGTAACCATTTATCTACTTGTTCAAGTGTCAGATAGGATGTTTTGTGTCATTTTGGACATATCACGTCCTGTGATATTAATGTTTTTCTGGTGATAGAGAAAGAAATGGTCCGCATATCCTGTTGTAATTCGACAACTCTAAGAATCGCATCATGTCTGTTCATAGACTGAAATAACGACACCTGCATCAATGTCCTTTGATAATGAATAAACAAGAATAATGAGAGGAGACATCAAGAACCTGCCTTAATATCTTTGCAGCTCTTCATATGAGACTGCAAAGACATAGCCAGGACTTTGCTACAAAAGCACCATACAGATCAAACATCCCTCGATAAAAAAACACGATATAGCCAGCCCTACTCATGATCCCGCGAAGATTCAGACATCGTCGTCCCCCAAGACGAAGACCCTGACTCCAAGTCCAGCATATCCTGCGAACGTGTCTCATGCCAAAGGCGCGCCATTGCCGCATTCCGGATCTGCCTATCCCTTTCCGTCTCCACCAACATTTCCAAAAACAGCTCAGCTTCTTCCTCCTCCTTCTTGAACCTAGCTTCCTCTTCTTTCTCGATTTGAATCTGACACTGTCGCTGTTCCCAGTGCTCGATGACGAGGTGCGCTCCTGCTACGACTGCGCGGCCGATGATGCGGATTTCGTGGCGGTAGCGGAAGGCTAGGAAGTCGGCCGATGCGACTGTCATCCATGTGATCTTGTTGAAATCGAAGAAACTGGTTGTAGTGGAGGTGGGCTGAGGGGCCTCGGTGCTAGGTGGGTTGGGTTGAGGGGCTTCAATGTCAAAAAAGGTGAACTCACGGTTCTCGATACTAAAAGGAGTGGGATGTTAGCAAACGTTTGAATCATAGAAGGGGAATTAGACAGTAGAATACATACACCTCAATCGCCTCGGCTATTTTAAGAGTACTCTCCTCTAGACGGTTGATAAGATCCTCAAATTCATCTGTCTTTACCCTCATTTTGATATCGAGGGACCGCTCATGTTCCTGGTAGGGGCTCTGCTCGAGAGGGAAGATGTGCACAATATGAGGTAGTTCACGATGAGGTTGTCGATAATGGTTCCCGTTGGCGATGGACTGAGAGTGGTGGAGGAAGTTGCCGTCTCTCTTAATGTGCATGTGTATTTCGAGAAGAGATTTTGGTGGCGCTTGACGATGATCCCTATCGTAGGGTCCTCATGAAACATCGTCAGCTGTACCACTCATATTCATGAAGCAAAGCAACCATTTTCAGAACAGATGAAATTCTTTTCCATTTCCGGGCTTTGCCCCAATGTGAAGCTGGTATACTACAAAAACTGCTATGTTCAAAGTGTTTTCCAGGTTTATGTCCCCAAGACGTTATACCCGTTTCCCCGAAAGTCATTTGTACATTGAACAGAAACCACCAGACCCAGTTCGCTCAAAGAACAACTTAAAACCAGTAATTTGCCGAAGTACGATGGAACTACGCCCGGGTGTTGGGTGGGTGTCCCGGTATGATACGAGTGCGTGGGTAAAATTACCTTACACTGGGAGACCATCTGGTTCAAGGGCCTCCGGCGCCCCGCTCACTGCCCCGTAAACACGGATCGGAACTTGAACCTCAAAGCTCTCTGCCGGTAACCGTTGCGCAGCGGCCAGTATGGTACCCCGATCGTCGCTAGATATCTCTTCGAGGAGATCATCCCATGTCGCTTGTCCGCCATCCTCATGCGTCAAGCGCGGCGTGATGAATTCAATCCTTAGTTTCCACTCGAGACTCACTCCACTGGTGATGAACTCCGGCGTCGCATTTGGGGGTATCGTGGGCGAGAATGCAAGTTTCTGGGCAAAAAGCGCATTTTCAGAAAACGATGCGTGCACCTTCTTCGTAACTCGGTAAATTGAGGCGTTAGATCGAAGTGCTATGGCTGGATCAACCTTTTCAGACGTCTCGAGCGACATCTGGATCGAGTAACACGGGATGTGTGAGTCTGTAAAGTCTATTACCGCGGTCATTGTCTCCCCCAGACGATATGAGGGTCGAGCTAGCATGATGACTGCTACACGACGACCACTGCGAGCTATCTCAAATCGATTGGCGCTTTGATTGGCTGCACCGGTCAAATTACTGCGCAAAATCGCTGTATCGATAACCTCTTTCATGGTCTGGGGCTCTTCACCGAAAGATGACCGACCAGGCATGGTGCCCGTGGGCGACAGCAAGCCCATACTAGAGTTTTGTTGCGGGCGGTCAAGAAGATTGTCGACGTATTCAAGGAATTCGCCAAATGTGTTTTCATCTGGCTTGCCGGATGGAGCACTCTTCTTGGTCGGAGAGGACTTTGCGCTTGTCGAGGGATCAATGCTTGATGTTCGTGCTTGATCCCGTAGCATGATGTATGGGGACATAAGATCGTGCCCAAGGATTTCGCCACGACCTAGACAACGTTAACATGTACTCACTATTCTTGATGGGACCAAACATACTGTTTACGCTGCCAAAGACTCGGAACGGAATATCCACATGCTTTACTTGTTGTTCTTTGGTCGAACCTGCGCGTTGTGTACCAATGGTGAGATTGTATGCCACCTTCATGGATCGTCCTTTGTGCGAAGGTGGCAGACCCCGTGGTATCGTGAAGCTGTACTTGTAGCTGCGGCTTTCCCCAGGCGCGAGCTTCAAATCGACGAACAGGATGGACTGCGGTGTCGTGATGAGAGGGACGGTCTTGGAGCTGGCGATACCTCTCATTTCCCGGATACTGGATGGTTCTGAAGGGCCCAACAGTCCACCCAAAGACTCTCCGATATTGCCCCAGCCCAATGCACCAAACAGTCCGCTTTCGCGCTTCGTCTTTTCAACGCCCACGACACCACCTGAGCCCTGGCCACCAAGTACACCCTTTCTCTTTACTTCTTCAAAAGGTGCCTGGTTGATGAGAGATCCATCCAGGGTAAATGAACCCATTATCTGCGCGTACCCCATCATGATTGACTCTGGCTGGGCCTGTCTGCTTGGCGGGACCAAATGCGATAGTCGTCGTTGATGTAAGGGTCGGGGTAATAGGCGTGCTGAAGGATGGGCCGCATATTCTGAAGCCATTGTCTCGTTGGAGTTGTTGCTCATGGAGTAGAACTCTCCACTGCTACGCGGAGTGTCATTCAAGCTTGAACCAGATATAATCCGGGCAACCGGCGAAAGTGATTCAGCATTGGAGTGCCCAAGCGGTTTTTGGCTGTCAGGAGGTGGCTGTGGAGAGTTACGTCGTACATGTATCGGGAGCTTGGGAGGGCTGTTGTTGGTTTGTGGTTGTGGTTGCGACACATCTTCAGGTGGAGGTGCGGCGGGGAATTTGAAGCTGTGTGAGAAGGAATTTGAAGGTTTTCGTCCTGTGACTGGTAGAGCTGGGGTACTTGGGGTTGTCGTGACGCCTGGTCGTCTTCCATTCCGACGCGCAGGAAAGGCAAAGTCGGCGGGCTCATGGATTCTCGGAGAGGAGGCTTCACCAGAGAGTGGAGAGGGGTGTGTGGCTGAGCGATGGCCCGGTGAAGAAACTACTGCCGTGTCAGCCAAAGGAATATCAAGCACTTGTGTTGGCCGTACTGGGATAGGAGTTTGGTCTGCCGGGCACGACCTGCAGACTTGCTGATCTTCCGTGCCCCCTGGCTGGTCGTCTGATCGGTATGCCTCTATCATGACTCAATTCGGTACCGGCATCAGTCCCCAAGGAGACAATTGACACGGACCTCCCATGCTTCTGCGCGCTCGCATGATTACTATTGCCATTGCCATTGCCATTACCATTGCTATTACTATTGCCGTTGCCATGTGCTGAGCTCGGTGGCACGGCCGATGCGCGTCCTCCAGTTGTTGATGGCGTGTATAGGGATAGTGCAGGGCCATGTCCACGAACATTTGACGGCGGTAATTGCGAGGCGAAGGATGAATTGCGAGAGACGGAGGGCCGCGTTGACGAGTGAACGGGTGGGACATTAAGCTTGCGCTGGCGCTCTCCTCCCATGGCAAAGCCATTCGGCCTGCGTGTGGGGGAGCGGTCGTGTCCTTGGAGAGGGGCTACATTTTTAAAGGTAATAGTGCATTCTATGTCTTCGCCAGCGAACACTGTAGAATCCTTCCATTGTACAAATACCCGGATGTTCGATGCGGACATGGTAGGGAAGGGCGACGCGGGCTGCGGTCTTGGGAGCAGCTCATCGGGCGCGGCGATCAAGCGGCATGACGACTGCCAGGCATGGACCCTAAGAACGGCAGCGACAGCAGCAAAGAGCAAAGCTGGGGTTGAGGGCTGGTGAAGATGGTGGCTCTGTACTGACGTGAACGTGCTCCGTCATGCACCGGCCATCCATCCATGTTCCTTGCAGGGTCTAGGCCCGTGCTTGTCTGCACTCGCTCAACAGAACAGCAAAACCACGTTTCTACGGTACATACCATTACACTATATTCTACCACACCCTGAAGGAGACGATTGCTTCATATCCATTTCAGAAACTATCACATCGATTGGTTATAACAATCTACCAGCCAAGGCCACGCAAGTACTATGTACTCATAAGTTCTCGATAGTCATGCTGTCATGTGACGCTTCCGAGAGCTAGTTAGGTGTAGACAGCACTGCTATTCATCGGAAGCTCATCCTATTTCCTTCATGACGACTCGCTACCCGCCGTCGCACATGTTGGGTAGACCCCGCGTTCAATTCATATGTCGTTATAATGTCAGCGCACCCTGCTACGTGGCTCATAGTGAATACTAGCGCGTTATCGATAAGACATATGCACAGCCGACTGGCTTGCTCTTTCCCACTTCTCTCCTGAACTCGTGCATGATCGATTACATCTTCCGATTATGCTATGCAATAGCATTTCTCAGATAATGTTTGCTTCCATCGTGAGTAGAGATAGATGTTAGCTGACACGACTATCATCGAGGGTTACCGCCACTTGCTTCTAGCACAACCTCCCAAAACAGAGACGTCATCTCTCCCCAGCCATTGAAACGGAAAATCTATGTGGCAAGCTGAGCCATCAGCTATTGTTCTTTCCAAGTTCTATTTCATTCATAGACTTGTTGTCGAGAGAATGACGCATTGAGCAATCACATCTGCATCCTGCTAGTCACCTTGGAATCGCCTGCTTGTAGTGTGATCAGGACAAAGCACATCACCTTGTCAACAATGCGAGTCCGACTAATCCCTGGAATAACACCATATTCGTTACGTACAACGGATGTGGGGGCTTCTCGCATAATTTCGGCTTTCGATATCTGGATAGTCGCAAAGCCCAAGCTGAGGTGTGACAGCCATGAGACGGTGTTAGTGAAGGTTTTCAATAAATTGATACGATGGGCGCAGCCAATACAATGTTGGTCAATAAAGGCAAAAGGAAAAAAAATACTGTCTAGTCTACAAAGGACCCATGGAATCACAAAAAACGTTGACTTGAATTAGGACTTTTGCAGGTGTCGTGAAGTGAATACGCGAAGCTTCTACAGTTTCCATTGGAACCCTTCCGTAGTAAGCCCGACATCGTCATTTGCATAACCCGATCAAAGCCGCTCGACGTCAACCCCGCACTAGAACACTCTGGCATTCTCTCATTATTACCATTGGCCTTAAGATGCTTATCATCTCGTCTCTTGCATCATGCTAGCACTAAATCCAGCCGCATCCGGTATTTCCACACGCTTCGGTTGGATGCCCTAAGTACGGGCCGTGACGCGATAGTGTCACGAGCATGGCCACGCCCCACGTTCTAGACATGGAGCGGGGTCCTGCATTAGCATTAGATGATATGGGGTAGGATGAGATAACGGTATCTACCTGCGATGCTGAGCAATGGCAACCGGTACACTATCTTGGATCAATTTCCTTGCTCCCATTGTGGACTTATTTCTTCTCCTACTCTTCATAACCGTCAATCAGCGATTATTCAAAGTTTCATCAATTATGCTTCAACGACGACTTTCGCCAATGTCATTAAGATACATATGTGGCAAGAAGAGCGTTCTCAATAATTTCAATCCCTATGGAATACGGCATATCGCTACATCCGTGGTTCCACGAGAGAAGGGCACAACAACACAAACACAAGCACAGCTACGCTCGCAATATCCCCTATCAATAATGCCAACGAACATGCTGCTCCGCTCCCTTCTCATAGCTACAGTCTCGTCCAACAAGTTCCTTCTGACACCAGCACTACACCTTCTATCATTCTTCTCCAAACCGGGCCGAAGCTACCTGTTCAATATAGAACGCAATCCCGTCCTCAAAGCCATCTTAAAGCGAAGCCTATACAACCAATTCTGTGCTGGAGAGACAGAACAAGAGACCAAGGCATGTGTGAAGCAGCTGAAGGACCTCGGGTTCAAGGGCGTGATCCTGACGTACGCAAAAGAGATGGTGTTCGACCACAACACTGAGTCGGCTGATCATCATGCCTCAGAGAAATTCGTAGACGATAAATCTATTGTAACGCAGGACGCAGATATTGAGGCTTGGAGACAGGGGACATTGGGGACACTGAATCTAATTTCAGAGGGTGATATTCTTGCTATAAAGTGAGTCAAACTCTCTGGTAATGCTTGGGAGATCGGACACTGACTGTTTTCACAGAACCACAGGAGCTGGCCCAGCCGTTGCGACCGCGTTCAGCAAAGGTGAACTTCCACCACAACAGATGCTCGATGCACTCGAGGGAATAGCCACCAAGTGCAAAGAGCGTGGTGTACAGATCATCGTTGACGCAGAGTCTCAAAGATGGCAGAAAGGTATCGCTCGTATGGCTCTCGAATTAATGCGCAAGTTCAATCGAGATGGGAAAGCCGTCATTTACAACACTTACCAATGCTATCTCAAGGAGACGCCCGCAGTGGTTGAACAACACTTGGCTGAAGCAGAAAAGGACGGGTTTACACTTGGACTAAAGCTTGTGCGAGGCGCATATATGCTTTCAGACGATCGATCTCTAATCCACGATACAAAAGAAGATACCGACAACGCATACAATAGCCTAGCCCAAGGGGCTCTATGCCAGCAAATCGGTCCCTTTGGCGCAATTGGACCTCATGCGAGACCTTTTCCCTCAGTAAATCTCTTCATCGCTTCGCACAACCGCGAATCCGTACTCTCAACCAACAAACTCCATCGTCAACGCCTGCAGGCTGGCTTGCCCACTGTGCCCGTTGCATATGGGCAACTGCACGGTATGTCGGATGAAGTTAGTTTCTCATTGCTGGCAGAGAAGGGCGAAGGTGGAAAGGCACCAGAGGTATTGAAGTGTACCACCTGGGGCAGCATGAGTGAGTGCTTCGGGTATCTACTACGGCGAGCTGTGGAGAATAGGGATGCAGTTTTGAGGACCAAGGATGAGTTTTCTGCGCTTAAGAGAGAAGTCAAGAGGAGATTCTTCTGGGCTTGATAGGACAACGCGATTTTTTACATAGTTCATACCAATCTAATTTACATAAATTCCGTCGCTGCGGTAAGGCGCTCATTATCCACAGCTCTGTCTCAAGTGCTTAGAACACTTGATCCTAGACCAATCTCTACATGCAGGCCTGCGGCTACTGTCAAGCTGGGTTCTATGATGACGGTACGTATATGCGGAAGAGTGCAGGCGCGAATGCGGGTCGACGTGGTCCCCCACGATTGACCAGGGCCCAATCAGATCAGGGTATGTGGGGGCCAGGTGGTCTTCCGATAGTGGCATGTCTGCAACGCAACGTCTCGAGGTACGATACCCTGGATTTACTAAACATAAGAGCAGCACGACAAGTTTATTTCATCGTATTTCTTTGATTCAAATCAAAATCTTAAACAGCATCATGTCAGCCGGAACGCTTTGCATGCTAGGATGTGGTATTGAGACAAGCCATTACAATGAATACGGAAGTCCTTTCTAACCCTCTCCATAGGCAATCTTGGAACTTCAATTCTGAAAAGCCTTATCAGAGTCCCAGATGGCTCCCCAGCCAGATTTGAAAGATTCACCGCATGTGTTCAGAGCCATACCAGCAGGGAACGACTAGATGCTCTCTTTAAGTCCGAAAAGTACGGAAGCTTTACTACTTTTATGGGTTACAATGTTTGGGCAGTGAAAGGTGCCAATGTTGTGATATTGGGCGTCGATCCATCACAAGTAGAAGTAACTCTCAGAGAGGAAGGCATGAGTCAGGCACTAGTGGGCAAACCTCTAATCAGTGTAGTGGCAGGATGGTCCAGAGAGAGGTTGGAAAGTCTAATTCGTGCCGACCTATCGGAGGAAGAAGCAAGAAAGATTTGGGTTCTCCGCACTCTCCCCAACGTCGCAGCGCAGGTCTCGCAATCATTGACCGCCATCGAAGAGCCTGCTTCGGGCTTCCCACCAGCGTTTATGGACATCGCAAACGAGATTTTCTCCCACATTGGAAAACCTGTACATATAGCTCCTCGCCTGATGGCTGCAACAACAGCTGTAGGAGGCTCGACCCCCGCTTTTTGGTCCATAATGTGCGACGCTTTCATCGACGCTGCTGTGGCAGTTGGTCTACCACGTCCTATAGCCCAGGCGCAGATCTACCAGAGTATGCGCGGCACAGCAGAAATGCTGCAAAGTGGGATCCAACCAGGTGAACTGAGAGACATGGGCACTAGTCCGGAGGGGTGTACAATTGGGGGCATCATGGTATTGGAGGAGATGGGTGTTAGAGGAGCGTTAGGAAAGGCCTTAAGAGAGAGTGTTACAATAGCAAGAGCAATGGAGAAGGATGAAGGAGAACAACACGTCAATGATACGAGGAGATTCTAGCAGAGGGAAGTAAAGGTGACCCTTCGGCTTTACAAGCACAATCTGTCACCTTAGCATAACGCAAGGTACACTCTCTGTAATCATACACAGATATGTCTATTTGTAGTCGCTAGATTCTTTGTTGACTGCACCTCGAATTCTATCACAAATGCAACAAATCTTGCGCCTGTGGCTTTTCTCGTTCTGCAGTGAGACACTCAGCACACTGACTACCCAATCATGCCCAGTCCCCACAGCGAACACCTCTTGTACTTTTTTGAATTCTTCCTCAACGTTATGAGCAATTTTGCAATCTTAAAGTGCCAGGGTACACGAATGGTGAGCCGCAGAAGCTTCCATCCGTTTGCACGTGACATGGCGCCTGTCCGTGCTCACTATCGCGCCTGCCTCTCAGCATGACCCCGCAAGCATAGCATGGTTGCCTAGACACGTCGCACTTACCTTGCAGACGGCAACTTTACGACGCCCTTCACCAGCCATGGCCGGCGATCATTCCCCCAGGCTCGCATGCCATTGCGCCATATGCGGTGAGTCGTTCGGCAGTAAAGGTGAGCTGAGTGACCATGCTGCCAATCACAAAGACGCTTCTTCAAATCATACTTGCAATGATTGCGGTCGTACCTTGAACAGCACACACGCCCTGGAGATCCACTGCATTCAGGAAAACCACGCTCGGCCAGCCTTCACATGCGACAAGTGCAACCGGACCTTCTGCTCACAGAGGGACTTCCTCGATCACTCCAAGTCACTTAGTGAGTGTGAAGCGGCTGTTGAAGGCGAAGAGGTCGAGATGCCTATCTACTGCGATCGTTGCCAAGAGACATTCACCACCCAGAAGGGGTTCAACAGACACCGGAGCAATTTGAACAACCAGTGTGCAGACTTTAGGCATGCCGCACCCAAGAAGTCGCCTTCGCCTACTACCAACAAATACGTTGATCTGGACATACCCAAAGACGACCACCCTACTATAACCGACTACGGCGAGGAGGGGGTGACGCAACCGTCAATCCTGCAGACGAAGACTAATGAGAATGTCATACAATGCCCTCAATGCAAGAAGACCTTTCATTCTTATGGCCACTACAACAGCCATTGGCTAGGTTGCACTCTTGTTGCTTCTAGTCCAAAGACTCAGACGGTCGCTACAGAGCTTCATGCGAAGGTCAAGGCTAGTAAACCAGCACGTAAGAACACACATCCATTGGTTGTCAACTACACCAACCCCCAAGGCCCGAATTTGGTAGTGGCCTCCCCGATGCAGACAGTAACGCTGAACACACGTCCGCCGGTCCGACAAGCACAACAGGTCTCCGAGGCGACGTCTTCACGAGCGCCCCCTGCTCACTACCCACCCGTCGCTGATGAGCAAGCCGCTAATGGTGCCGTCTTCGTCTGTGATATCAACGGTTGTGGTAGGGTCTGCAGGTCCGAGCCAGGTCTTAGGCAACACGGGGTTGATGCTCATGGTATTGGCGGCCAGAGGTTGGATCTAACCGGTAGAGAATCTTGGATGCTCAACGCTCGAGAGCGAGATCGACTACGACAAGAGGGTCTTCTACGTCAGCCTTCGGGGTCGTCTCGCGGTCGCGGTGGTGGCCACTCGCCTCGGAGGCCCCTTGCGACTGCTCGCCCGCCTCCTTCTGCGGCTCGTCCATCTCATGCTGCGGCTCGTCCACCTCCTGCCACTATTCGTCCATCTCCTGCCACTACTCATCCATCTCCCGCCACTACTCGTCCGCCTGCTGCTGCTAGTCAATCACCCATCAACGGTAGATCTTCCGGTCCCCTTCACCATCCTCAGCATCAGCAGCCTGTGCCGAGTCATGTACCGTTAGCTATCATACCAGCTGGCGCGGATACCAGCGGCGCTGCTGAACTGGAAGAAGCAAAGAACGTTCAAGCCAAGATTTTGCGGCTTCTTATTCAGGCAAACATCTTCATCGGCCATGAAGGCAATGTTACCGTCTGTGACCTTAAGTGGACTAGGGTCCAAGTTTACAGGCAGCCCGAGGTCCTGGCAGCATTTGATCGCATGTGTCATCTGCCCAAGATACTGCAAAGCGAATACTTGCCCGTCCCAAAGGCCTTCAAAGACGATTACACTATCCAGTATCCCTCTACCGAATTTGAGTCTGCACCTGCGCACGACACAAAGAAACCTGCCCTCCGTGTCGTTGCCCTCTCATGTAGCAGAATCGTTCTTGCAGATGGCCTTCAAGAAGTAGTCAAGATTGCGGCGGTCGACGTCCTCACTTGTCGTATTCTCATGAACCACCTCGTCTGCACAGATCCAGACGCGGAGGTCAGGAACTGGTGCTCAACAGTCACCGGGCTTTTCGGCTGGGCAGACTTTGAAGCGGCACGAAGGTTTGGCTACAGGGTCTTCAAGGGATGGCCGGCAGCTCGCGCCGCGTTGTGGAAGTTCATCGACAAGGATACCATTGTGGTCGGCCACAATCTACGCTCCGATCTCGACGCATTGCGCATGATTCACGGACGCGCCGTTGATATTGCCAAAGTTGTTGAAAAGGCAGCCAACGGTCCACTCAACAAAGCGCAGCTGAGTTTGGACAGCTTGTGTCGCGACTACCCTGCCATCACCCTCAAGAGCGATCCCGAATATGGTCGCGATGTGCTCTTGAATGCATTTTCCATCCGCGAGTTTGGCTTGTGGGTCGTCAAAAACGATCAAAAGTTCCAGAAAAATGCAAAGCAGAAGAGTCTGGACTACCAACGTGTCATGCCAAGTGCTGTTGCAGTAACTTGAGAGTATTGAAGCAACTGGCCGACGAAGCAAACATGGATGAATTTGCGCTTGTTCTGAGATGATATGGATCGTAATGGGAGGGAGGAGAGTGAACATGTTCATGAGATGATACCAGAACGAAAGGCTTACGACATGAATGCAAATAACTAAAATGGCTATCGAGTCGAATGTATACTAGCATTTCGTATTCTCCACCTGTTCCTTCTCGACGACATCGACCACAAAGGCACCACCCAGTAGAATTGCCGGCTCGTCGATGCTATGATGTTCATAACTAGAGCGCGAATTAGCCTTGTCTCGGTCCTAAACCGAAAGAAAAGTAACACACTGACCTCAAAGTACCCACACCACCCGCCTCGAGTATCAAACTCGGATTTTCCTCCAACCTCTTGCCCACCCACCTAGCAGCAAAACTTCTCAGTATATGGCCATGCGCCACAATAAGCACATCATTCGGTTTCCCATCTTTGCCAAACTTGCCCTTGTGGTACTTTTCTCTCAACTCCTTGATTAGCTCGTCCAATCTCTTTGTCACATCTTCTGGAGACTCTCCTCCTTCACACCCGTCACGCCAGATATCCCAGTCGCCGCCTAACCCCCGTTTCTTCCTGTCTTCCTTGATTTCGCGTGTGACGCGGCCCTCGTAGTCGCCGTAGTCCCATTCGCGGACGGCTTCTGTGACCTCGATGGTAGCGTGGGTGCGGATATCGGGTGTTGTGTCGTGGGTTTGTTTTGCAGAGTCGTTGTCGTGCCAGGGGTAGCGTTGTTTGCAGCCTAAGTTTAGGAGTTCGAGGGTACGTTGGGCGCGGGTACGGGGGGAGACGTAGCTGTGGAGTTGCTCTTCGGATTAGCCCTCATTTGACATTGAGCGTTGGAGTAAAATGGGGGGTTGAATACGTACATATGCGCCAGATTACTGGGGACGATCAATCGGTCGTCGCCTACGAGTGCTTTGCCAGTGGCTAGGATACGCTTTTCGCCGTTTGCCGTAAGCGGTATGTCAGAAGTGCCTGTATGTCGACCATTGAGCGACCATTCTGTTTCGCCATGTCTGATGATGAAAACACGCGGCTCCGACATATTGTCAAGTTGGGAGCTGAGGTTAGACTCGCGCAACTGTAAATCAAACAAAAAAAAGTGTCAATTGAAAGCTGGCAATGTACGCGACTGCAATAAACAAACTTTGGGCGCGATCGAAGATACAGGCAAGGCAGAATGAGGTTTATAGTAAACTTGTATGCGGCAGCCGTCGGAGGCTCTTGCCGCATGTATGACGTGCGTTCTACATGGGGATTTGTTTAGCATGGTGGGGCGGCGGCGTGTCAGGAACCAACCTGGAGTTACCCCGCCATGTCCACTGATATCAGACCTCGTCGCACAGTAAGCCTTGGTCATCGTCTTACTCGGCATGAAGGCTGGCAGAAGATGTGAGTGGAGGGATTGATCAGAAAGTGAGCGCTGATTGCATAATACTTGGTTCGACAGTTGGAAGAAAAACACGTGTAGATGCGTGCTGGTATAGTCGAGTGCATGAGTGAAAAGATTACGAATGGGATTGAGATAGGTGTCTAGTAGCTGAGTCGACTAGATGCGAAAGCAACGTTTGTCTTGCTATCACATGGCAATGCTAGTATTGGGGTCGTCGTCGTATACACATTGGTGGTACCACTCTGCGTGAACATCAGCATTAATGCGCCTGAGTTTGAATGTAAGACCGATTACGTACGGTTCTGTATGACACACTTTGCGCCCTTAACGCACTTGGTGCAGCCGGTCCAAGGGTCGTTGCCGTTAGTGCCACCACACTTGTAGTATACAGGCACAGGGCATGCAGTACTGATTGGTCCAGTCTCTTCGCTGGTTGTCTTGGTGGGTTTCGGTATGGACTTTGTGCTCGTTTTGATGGTTGTCTTTTGCAAGAATATTAGCGATAGTGCCAAAGAATGTCTGTCGAGAAAATGCTGACCTTTGTCGGGTAAGGCACCGGTTCCGGCTTCTCTGAGGTGATGGGCTCTGGTTTCGCACTTGACTTGGTTGGATCGGGTTTCTTCGTTGTCGTTGTAACAGTCTTAGTCTTCGTCGTCGGCTGCGGAACAACTGGTGTAGGGCGACTGATGTTATCCGTGCAACGTCCTCCAATACATGTTATGAGGTATGTCGTCTGGCGCGGGACCAGGTTAGGTTGATTATCAGCTGGTATCTATATACACAAGTCAGTGAGATGTAGGTGGGACACATGATGGCATAAGCTTACTGCAACACAGATAGCTGAGAGGCTTGAGAGCAGGACAGTGAGCGTAACAAGCTGCATGATGCGTAATGAAATCGTGGATGTTGAGGACGGAGGCTGGTCTTGACTTGATCACAATGAGATCCATTTCAGAGAATATGGGCAGCGTCTTATACCTGCTGGCTCCAACTACTAATCCATAAGAGTCCAAGGATTCACGGGTAAGATGGTAGGCGTCTTGACAACGAGCTCTATACATGCGCGGTTCATTGTGGTCGGTAGTCTGTCTACGGCTCAGCTCAAATACGAGGCCGGCTTAATATGCTGCTGTGACCATGCATATCACGGTTAGCGACTGAGTATGCCGTCTAAACGGACCAGAACATGGCCTAATACTGTTGTAGTCAAGCTTCTGCAGTAGCAGGCGAATGAGAAAAGAAGTAACTCTACGAGAGGAGTGTAAACGTCCAAAGCGATGCTGTCTACAGCAACCTGGCTCTCAAACCTCACTCATAATGCGGCTACGATTGCTCGACATCCAGACCGGTTGCCACGATTCCAAGCGGTATGTCTTCCAAGATCCACTGTGATTAACCTTGGTACTATTCTTGTCGACGGCAAAGCTGTTGGGTGGGGTGTGTTTTAGCCGCAATATGGCGCCTAGTTCATCCATGTCTTAATACCAGCTCATATGCCACTTATGATGACCACGATATCTTTCACTTGCCATGTTGCGAAATAATAGATTGCTCGATAGGGGCAGTGAGACTGGTATTCGGAATGCAAGGCGGGAGAGCTGCGCGAGAGAATAATCGCATCTAAATGTACCGGAATCCGGGACCGGATGGAGGGAGAGGCGAAAGATGACATGCACTATAGACCACTCCAACTTGTCGGGTGCAGGTTGTTCAGCACTGGCCTTGGCGAAAGACACTAGCGATGTATCCGTGGACCGATCGGTTACGATGCACAGGAACTGCTGTTCGGTGGACAGTGGATGCGCATGATATTCACACGCCATTTATCCCACTTCCCGGCACAGTATCGTTGGCTAAAAGGTCTCCCACACCAATCCATTTTCTTACAAGGAAAGCACCCTGTGGCCTTAGCTTCCTGTAGTACCCTTCATCTTTCTCTAGTATTTCAAACTTGCGCTTTTTGTACCACTCCATACCCTCCTCGTTTGCCTCCCACACATGTGCTGTGACCGATCGTACATTGTGTAAATCGACCGCTTTCTTGACTATAGCTTGTAGGAGGTGCATAGCAATACCATGGGAACGGTATGGTGCGAGGACGCCGATGGTGGAAATGTATAGTTGCGAGGAGGGAAGAAGGCGGCACCTGACAGCACCAACCAGGTGTGGCTTCTCCGATGACGATGCGGAACTATCGTTGCCCGGTGATGAGTGCCATAATGCTGCCAATGTGATGCTGTGATGTGGTTCCGTCATGGTCTCCTTGAAGAAAGCGTCGGGATATGATATAGGTAGAGTAAGGTTGAGCAGGCGCTTGAAGGCGGGCAGGAGGTCTTCGGTGAGCGGCACGAGCTGGACGTTTGGTGGAAGAGGGCGCAAGGCGAACAGCTGAGGTATAGCAGGTTGCTGGACTGCCAGGTTCGGGGGTGAAGGCATTCTGGAAGTGGCGGGTGTGACGGCTCGAGACGACCGAGGGCTCTTTTTCGATTTCGGCCTCGACGGCGCCTGTAGAAAGTCGTCGGGTATGTCGTTCCAGTTCTCCATTGCCGAGGCCGTAGGCGTCGTGTTAGGGGGTACGCGGGTGGGAGCGGAGGCCGACTTTGGGGGAGGTGGTGGTCGAGAAGGCTTTGATGACACCGGAGGAGGTGCGTTTAGGGGCAGAGACTGTGCATCTGAGCTGGGCTTCTTCAGCCAACTATTCAGCGAGGATTGCATCGCGGTGGGGTCGTCAGTGGTGGTGATATGTTCCCGCAGAGTGAATGTCTTAATGTCTTCAGGACAGGCTGTCAGGCCTAAGCTTGCACAGAGTAGCTTGCACGCTGATATGTATGTCGAACACAAGGACACATGTGCAAATGCAAACGTCGCAATTGCTTTCTCCTGCTGCCTCCCCAACGCGCCTGACGATCCCTTGCAGGGATTCGTGCTAGCGTGCCTTCGTAGGCCAAGCCGTGAGCTTCGACTTCTTGCAGGAACCGCATCATCGTGCCAGAATCCCGCATTTCCCCCACAACGCAACAATGGGCGCTGAGAACTCGAAACCGTCGTCCGAGATCAAGCAGCATGTCTTCTCAGCGTACGTAGCCCTTTGCCAAGCCAATGGCGCCGCCCATGACTGTGAAGACACAATAAGAAAGTGACGTTCGAGGCTGATAAGTTTGCGCAGCGATCACCCTGTCAGCTTCTCCAATGAATTGGTAGGCTCGCTGCAGAAGAACACTTTTGTACGTTTCCCAGACCAACAGGACCGAAATTGGGATTAACAGGCAGTAGACAGACTCGGCACGATCACGACAGCAAGAACTCCAATTCCAGGAACGCCTGACGGCTGAGCTGGAGAAACTCCGCGAACAAGAGACCCAAAACTTCACAAAATTCACAGAGACCCTCTCCGACGAGACCGCACAACCGGAACAGCCCTCCCTTGTCGAGAAGATTCAAGATGCCACATCCAGCAGCTCAACCCTCGCGGAGAAGCAAAGGCAAAAGGACATGAGCAGAGACAGCGTCACCAAAGAAATTGAGAACCTCAAGGCAAAGCTGGAACAGAGGAAGAAGCTGGAGCAGGCCGATGCAAACGTCACAAAGGCAAAGGAAGCCGTTGTCGCGTGTCTGCGCACTCACGACCGACGACCACTGGACTGCTGGAAAGAGGTCGAGACTTTCAAGCAGGAGGTCGGACGGCTAGAGAAAGAATTTGTGCAGAAGACGATTCGATGAGCTATATTACAGAGTCAAGTCTACAAGGTTTGGCGGGGCTTATGTACGAATACGGTGGATATGATTCAGTGTGACCAAGCAGGACTTTCTTCATATCAAACCTCTTCATCCCAATAACTGCGCATATTTCTCTCTCTCCCTCTCTCCCTTCTACAGCTCTTCTTCCCAACCTCTAGACTCATGAATTCCAATCTTGGACAAAGTAGCACCCCCACCTTCCCGCATACGGTGATAATTTCCCCGTTGCGCTATGGTGAACTGTCCTCACCCTCACCTTCACCGTCACTGCGCGTTTGCTAGTGGCGCTTGCATATCATATGCGAGGCTTTCGTTAGACTCACTTACCTGGAGCTATATCGCTTGCCAAAGACTGCTTTCGCTTTCTATCCGTCTTCAGCTTCGACACGTACGGCAGCCGCGCTCATAACCTGAAATCCCGTCGCAAATCTATCGCCATCGCGTCTAACAGTCAGCCAGAGCCACTTAGAAAGCACGAGAAGTCCACGTTTCTCGATTGCGCACCGTCAAGAGAGTTGCTTGGAGCAGCGAGACAGCTTCTGACTGTCTTTACACACCTCCCATTACAAGTCTCGAATCGCAGCACTGGCAAGCATGTCGGCAACAGCAACGAAGCCGTACCCCGTACCTGACGATGATGATGACGACGACGGGCCTTCGAACATTGACGACGGCGACTTGTACGACATGTTCAACATTGGTATGTGGCTGCGTGCAGATATACATTGATTCAATGTACTGACTCCGAACCGTCAGATTGCGATAACGATGTTGAGATAACTGCGTTCCGTTCGTGCATGGAATCATCTAGTGCGTCGCGTAAGACAATCAGCAGCGAAGACGTTGAATTACCAGACATCTCAATACAGAGTTTCAAGCTTAGCAAAGGCAACATCATCAAGCCTGGCGATACAGTCGAGCTCCGTGACCATACGAATCAACCTGCCGATGCTATGCATAGCGGCGACTTTCTCAGAGTCAAGGCTATCATAATGAACTTGGAGACCGATCAAATCCGTCTTCGAGGGCATCGACTTCGCCGTACAAAGTATCTTGGCCAGATTTTCAACTGTGAGTAATGCTAAGATAGACTTAATGGCTTGTACTAATGCCCAACAAGGGAAGTTAAATGAGCTTGGCATGGTTTTGAACGTGGATGAAGGCGATCATCGCTCCCCGCTTATTGCAGGAATGGAAGACGTGGACATGAAAGAGGTCATCCGCATGCGAGAATGCACGCTTACCAACAAACCATTCCCCTTGCTGAGCTTTCGGTCATATGAAAGAGTCGCGTACCCTGTCGGCATGAGCGAGGAAGAAATCAAGCGCCAGATCTTCTATGGCGGACAACTGGCATGCCGAGTCGTCAAAGTCTTCTACATCAAGCCGAAAACAGGAAAGTCATACGGTGGGGTGGCTCGACAACTTTATGTGCACGAGGCGGATACCAACCAGCGCGATACATCTAACGACGAAGCATACGGTAGCATCACTGTTAACAACTCTATCAACAATACGGTCCATAAGAAAGTGCCTCCTACACGAAAGCGGTCAGCAAGATCAGAGTCTCCTGAAGTTGAGCTCCTCGACAGCCCACTCAAGCGGAGAGCTTCGCGTTCTGTCCGACATGGTAAGTTTGCATTCGGGGATGTATTTTGTGGGGCTGGGGGAGCATCCCAAGGTGCTTTGCAGGCCGGCTATAGCATATGCTGGGGTCTCGACTTCGACCACACTGCCCTCGAGACGTATCGTCTCAACCATCCCACCGCACATACTTTCGAACTGGATGCCCACGATTTCCCACCCAAGAACGTCTGCCCAAAATGCTGGAAAGTTGATGTCCTTCATCTCTCGCCCCCTTGTTGCTATTGGAGCCCTGCACAGTAAGATTCTCCAATGTCTATAATAGTGTTATCGCAGCTTTGTGATCAACATACTAACAGTCTATAGCACCCAAGCTGGCCCAAACGATCAAGCAAACTATGAATCGATCTATACTGTGGGGCCTATTTTGAAGAAGGTGAGGCCGCGTATTGCGACGCTGGAGCAGACGTCCGGTCTGGCTACAAGCCAAGAGCATAAACGCAACTTCTTCATGCTATTGCATGACATCTGTGAAGCTGGCTACGACGTCCGGTACAGGATCCAAGATCTTTCACAGTTAGGTCTGGTTCAGAAGCGTATGCGTTTACTTATCATTGCTGCAAGGTACGTAATTAAACATTCACGATCTGGAGGTTTATCTAACAAACAACAGGCGAGGGACACCCCTCCCTCCCTTCCCCAAGCCAACTCATGGTCCTGAGGGCAGTGGTCTCAAGCCCTTTGTTAACATTGAAGAAGCTCTAAGGGACATCGCCCGTCACCCAAACCGCTCGATGAACGACCTCCATCACCAACCAAAATTGTTCACAATGCCAAAACCTAGGTATAGCTCCTATTCACAACTCAAAGGTTGCATAACAACTGGTGGAACGACGTCTTATCATCCCTCTGGATTGCGCAACTTTACAGCACGCGAGTTAGCTCTGTTGCAAAGCTTTCCCGTGCGATATCGGTTTGCTGGCTCTACGGGCCAAGTCAAGAAACAAGCAGGGAATGCCTATCCACCAATCACTAGTGAAGCTATATACCGGGAGATTGCCATGACATTAGATGCTTTTGATGGCGGTCTCATCGATGCCGAAGATGACCTCTCTAATCTGAATTTGGATGCGCTGCTCAGAGCCAATGGTAAGCCAAACTCCTTCCAAAACAACAAGCTTTCGTTCAAGGCGCCAATCTAATAAATTTGTAGATCTATCTATCAGGAATGACCCGAGGCACATGAGGAACGAATTTAACGAAGGTTTCGACTTGGAGAACCCTCGCCTGCGCACAACACCGAGCGACACAGACGAGGTCATCGATCTACTTGACGACGAACATGATGAGGAGTACGTTGAACTGTTGGGCGCTGATGATGAGGACGGATTCATTGACCTGCTGGACGCCGATGATGAGGACGAGTCGATTGGCCTACTGGATGATGACGATGATGAAGGCCGAAACCAAGACGAAGATGACGACGAAATTGTGTACTTGGGTACACGAGAGTCAAACGGTTATTTCTGAAGTGGTTACTACCCTTTAAAAAAGCACAAACTTGCATATCCAAGTTCTGAAAGAAAATTTTTACGGGTCGACTAATGCGGTCTTACTCGTTGCCTTCTTTGTTACTGCAACATAGATCGATTCTCGTTCTCCCAACACCAGGAAGAAGGTTATCGAATCTGTGTGGGATGTGTAGTTCAGCAGGCACATCCGTCTTCAGAACGAACTCAGCCATACGAGATGCAAGGAGGCACATATGTACGAATTTTTTCTGGTTATTAGATGCCATCTGCGTCTAAACGTACTTTCGAACGTGTTTCAAGTCTTCCTAGTTAAATATGTAAAAAGTGAAAATTATGCACTACTACACCTAAACCTATGTTAACAACACAGCCCATCTAAGTATACAAAACAGTTGAATCGCTTCATCTCTTCCTGGAATCCACGCATCCCGCGCCATCCGTCTTCTCCTCCGGTCCTCTATTTTCTCCACCACACAACATCTACCACGAATGCGGAATCAGATTGACAACGCCCTCCTTGGGCATCTCTTCCACCACCTCTCCTAAATCCAACATAGCAGCCTTCGTCCTGATCTCATTCCGCATCAACAGCACCTGGCCTGCCAATTCGACCAAGCTTTGCTGACAAAGCACCTGTCTCATAACGGTAAAATCAAAGTAAATCTCCGAAAAGTCAAAACGCAACGTAATATCGCGGACATTCAATTGGGCCAGCGTCTTGCGAAACAGGGCGTCAGCATCAGCCATGTAGAACCCGGTTAGCATTTTTTGAAACGCGAGTCTATCAGTGGTTCCTTTGCTGTTGCTGTCGTCATTGCCGCGATCTGATGCCGTGTCGTCGAGGTAGCGCCGCGTATCCGCGCATAATTTCAGGCTTAGGAGAGTCGACTCCACAGCGCCGAGAAGATACGATAGGCTGGTGATGTACCGTTCGGCTCCAGCGGATACCGGTCTCCAAACCCCGGTGCGGGGATCCATTATCCTCCGCATACACCGAGGGTAATATAGTACATCGACTTGGAGGTGGCGGACTAGTGGTAAGTCTCTGAGTTGCAGAGGGGGTTCGAAGGCGCCTGAGCCCTCGGTGTCGTCTCCATCATCGGCGGAAGCTGGCGGCGGGATCGAGGTAATGTAGAATGAATTCTTGCCGAAGAAGATGGAGCGGGCTTCAGCGTAGATTTGCTTGTTGGTGCGGAGGATGGCTGTGTGAAGGTCGTATTTTTTGCTTTCTCGTGCGACGGGGCCTTTGAGTGGAGAGGGCGTAACAAGGAGGAGGGTGTAGATATGTAGTCGGAGTTCGGCTGGGAGGATATCGAGGAAAGGTGAGCGTGTGGGGGAAGCCATGGTTGGTCTCTTTTGAGCCGTTGATAGACTGTCAACGCCTCTTTGAGTTACTGAATGCTTGTAAAGGCTGGAGGTATATGGACTGTTGTGTTGTTTCTGTGTGGGATGAGTGTTCAACTACTCCAAAATGATCAACCCTAATGTAAAGTCACCATCAACAGGAACAGCCACAGCAGCGCGCGCCCCTGGTCTTTATCTTCTTGCACGTCCGAACCAAGCGCCATTATGCAGTCCAATGCACATCGTCATGGATTGTCAAGGCCATTCTAGTTTGTTAGATTTGACTCGCTCCACCTAGCATTCTTGGAACCCATAGTATAGCTAGGAACCCTTCGCTGGGCGCGCTTAAGATCCCAACCCACAGCCGTCCATGCGCCTACGATAGACTTGACGAAAAAGCTCCTAGCTTTCCCGCTTAAGAGGCGATTGATGTGCAGATCATGGATATTCACAAGGATGCGGCCTGAGACCGCGCTTTTTCGGCTGCAGACAGCCATTGGTGGAGGGATATGAAACCCTGGCGGTACGGTTTGCTATCGCTCCGAGAGGGCATGTCGAGCGGCAGGTGGCAGGCGTGGCACACATGACCTGGCGGAGAATTATCCGTAGCGTGTTTCCGGTTCGTTTCTGGAAGCGTGGATGGAAGCTTTTGGGCCTCTTGTCTCGTCAGCCGGGGGCACTAGACTGCTTCTAGGCTGCTTCTACGGTTGAGTATGGCGGGCGAGCACGGGCGAGTTGCCCAGCTGTATGAGATGGACGGTTCGTTCCAAATCAAAAGATTGTGCGACAAGGCACATACAGCCTAAGCATCCCCACTTCTCCACCTCGCGAGGATTCGGCATAGAGTCTTACAAGCCATCTTGCACATGGCGGTTACAGCATCTTTTGCAAATCGGCATCCTCCACACCTACCTGCTCAGACATTCGGGCACCTCTGCCTAGAAGAATCGGCCAGACTCACAGCCTCGCCTCGCCTTGTCTGCTCGCAAAGGCTTTAGCCCGAAAGTGCGTCCGAAGAAAAGGCGGGTGCTGCCGTCGTCCAAAAACGTGACCTTTACATCCAACGGCCCTGGAGCCCAGAGCTCCGGCACCCACAAGCTCAGACGATCAATGCACACTCTCTCTTTACAGGGAACCTAATCATGTAGCCACTTCCCCTAGTTGCAACTACTCCCTAACAAGCAGAATTTGCGATGTGCCGACACATAGCGCAGTCGCTGGGACGTGACGACCATGCCCTGTCCGACAAACTTCAACGCTCCACGAGCCGCACCAGACAGCGAGAGAACGAGAGAACGGGAACGCACATGGCGCGCTAGGATGATCAGCACTAGAAAGATCAGCACTAAAGGGTCGGGTGCAGACTTCCACGCGAATGAACGAGTGAGGCACTAGAAGCTCACATCGCATATCCCACACATGCCATCACCGAGCTACCGTCTGATTCTTCTAGCAAATACCGCAAGTGGGTGAGCGGAACCGCACATGTGCTTATTAAACCGAAACCCCCATTCTGAAATTAATCCCTGCTCAATCCAGCCAGACAAAGGCGGATCCTGTCAACGTCTCGGGCCCAATATTGCGAGAAAAACACATCAATACTCCGAATAAACATGACAAAACCAGCCACCCCGCCTTGGAACGTAGTCAGCATGGCATGATCGATACCCACCTGCCAGGCGCAGGGTCCAGCAAATGCGGTGTGCTTCTCGGATCAAACTCCGCTACCCATCTATCCATCACCAAACGATCAAGATTATCCACCGAGACGAGGTCGTCACCTACTGTTACTGTTACATACTACAGCGCCCACTCCAGAGCCAGCGCTACCCCATGTGACAAGGCACACTTTTTTTTAATTGAATCGACGACCCAAAACGGTCCGATACCGTACCTAGGCATGTCCGCAAACCTTCGGGCATGCGGAAAATCAGCGCTCCAGCATGTGTGTGCGTGTATTTTTCCACGTTTTCGCGCCGAAACGCAACCCTGAAAAAAAGATCGATTAATTCCGAACGTTGGGAAGGCATGCCGACTATTAACTGGCCGTAAAACATTATCATGATTTGACCACGTGCAATTTCGCAGGTGGATTCGGCGTGGGGGGATCGATAGAGGGGGAATCGGAAGAGGCAGCAAAGTTACATCATCAAGAAAAGATAATGAGGCAGTTGTCCTTCTCACATGGTTTCACACCATCTTTAGCCATTCCTTCCGTATCTGGCGATTTGCAATCAGACAGGCAGGCATGAACCCAGCTTATGAAAGAGACGACGTATACAGTAGTATCCTACGGCCTTGGGCTTCGCTACAGCACACGATGAACATATCCGATCGGTGAAGCAGCAGCAACAATAGCATTGGCCAGCCAAAAAGCTAACTCTTTCCCAACCACGCTGCATCACGTTCAAATCGAACTACCGGTCGGACGCCGGTCCTTTCCCTCCGTCCAGCTGGGAACAGCGTGTGTTCTTGTCTACCAAGCGGCTAACAGGCCGAGGACACGAGACAGAAAAAAAGATGATGCGGACATCGGAACCGCAATACTTCCTCCCTATCACCAACCATCACATCAGCTCCCAAGCACACATTGAAAGACACGCATCGTATTTCCACTGCCACGGGCTCTCAACGCCAACGCAACACAACCCAGGAAATCAGACTAACCCCGAGGATCTACACAAAGCGTGACCTTCCTTTCTTTCCTCTTTCCCCCCTCACCCATCTCATCTAACACCCACACCCACACTACAGCACATCACCCTCTATCCCACACCGCTAAATCACATCAAATCAAGCCTCACTTTCCAAATTCACCAAAGTTGCTGAATCGCTATTCCTTTCTTATCTCCGTTTGGCCTGGGAAAGTGGGGCGTGCAGCTGGAACTATACTTCCGCCGCCGCCCCCTCTTTCTCGATTAGTATCAGCGGCATACGTCATATCAGGCCATTATAAGCTTGACCCGTGCTTTCGTGCCTTTTGGGCACGGTCCTCCTTCCAAGCGTGCCCTCATCGTTTCTGGGGCAGGCGAGAAAAAAAGGAGGGGAAGCATGTCTGTGCTATTTATGACTGAAAGTGCGAGATGGCGCGTGTGAGTCAGGCTGGGTGTGTACGTAGTCGTGAAAAAGGGGTTGATGGGGTGTCGTGGGGTGGGAAATTGGGTTGTCATGCGATATAAATAGGGCCTCTCCTCACGATTGTGTTTTACTTACTTGATTCCACTGCTATGAAACACGCTTCCGTAGTGCTGGGTATTTCATGTTTGACACAAATGTGGAGATTGTGCAACTGTAAAATGCCGTCTGTTGATATGACTATCATTCAAGGAGTGCAAACTTGTGGGCCCAGATTAATGCGATAACGCATGTAAACTTTGTGAGTATTGTACTATATTTCCAAAAGTTCAATCTTCGTAAAATCGTAAAGTCATTCCGTTTCCGTCATTTCGTATCCAAACAGTCATCAAAAAGATGCCAGACGCGTGCAAGACAGCAAAAAGTAAGAAAAGCAAGGAGATGTAATAGTACACTGGCATACTCGACTATAATTGCCCATTTTCCCACGCATGACTTCAGTATTCCCTCTTCCTGTGCCTCCGCGTTTTGACAGGCGAACCGGTACCCTCGGAAGAGCTGCTGAAATAGTCATATTCGTCACGACTATAGTCATATCCACGGTCGGGACGACGATCGCGCCTATCATCCCTGCGGTCATCCCTTCCTGCATCTCGATCCTCGGGTCCGCGAGACTTTGAGCGGAACCGGTCGATGATACTGCGGCTTCTAGCGCGAAGACCGGGACCTTTGCTGCGCTCGCGATCATGTGTGCGAGTGCGCGAACGGGAGCGGGAACGGGACGTGGAGCGGCGATCGCTTCGGCTTCTAAATTTGGCATCAGCAAACTGGAGAGCAGAACCTGAGTGTCGGGATTCTCACCGAGACCTGGTCGCCACCTGTCTAGCACCAAGTGCACCCGCTGCTGCTCCTGCCAGTGTGGTCAGCCTACTTTTACCTAGTGACCTGCCTGCAAATCCTCCCGCCAACGCACCTCCCAGCGACGCAGCCAGACTCTTCTCTCGCAAATCCATGCTATCGAATCTATCACGCATTTTAGCCATGCGCGAATCATCGTCTCGACGGTGGTCTTTGCTAGAACGGGAGTGGTGCGAGTGGGAGTCGACAGACCTGGCTCTATGACGAGTGTCACGACGATGCCTGGTACTGTCACGCCGGGGGGAGGATTCAGCATATGGCACGACTTGCTCGCGGTTGGCAGTAGGGTAAGTCGGATAGGCTGGTTCTGGCATTGGGGCGAAAGGTGGCTGAGAGTTGGACCGCTGGCGGCTGAATGGCGGAGGAGAAGGCTGATAGCCGGCGCCATTGGCAGGGAAATCGGTATGATGATATGGGTTCATAGGAGAGTTGGACCCGACTGGCGGGGGAGGAATTGGAGCGTCAGCTACGGGAGATGGGGCATATCCAGCATCGGGCGTGTATCGAGCGGCGGCTCGCGAAGTTTCGTGCTGGCCATAATCCTGTGTCCTGCCATATGGCTGAGGAGCTGCTGGCTTCGGAGTGTTAGTGACTGGTCGCTGGAGCAGAGCCGCTAGAGGCGGTTCGTAAGATGGGATAAAAGCAGCATGAACTGGTGAACCGCGAGAAAGGGTTTCGCGAAGATGGGGTCGAAAAGAAAAGGGACTCGTCGAGCTCGACATGGACCGGCCCCCCAACATCGGCGGACAACTGTGCGCTGGTGTCGGATGCTCGGGCATTGTCGCAAGCGTCGCACGTCGAAGAGAAGAAATGTTATTTACCTGAGACGGATATCCGTACGCGGGCGTAGCAGATGGTCGGTGGTCTTGCACTGGACTAGGGGCATATTCCTGTGGGTTGTAGGGCCTATACTCGGATGCGGGCGGAGGGGGAAAGTAGGGTTGTCCCTGCCCGGGTTGCGCCATATCCCTAGTATCACTGTATTGTCCGTCCAAGTCGCTGTCGTGTCGACTATGTCTTCCTCGGCTTAGACTCCGGCTAGGAGCTTTTGCAGCACTCTTCGCACGTCGTCGCTCTCTCTTTCTTTGCTCTCTCTCGCGCTCGTATTCGCTGTCGTCTGTGTAATAGTCTGAGTACTCGGTGGGTGGACTACGCTCTCGTCGCGAACTGCGCCTGGCGGATGGCTCTTCACTCTGGCGCCGCTCTTTGCGAGATTTACCTTTAGTCTTGCGGTTCTTGTCGATTTCCTTTTGTTCTGCTGGAGTAAAAAACCCGCCAGGGATCTTCTCAAAGAACTTGTCGGGGATCTGTTCTGCGCCGTAGCTGATCGCCTTGAAGGCCAGGGCTGCCATCTTCGATGAGGCTAGTAAATCCGGATGTCAAAGGGGTGACGTAGGGTTGGATAGCAAACAGGAACGTGATTGGAGCGCAATCGACCGGTTCCAGTGAGAGGACGAGGACGCCTTGATGCGGGGTTGGCGTGCAGTAAGGCTGAAGAATATGGTGGCGAATCGCAGAGCGGAGGTGGGTGTAAGCAATATAGATGGTACTTGAAGATGTAAGAGTTGGGTTGGTGGTGGACGTCTTTTCAAGTACGTGTGCTGGGGATGAAGCGAGGTATAGAGTACAAGTGGCAATTGAGGTTTAAGGCGTAATAGGCAGGCACAGGGGTAAAGTTGATCTGCCAGTCGCGCTGCGTCTAAATAAGACAATATAGCTAATCCGAGGCACAGTGGGATTCCGTGGCAGGCGCGTTGACAGAATCCTCAAACGACGTCATACGTCATAGCCGCGGCTCGTGCGCTTCCAGCTTCCATCATTGGAGCCGCAATTCCGCCTCGCCGTAGATCCGCAGATCTTTTGCATGGAGAAGACAGATCCGACATGGGCAAATAAGATATAACATACCAGTTAATGTCCATATACTCACTGATCATACAAGTCGTAGAGACATCTTAGCCACTTGCGCTTAAGGGTTTTGTCTGAACTCGTCTGCGCTCGTGCTGGATCCTACAGTCATACACGATATAGGTATCACTCACCACTACGTCTATTCTTTGCCTCCAGTGCTACCATATGGGATTCATGTCTCCCTTGCCTAGAGCTGGATCGAAACCCTCGTTACTAGCAGCCTATCGTGAGTTTGCTATGCGTTGGCAGGTTCAGCCCCCAGCCACTCGGATTATCCGAGGCATGTGCGATGACGACATGCTCAGGTCTTCATGCTTCACCGCCCAGATGACAAGATGGCTTTCCACGTGGGATCTACATTATCGTCATAGATGGATTTTGATAGCTCGGCGCCCTGAATTTAAGATTTGAGCATTGAACTTTAGAAGAGTATCCGCGAAATGGGTATCTTGTATACTAGAATCATTACAGCACCATCCCTGAAATTGTAGCCATGCTTTTAATCATCCTGTGACTTTCCTGAGCCTCGGTAGTCTGTTGACTAGACTTGTTCGATGGCTCTTGTTGCAGGACTCCGTATCTCACCCGCAGGTCTGCCGGCACTATCTGGAACCTCAACCATGTCCTCTACCATACCGAGGAACCTCTGCCTGTACTCATCGCTTGTAGTAGTTATGCTCATTGGACCATGGTCCCTCCCGGGCTTGACAGCGTTGAATAGTTTGACCAAGCTAGTTAGTGTCTTCGCCTGGAGGGCATCCTTCGCCCAAAAGAAGTCGAGGATAATGGCCCGATAGACCCACTTGCCATCACGCGACACAATACCACTACGCCATGGGGATCCGCGACCTGGGGGTGGTGGGACTTTGTCGTTCTCGGACGATCCAAGGTCGGCTGGGTACCGGACGAGGAATAGTGAGTAGTCGACCGCATTGTTGGCTTGCAGGATCTTGGAATCGCGAGATAGCTGCGCAATGAGCTCCTCCTTTTGATCAATCGTTACTCTAATCTTATCCTCGAATTCATCGATAAGTCGCTTCTTGACACTCTCTGGAGCTAGTTTTCCGTTTGCTACGTCACGTTCAGGGTAGAAGTAGTCGTTTGGCTTCAAATCATACGTCTCCCATCGCTTCTGTTGGTCCTTGCCGCAGCTCGACTTTCCATAGAGAATGTTCTCCATTATGATATGATGGCTTGGTGCGGTGCCCAGTGCAGCTCCAATGGTGGCGGTAGGGCAGTATAGGAGGTCTGTTATTCGGACTAGCAAGGAGTCCTCGTTGAGCTCCATGTGTTCGACATAGGGTGCGAGAAGACGGTCGCGAAAGAACGACTGTTCGAATTTCCGGGGCAGCGATTTGATAAGGAACTTGGAGTTTGGTGTCGTAAAGAAAGTCTATAATATATGAGCTGATAACCTGGAAACTTGCTGGTGTTTGCGTACCGATCCAGAGTAGCCCAAGTCTCCGATGGCGACGAGATCTGTCCGCTTGCTCTTGCTGGGACTGCGGAAGCTCTCTGTATATTCTTCCTCTTCGATCTCCCATGTTTCATTCCTCAGCTTCTTAAACAGTGATGCGCGATATCGGGCTAGGGTAAGGCTGAAGAGAGCAAAGAAGGCCCAAATGCGCGCGAACAGGCCTGGGCGTTCACTCTCATCTTTCCTGGGTGAATCGGATTTGAAGATTGCGCCCAGGATAGATGTGCTAATGAGGCGATCTCGACGTCCCATCGTAAGTTTTCGTTTGGTTGTGATTCAAGACTGCCCAGGTGGACGTCAGAGCGAGCAGGTGGTAGACATGTAAACTGCGTCGCGTGACGTCATTACACTAATGATGAACTCAATGCGCGGTGCGCACGTCTTCAACAACGCACTAAGCTTAATCATTGCTTTTCTGGAGCGTAGAATCTAAGCCTACAATATGAGAAACTTGATGGGTCTTAGAGACAGCTGGTAAGTCTCTTGTTATCTGCAGCTAACATTTAGCATAGGCATAGGGCAAGCCGTCACAACGGCGCGACGTGCCTTTGCTGGGAAAACTTCTGGCACGCAGCTTTTACATGTAGGCTCAATTGGTCAAATACATCTCATCCGATACATGAGTTCTTCCCGCTCTGCAGCCTCGAGCATCCCTCGGGAAGCAACTGCACGAAGACTATATACTATAATTATCTGAAGTCGTGAAAATCCAAGTGCAAGAGAAGCATAGGGTAACCCTGGCGAAACTTTATAATAAATGACAACTAAAATACGCCCAGGCTACTGTGAGTTGCATTGATGGCCATACGCAGTGATCAAGGATTGGTACGTACAGTACAGTAGCTACCGCCGCTGCAGCAATCCGTCACTGCCTACTTACCATCGTTGAGTGAACTAGTTCCTTCTATTCGTTATGCTGTACTATCTATACCTGGCAAAGGGAGCGGGATTATTGGAAAGTATATATAACTAATGCAGCCACGCCACGCCACTTTAGCTGCACGTATGCGTCTCCACTGGGGTCTCGACAACAGAGTCCTGAGGTCTTGGAACAGGCGGGGATTCTTTGGCTCCGCTCTAGTAGATCTCGCCCTGCCGCCTCCCGGTTTCGTATGCGATTGCACTAAGTGTCCCGCTCCAACCGAAGGGCGGCAGCGGAATATGCAATACCGTAGCCACAAAGCGGCGGCTGAATCGATAAAAGTAATCGACGATAGCATTTGAGGCTCGATACCGTTTCTTGATCGATGTGTAACGGTGGCTTCGCGCTGTGTAACCCAGTACGGATGCTATGACCACACACACCAGCGTGAGGCAGTGGATATGTATGCATCCAACAGCCATATTTTTTCGAGTTGACTAGAGCCCCCATGCCTATGCTCACCCATCTAGGCTGGGGCCCATGTTAGCTTCCCTGAGCCGTGCGGTCTAGCAGTGATGAGTGATTGTAAGACTCGCCCAGACGCTTCACCATGGCCAATTGGCAATCTTTTGCCCCCGTTGGGCAGTTTACTAGGGGGAGCCCAGATACAACAGCTGCAGGGTCATCAAGACCGTGCTGACTGGCTTCGTATCACAGTCGCTTTACCTGTTTGTAGCAAGGAGTACACATATAAAGCCGATAGCACTTTACGTGCTGCTGACAGCGACCCGTGCCACTCAATCGATAAACTCCGTACACTCTAGAATCCACTGCCAGTGTCACTGCGCGTGGTACGGGTACCCAATCCTTTCAAACTTTGTACACTCCCTCCATCCCAGCTCTTTATTCACAACATAGTACCGCTGTCCACATAATGGCGAGTGCAGACGTACAACAAGCACCGGCACAGGATGCTGCTGCCGCACTACCAGACTACCTTACCAATCCGGATGCTGTTCTGGGGGACAAGAACGCCCGTTGGCGATACGGCAGGGCCCCTGATTACTCAAAGACAAGAAAGGTGTTCTCTGAGAGTGAGTTTCTTGTTGTGACAGTCAAGCTGCATCGTTCCTAACCCGATACAGCGAAGCAAATGACCCACGAAGCCGGATCTCTCCCCGAACTCGTACAAAACCTCGTGAAGAACTGGGAGGTCGAAGCTTCTTTCAAACCCAAGATAGACGACTGGCGTACAATCGACCATGAGAAGTACTCTTTTGCCATCAATGGCTCCAAGGCTGAGGGTGCAGAGGCCATGCTGAAGGTCGGCACATACAACGCCATCATCCCACCGAACGAATACTACTCGCCCGAGTACTCCGACTTTGCCTCGTCGCACAAGACATTCAAGCGTATGATGCCGACATTTGCATGGGAGGTGCTCGAGGTCTACAGTGGCCCACCAACCGTCAGTTTCCGGTGGCGCCACTGGGGTCAAATGAAGAACGACTACGTCGGCTTCAATAACAAGGGCGAGAAGGTTACAGCCAAGGCCCATGGAGGCTCGATAGACATCCAGGGCGTCACTGTCGCGACAGTGAACGACAAGGTACAGTTGCAATCCGTACGGACATGGTTTGATCCCATGGATATGTTCCGTCAGATTGCACCCGATGGTGTGGTCAAGAAGGAGGAAGCGGCCAAGAACATGTCGCCGGCCGAGGCACTCGATGAAGCACAGGCTGGTGTGAAGGTCCCCGAGGAGCAGGAGTTGCCCGACCGTACGATCCAGACGGATGAGGAGGTTGCACAGACGATTGCTGGTATTGATAAGAAGGAGGCTGAACAAGCAAAGGAGCCGAAATCACAGGAACTGCCTGCTGATCATCCTGCGGTTTCGACGTCGTCGAACTCGGAGGGCGGATGTCCATTCATGCCTGGAGGATTCCGCACAGAATGAGTGATGGAGCATAACCTGCATGGAGGTAGTGAGATATCTGCTGTGCAATCATGAACACATGTGGCATGATGTCGATGGATATACGAGTGAAGACTTGTCATGCTTCTTTCAAGGTAGTTTCCAACTTGGAGTAATACACTGTAGTTTCTTGATAATTAGCCTTCGTCAGGACATTCGTTTACCCTAGTATCATCAAACCGATGGATGCTTCACTAATATCCAGAAGAAATGTTGGTATACCACGAGATGTAATTATGAAGATCAGCTCCCCATGGCGAGTGAAATTCCCACACCGGTAGTCTCCACCGGCAAGACAAAAAGCAGGTTCTTTATTATCATCAGGGTTTGAACTACTAAACGACCACCACGCTAGCACACTGCTGCCTTGTATCTGACTCGTTCGGCGGCTTTGCATTGAGTCTTTTATGAATCTTTGCAACATGTGGCTTTTGTTAATGCCATGTGGCGATATCGACGTAACGATGCAGCGATACACAGGTGGAGCTTTGTGACTGTTGAGATTTGCGTACTCGTGAGGAATACGACACTGACTAGTGATCCACGGTGTGTGGACCCCCTTTTGACTGGAGGTTGGAGGCGTTCGTCAAAAGAAAGCAATCTCCGCGCGGACCCTGAAAAATGCAAATACAGCCAATGTTAAGGTGTGGTTAGGAAATACTGGAGTTGATAGCATGGCCCACACCACTTGGTTGCCTGCCCAACCATGTTTGCGACGCCAGGAACTTGGTAATATCAGTTAGGCAGCAGGTGAGTCATACCTTCCTTTCATCATGACTACCGCATCTAGCCTGGTTTTATGCTAGCGCATGGGTACGCGCCGGGCGGTATTCACGCGATTGTGGCTCACACGGTATCATGTGCCTATGATGCTCGTGTGCCGATACTAAGCTTGCGTCACACCTGACTGCGCAAATTTTCGGGCCTTGGTGTGAGGCGACATTTCGAGTCTTGTGGCACGCTAACGATCATGTCTCTTCTGCCTGCGACGGAGATGCTTGGCTGGGGTAGAGAGGCCAGAATGGTGGCTAGGGCCCAACTGCCGCACTGGGCCTCGGTGGTGTCGAAGTGACTCAGCCCTCATACCAAGGCCGCCTCCAGTAGGGCAGCCGGAACAAGTCGGCTCCGGGGGCGCATCGTGTAGTGGAGGGCGGCCCCTGCCGATGAGTCGTCGGCGGTAATGCGCTTGGCGCTTCTGGAAGCGGCGACGAAGCGCAGAGTTTGCAAAAAGATCAGATGGAAGGGGTGCTCAGCATGTCGAGAACGTGGGAGGGTGACAGAATTGTTTACGGGAGCTGGTCGCAGGTCGGGTGCACGGAGCCGAGACACGACGACGCTTCTGGAGTCGGTTTTGGGAACATGTCCGGTACGATCAGCCACTGTGGTGTGCAGAGTGGAGAAGAACTATGGCAGAGCAAGGCGCGATGTGTTGGCAGCAGTTCATTGCAGCCTCGGCCGTTTGCGTCATCGTCAGGTCGCATTGCTCTCTGTTCAGCACGCATGGCAATGCTCAGAGATGGGAATGAGGCATTTACCAGCTACCGGCATTTGCGCGGTGCTGAGCGCGCGTTTGCATCACGACGGCAGCGCGGAGATGCATAGGGAGATGGGTTGCATATGTGAGATTACGAGTGTCGCAGCAACGATCGAGGGGGTCGGTCCCGAAAAGTCAGCAAAAATGACCACTCGAAGCATAGACAGAGGCGCAAATTGACTACTTTGGGCGGCGGGGGCTTTTGGTGCCCAATGACAGCGCAGGCAATGTGGCAGAATGACTGTGAATCGAGACGCCATCCCTGGCCTTCCCAGGCAGCCGGTCCCCTCATCTCAACGAAGCGCAGCTGAAAGGGAGTGAGGGGGTGGTGGTGTCAATCAGCCTGGCACGGAGCGTTCGAGCGCAACCGCGCCTAGGGGTGGCATCAAAAGGAGACGCCGTGTGTCGCAGCAGCTTGTCGCGTCGCAATCCAGCAGCGATGGACGGGCTTAGCAGGGACTGGGCTGCAAACTGCACGTCTGCAACCCGCTGCGCCAGCCATGGCGGCAGGCGGTGTTGGTTCAACGTGGTTGGGATGAATGCAGCGTGCGGGCTGTGTGTGGCCTGGGACACTGCTGCAGCGCTGCCGTGTGTGATTGCGTGATGATAGGGAACGAGCCTTTCGTCTCACTCAGCATCAATGGTTTGCAGATGGGAGAGCAAGCGCGCGCTCCATGACCCCAGCGACATGCTCAACAGCGAGCAATAGTGATGGGGGCAGGGCGTGACATGGGCCCGAGAAGGGGGGGGGGTTATTTTTTTGCCTCACCGTGGTTCTTGGGCAGTGAAGGAAAAGTGCATTCGCTGGCGGTGCCATTGTTTTCCAAGGTTACTGTGTGGCAAGAGGCAAGCTGGCCAGTGCGTCCGGGTTGCGATGACTGGACTGGGGGGGGCTGTAGGGGACGGGGTTCCTATTAGTATCGCCAGCGCCGCCCAGCCCGGACATGCCCATCAAGACAGCAGCAATGGACTTCACGACTCCCTACAGCGCGCCCTGGGGCCTGATCTAGGACTACAACCCGCAATAGTGTTGTCTGGTCTCTGTCGCAAATCATCATCGCCTAAACCACTACCCGCTCCCGTTCAGTCTTTGTCCAGGTAGCAGTCGCCGCACGACCTCAGTCGCCGCCACCCTGCCGCCTACCGCCTACCCTATAGATCCATCGCTCGCCTCCAGTCATACTCCAGACGAGAGCCTGTCCTTTTTATATCACCTTCTCTCGTGCCTGCCTTGTCGCGACCAGATCCCCCTCTGTTCGCGCCTTCCCACCTTTGCCGACCCGCCGACCGCCACTTCCTCCCACGTCAGACCTCACACCTCCCGTCTGCAAACAGCTCTTATGTACACCAACACCCAATAGTAATACACCAAACACCTGTCCAACAAACACACACCGTTCCGCACACCCGCCGCGAACACAAGAAGCCGCTCAGCTTGGTGGACACCGTCACAAGGTAACCACCATCCTCGAACAACTTCCCACATCGCGTTCAGTATCACAATGTACCCTTCGGTCTACACTGCTTCAGTCACTCGTCGCTCAGAAATCACCATTACTTCCGGAAACAAGGCCTTCGTTGGAGGCTTCGCTTGCTAGAACCCCCCGCATCCTCTCAGACTTTCGGCTTTTGCGACAGCGCCCGCTGTGCAGTAGCTGCAATATCCGAGTGCTTTGCGGACGTCTCGAACAGCGGTCTTGTTTCGGTGATTCTGCAGTCGACAGTGACTGGAGTCTTCTCGCCAAACTCCCTCAGCATCCAGCGTACTCGCTCGAAATCTACACTCTTACCGCTTCTCCGACTCTCATCGCTCCCATCACACCACGATCCTCTACACGATCAGACCACTAGATTGACGCGATCATAAGATCCGAAGAAGAACCTTTACAAGAGAATAGCATCTCGAACTATACGTCAGAGTGTCACAGGGTTGCCCTCTACGGTTTGTCCCATCGGTTAAGTTCTCGGTCACCCCACGACCACACCACGCTCTACGTCACATCTCCTGGTCTACCTAACGGTCAGCACTTCGAGACGTAACGGCATAGCACCCTCATCAATCCGCCCAATCCTTACTATCTACCTTTCTTCACGGGTTCCGTCCTGTACAACCCTCCTTCATCATGAGCCTTGATATCCCTCTTCCCAAGAACGGCTACTTGCCGGAAACTCATCCATACGCCGCCCCCCTTTCATCTTCCGCCTCTTCTTCCACTTCATCTGTATTCTCCGACGCCGCCTCACAAGCGTCCAGCGCAAGCTCCACATCATCTCACTCTAACTGGGACTCTGAAGAATGGAGTCGCAATCAGGTTGCACCGACATCTACCGTCGACCCAGCAAACCTGTCTGCTTTCCAACCCATCAGCCGAGTTAGCACTTACCCTCAATATCGACCAGCAGCATGCCGAGAACTTGCACAGGAAAGGTTACCTTCCCTACGCACAGAGTTTTTGGCGCCAATCGAGCAGCGACAGAATCCCAGGCGATCGACATCGACCATCAATCAACGCGCACCACCCCAGCTGGTACGGCAGTCCGATCGAAAGGTCAACTTCGTCGATTGCCTCGTCGGTTAGTACACACTTTGCACAGGACCAAGGTTCCCCGCTGATCAATTTTCTCTTCAAGATTCCGCTACTCAAATGGTCGAAGTCATCTGGCAGTTGTCTGAGCCCAAGAGCCGTTGTGAGAATGCTTCTGGCCGAGGGGCACTTCCTCTCCGCAGGTTCATTCAAGAGACTCTCCGACGATCTCGCACCAGCTACTCGACACTGCAAGTTGCGCTGTACTACTTGATCCTGATCAAGCCTCACCTACCAAAGCATGACTTCACCATGTCACAGCCCGAGGACATGTCTCTTCGCGCCCTGCAATGTGGTCGCCGTATGTTCCTAGCCGCGCTTATCCTCGCGTCAAAGTATCTGCAGGACCGCAATTACTCGGCTCGCGCATGGAGCAAGATCTCTGGCCTCAAGGTTTGCGAGATCAACACCAACGAGATGGCCTTCCTCGAAGCTGTGAACTGGAAGCTACACATTGTAGACTCCATTTGGGAGAAGTGGCAGGAGGTTGTCCTTCAACACACACCTACACTTCCACCTCCATCCCCCGGCGCTTCCATTCCTAACACTTGGAAAGACGTTATCCCGATGTTGACACCTGATTTGGATATCGTCGAGTTGGCTCCCAAAGGCCCTGCTACTCCTATCCGTGCGCCACCGCGTCCACAACTAAACGCGTCGCCTTACTGCTACCCATCGCCTATCAGCTATGGATCGAAAGAGAGCACGCCAACCCCAGCTCTTTATCAAGTGCCTCGTTTTTTGGAGCCTAAACCAGATCTTATCCGCACTCCGTCTTTGCCGTCTCTCGCTCGCTTGGGTGCCTTGCCTACGCCATCCTTGACGCCTCAATCCATGGCTAGCAACACTCCTGCAGCGAGTGCTATGGCCTTTGGATCGTCGCGACGCACGTCGATGACTTCAGCAATGCAACAGGCACAGTGCTCGTCATTGGCGCGCACCTGTGTAGACCAGTTCAACCCAAGCATGAGGACCGGCCTGGAGGCTTACCACTTCCCGAGCCGACGACCTTCGCTAGCTCCTTCCAACTCATCATTGTCATCCTCTCCAGAGTCAATGATCTCAGACAACTCTCGCTCTTCGCGTGCCTCGTCGATCTCGTCAGTTTCGTCTGCGGTTTGGGCGCCAAACCAAAGTCAGGCCAAGTTGGCTCGATTGCGACCTGCCGCAACGCAGACTGCCGTATCCTGCATGTCAAAGTGCAAAGAGCAGTACGAGTATGCCCGAGCGAGCCCATGTCTTCGCCTGATCTGGATAGCTTTCACATCAGTGATTCGGATACCTCACCAGCCAAGGTCAAGAGCCCTGCGTTCGTCGCTCCTGCAAGTCGCAAGCGTGGAAGGTCATCGGTCGAACTCCATCAGAACGTGCGCCACCTACTGCATACCACCCGCTTCTGCGTTTGACCTTCGTGGTCAAACAGCTGTGCTCCCTGATCCGGTCGGTTGCACAGTCATTCATCCTCTCAGGCAGTGAACCCAAAGGGCTGCAGTCCCCCGAAGAACACTGCTCCTACTTGCTCGCGTCTTCCCATCCAGAAAGACTTTGGCAAGAAGAGGTCCTGCTGTAGCACCGAAGCTGCGCAGGCCTATCGTCCACATGGACCTGGCATGTGGGCCGGTATCTTATAATGACGAAGCCCACCAAAAAAGTCCAAAAGAAGGCTAAAGAATAAAGAAAGAGGAGGAATACTATCGCTTCGGTTTTTACCTTTTCAAATATCCACCCAACCACACTTCTACACGCCTGTGTATATTTCCTACATCAACTCCGAACAACGCCACCTGTGTATTTTCCTAGTGTCTTTGAACGCACGGGGCGTCTATTTCCCATGTCATTTTGCTGCTGCTGCTGCTGCTTCAAGCTCTGGTATACCTATTTGGGTTTACTTTTGGCGTTTATCCACTACTAGTACTACTACCAACTGGCGTTTTATAATTCTACTGCTACCTAAGGCGAAAGCTCTCGGTTTTGAGCGGAAAGGTGTGTTGGCAAATATACCTTTTTGGCATTTGGCATGGTTCTTAACTGGAATTAAGAAGGAGTTTCAGCTAGTTAGCTTGCTCGCGCACACGCGCGCAACACGTCCGCGTCCTTGATTTGGAGAGGGAGTGTGCGCGCGTGTGAAAATGTACATTTATGCTACGGTGCTCATAGCTGTGTACAACGCGGTATGGTGTAGGTTAGCTAGTGAGGTCTGGTAGTAGGTAGTAAGTAGATGTTGATGATACATAATGGCTGTGTCTTGTTTTGATTTGCTTATGTGTTGATCGTGATTTATAGTGCATGTTACATTCATCTCCGATCGATCGATCGTATGATGATGATGATGATGATAATCACTTGTTGGTTTCACCACTGCTTGGAAATCAATCCTCCTGACAGATACTGTGCTGACGGGCGTGCTTGCTTGGGGGGCTTGTCGTACGCCTCATCTGCTTATGAACAAATTAGATTGATTTGCGACTAAGCCGGTACAGCTGATGATTGCAATATTAAATTGTTACAGCTTGCTTACCATCACAGCTTAGGCCTTAACCCACCTGTTTGACAAAAAAAAAGCGGAGATGTGCCATAATGTCTTCCTTCCCTTGTTGTATGCATATGTGTTATTCTAATAAAACAGCAAAAAAGAAATGGAACTCATGTCGAGCTCCGGCTTATGACTCAGCCGAGGTTTGAACTCGGGACCTTCAGTGTGCCTAACAGGTTGTTAGACTGACGTGATAACCAACTACACCACCGAGCCCTGTTTTGATGGAAGATAGTTTGTCTCTATAAAATATATCCACAATCATTTAGCGATTAGTCCAGCGGCATAGTAATCCAGCGTTATCAAAGGTCAGGCGGCGGGGTGGGGAACACAAGTGGGGTAATTGAAAAAAAAATCGTTTAGATAGGATTGATTATTGGGAGTGAGGGGAAACTTCGGCCGAGGCTGGAAGAAGCGGTGTGCGTACGTACCAGCAGAGTACATACATACTGATACCATACTATAGTACGGTAGGATGCCGCGTATAGGACAGGATTTGGTATGTTCGCTTATCTTGGTGGCGCCTGATTTTTTCCTGGTAGTTTGCGTATAGTAGATATATGATAGTGTGCATGATATAATTTTATGCAAGCTGCTTGTTATCAATAATGCATGATGCATAAAATCGGGGTAAGAGGGTTTTCGGCATTTGCAAGGCTGTTAGCGTTATTTCTAGTGTAGGTTCAATGGATTGGAGGTCACGATGCAAGATTCACAGTGATGGGCAGGATATGTAAAGGCAAGTAAATTTTAGTGCCTTAAGTCTTTACGAGTCTCTTCGAGTCTCTCTCAATGGTCAATGTTGACATCGCTCATCCGGCGTCTCTATAGGCTATGCACAGCGTTGTACCAACGGCGTTTCGCGGTATTCAGTACTGTGACAGACAACCTTGAGCAGCGAAAGTTAGACACTCTCGCGCTTACGCTTGAGCCCACCAGTGGCCACCCTGAAGGTATCCATACCCTTCTCCAACATGGCCCTCTTCCACTCGAGATGAGCCCTCTGCTGCGTAACCTGAGGCGGCTCAGCAGCAACGGACTCAATCTGCTTGTCAGTCATCTTTGTGACAGCCAACGGCGAGACGATAATATCAGGGAGAGGCGCAACGAGGTGACGCTCAATGACGGCCTTGGCGACGGCGTTGACGAAGTACTTCAGCTCGTCTTTGTAGTATGCACGCTCTGTGTCGAGTGCTTCCTGGCTGGAGAAGACGTCCATGTCAGCCTCAAGAGCTTTGTTCATTTGTTCAACGAGTAATCCAGGATCAACATATGCAACGTGCTCGCTGAATCGATTGATGTAAGTTCCCTGTGAAGCCGTGCTAGCAGCCTTGTTCATGCTCTGGTACTTGCGCTGTCTGGTCTGCTGGATCGTGGTCGTGAAGTAGTGGTTGTATGTGCTGGGATGACGGGCCTTGTCCTGAAGAAGCTTGTTCAGTTCTGTCTTTGCGTCGGCCAATGAGTTGCTGAGAGCTTTGTCGATGTTGATGTTGTTAAGAGGCTCTTGAAATTCAGCAGGGGCTGTGGCACCGAGAACAGCAGCGACAAAATCTTTGCATGCCTGGGCGACTTTGGCAATATGCTGATAGGCAATCTGTTCCCACGGTCCAGACTGCTCCCAGAATAGCTGGGAGATCAGCATTGGCTGGAATGTTCCAGGCAATTCGAATCCGCGAGATCGCTCAAGTGTCTTCTTCACCCAGCCGACAGCCTCATTACGCGTCAGATGCTTGGGTACAGGAAGAAAAGACGACGTGTCACCCCCTTTCTGTCCCGCGAGCTCCTTCGCAGCTTTCGCATCTTCTTCAATATCTTTCTTGTCATCGCTTGGACCAGCTCCAATGGCGAACTTGTGACCTCTTAAGCGCATGTCGTTTGCAAAGGCCATGTTGAGATGTTGAATCACAGCTCGAAAGCGACGAATGTTTTCGGTAGAATCTACATTGGCGTCCGTGCTGATGGGTCCAAAGAATTCAGACTCGTAGTGGCCCTTTGCAGCAGACTTTAGGATGTCGTTCATTTTCATGCTGATCCTCATGAGGGCCATGCGCTGCTCTGGAATTGTGTTGCGCTTCTCGCCTAGCTTCTCGATCTCAACGACTGTAGCTTGTAGCTTGTCCACCATCTCAGCTTTGAGCGAGGGCAATTCCTTGATTAAGTGGGTAAGCAACACCTTGCTGAGGCGCTCGCGCAAGGAGCTGATACCGACACACTCGCGAGGTAGATCGGCATAACGTCCTTGACTGAAGAACAGGTCCTCATCTTGGTTGCGCTGCTCGAACGAGAAGTCCATCTGGCAATCGGCACGGTTCTTCAGCATGTGCCAGCCACTCTCCAGATAGATATCCTTGTTTTGCGCAAGCTCAATCCAACTCAACTCGTTGTCGGTACCTTCGCGAAGGAAGTCAGGCTTGGTAATGATTCCCATAGTACGGCGGCCCTGTTTATCGATCTTGCGACAGTGATCGAGAATGATCTGGTTGGCATAGTCGTTCTTTGCGCTGACTACAGCCAGGATGATAGTGCGAGGGTTCTTCATGTACTGGTTGACGAGTTTGAGGATAAGTTTCTTGTCGGCTCCGGTTTGGGCCTTGTTGGTTGCGTGGATGAGACCAGGCAGATCAACAAGGGTACTAGACAAGTCAGCATGCTGTTAACTACGGGTCTGATTGCTATACTAACAGCTGCGGTCGATTCGGACCAGTGATCTCAATCGATAAGACATCACGACTAAATGCCCTTGAGTTTGTGCCACCTACAGCCCCTAAGCCCATTGCTAGGGTCGCCTCTTCAATAACATCTGGAAGCTGACTAAAGTCGGTTATCGATTTTGTGAAACCCTTGAGCTTCACATGTTCAGACTGTGGACGCAACTTGTCGGGGGTGATGGTGACAGTACTCGTAGATTCAGTGGAGCGACGCAGAATGATCTATACCTTGTTAGGCTTACATCCAAGCTGTATATCTGTTCGGTATTACCTCAGTAGCGAATCTCGTGCACAGATTCTCTTTGCGAGGAAATGGGATCTCAGTGATTGCCTCCAGAACGGAACTCTTGCCAGAGGACTGATCGCCGCATACAATGAGCTGTGGTAGCTCCACGACACCACTCAAGCCAGTGCGCCGGAGCTTGTCGACGATGTCCATCACCTTGCGCTCATCCGCCGACTGAAGCGCCTGGAGGGAGCCTGTGGTGACAGCATCGGGATCGATACTCATGGGTACGATACCGTCTGCACCATCGCAGTCAGAGGAGTCGTAGTCAGAGGAGTCGTAGTCAGAAGAGTCACCAGAGGACGAGGACGTAGAGTCAGAGGAGTCCGACATGACTGCGGATGTCGTCGATGGTGTTGCGCTACACTTGAAGAGAAGGTGTCGTAGTTGCAAGGAATTTGATGTGAACTTGTAGCAGTACACCTATTTTATAGTGTGGCGAGTACAAGGTCGAGGCAGGTGCACGCGGAGTCGGAGTCAGCGTGGAGCTGGAGAGCAAACGCGCAACTGCTAGCGTCCTATGGCCGCATTCGTACATGGATTTTTCTTCCTGTTGCCTGGACTACGTTCAAGTACGCTAGTCACCTGGACTACGTTCGAGTACTTCAAGTACGTTAGTCGCCACAATGGCATTTGGCAAATTGCGGTCAACAACATACGGAGCCTCCATAGAGTGATGTATTGTCCCACAATGCTAGTACTCATAACACAAGATCTGGAGACACATGTACTCGATGGCTCCTAGGATGGTACAAGTGCCGGATCCATGCAAGAAAAGTGATAACAGACAGCGTCCCAACTCTTTTAGTCATTCGTATGGTCCAGGGTTATCCAGAGTCGTCACGGCCAGGTCCAGGAGGGGGATGCATATAAGTAGTTGATTGCAAAGTAAGAAACGCTGCTAGCTAGAACTCCAAGCTCATCAAAGGAAAAAAAAGAAGGAAACAAAGCTTATAGCTTAGCAGCACTGCCCTTGAGCGTATCCCAATCCTCCATTGTGTACACAACATAGCTGTCTCCATCCGCCCTTCCCTTGCCAACACCAAGCCCAGCGGGATGCCAGTACATGGTATCATATTCTGCCTCTACGCCCTTCTCAGCTGCCTCTTTGTCTGCGCGCTCCATAAGCTTCCTGAGATCGATGCCATCGTTCCTGAGCGGGACCTTGTTCTGTTTGTTGTTGTGCATGGTAGTCACTGCCTTTTGTACCCTCAAAAACACAGGCACTGCATACTTGGGCAGCTTCTGCTTTGCGTGTGCGAGCAAGGCGTTGAAGTTGAAAGAGTCTCGGTGTGCAGGGTCGATGTAGATGGCTGCACATCCCGCTCGACCGTCGTGACCTGGCACTTCTACGCCATAAACGTTTGCTTCTTGGATGCCGGGGAAGGAGCCGAGGGCTTCGCTGACTTCTGCTGTGCTTACGTTCTCAGACTTCCAGCGGAAAGTGTCGCCCAATCGGTCCATGAAGAACCATCTGCCATCGGCGTCACGACGGAGAGCGTCACCAGTACGGTACCAGAGATCACCCTTCTGGAAGACATTGCGCTCGAAACGACTCTGAGTAGCTTCTGGGTTGTTCCAGTAGCCGACGAAAGCATCCTCACTTGGCATCTGGACAAGGATCTCACTGCCTTCCTCGTACGACTTGCGTTTGCAGAAGCCGGTCTTGGGGTCGCGGAGGAGATCACCTGTTACCATGTCGACTTCGACCGGAACATAGGTGTTGCGAAAACGCCAACGGTCAATGAGACCTTGGTGCCCTACCGAGGTCGCTGTGAAGGGTCCGCTAGAGGGGTTGAAGAGAGCCATGACACCCTCAGTACTGTTGAAAAACTCGCCGACTAACTTGATGCCGAAACGATCAACAAAGCGCTGCCACACATCGGGACGGAGGCCGTTTCCAAACATGCATCGGACGTTGTGCTTGCGGTCGAGGTCGCTGGGTGGGGCGTTGAGGAGATATCGAGCAGTCTCTCCAACGTACACCATGGCGGTAGATCTTGAGTCGCATACGTCGATCCAGAATTTTGATGTGGAAAACTTGGTGCCGATGCAGAGGGTGATACCGGCGATCATGCAAACGAGCGCTGTCGTACCTCCGGTGCCGTGGTACAAAGGCATGCAAACATACCATCTATCCCCATTAGGCCCAACCTTTAGTCCCATACCACCCACGCGGCCTGTTAAGCCAGCAGCTCTTATCGTCGGGAACGGACAGGCTTTCGGGTGCCCGGTTGTGCCACTGCCAAAGTTAGTCCAAGGCTCTCAATATCTGAATTGGATATAACTGACCTTGTGTAGAATAGGAAGAGGGGGAAGTTTGGCTTTACACCTGCCCTCAATTCATTCTCAGGCCGCTTGGGTTCTGTCCTTGAGATCTCTCCCTTTAGCTGGTCGTCGAGCACCAGAATCTTGATACCCAGATCATTCTCCAGTCTCTCCCTCACCGCCTCAATCCTGGCCCTGCAGTCTGTGTCCTCATCTACCACCAGAACCTTGGCACCGCTCACTTTCAAGCAATGTACCAGCGCATCGCCTGCCAAGTTGTAGTTGATCCATGCCGGCGCGCTTCCTATACTCCAGCTGCCCAGATGTGTGAACATGAACTCGGGTCGGTTCATCATGTACATGGCAAAAAGCTGGCCGGGCTCAACGCCGTTCTGGTGGAGATATTGGCCATATCGACAGGCGTTGGCGTAGGTTTCGGCCCAGGTGTAGCAGCCGGTGCGGGACCAGATGCACTCTTCGGTCGAGGGCAGACGTTGGACTTGGGCTTCGAACTGATACCATAGGGAAAGGCCTTTGCCTTGTGCTGTCATATTGTCAGCGAATGAAAGTTGCGGTGTAGATGACTTATACGGACCATTCTTCTCGATGGCGCGTTGCGCTGCTTTGGCGCCGCGAATGCCTCGTATGTCTTTGGAGATGTGGTATTTGGCGTCGATATAAGCGGCTGCGGCACTAACACCTGCGATTGCGCCTGCTACAGGCACAGCTACACCTCGTTAGCTCAGATGATCGATGTCGGGCGTGTAGGGAAATAGTGAGGTTGCCAGCACATAAGCGCGCCATGGCTGATGTCGACCTCCCAGAAACACGTACCTAAATCACCTAGATCCATGATGAGAGCTTCTTTCTTTCCAAACCGGGTATATGAACGTAATGAGAACGGAGTAACAACAACAGAAATGTGCGACCGAGGTAAGATGAAGTACTCCTTGTGCTTCTAGATAATCCGCGACAGCCGTCTGCAACGTGATGAATTGCCGGCATGCCCTCGGTCTCTGGGCCGTCGGTTCATGCCCATGCACCCGGCCCCACAACAGCCTGTCCCTAACAATGCGAACCGACCGTCCAACCTCGTCGGGCCTTTTACATGCCGTTGACTTTCTTTTTGTACCTGTCGCTGAAAGATTCTTGGTCGATTGTAGTCATTCTTCATATCAGATGGGGAAAGACTAAGATTTTGGTGGAGACGGGATCGTGCCACAGCCAGGTACCCTGATAGCCGATATCGCTATAGGGGGTCCTTGCATGCAACATAGTGTACATAGCCTAGGGCAAGCCACTTTGAACTTTTACGTTGTTGTGAAATGATCATATACAAAGCTGTGCTAGCTTAACCAAGAGCGCCACTGAATGTCTAGCCAACTCCAAAACACCCTGCAATATACAAAGTCAGGCGCATCGACTACCTCTTGTCCGCCCATCTCCCCCTGCCCTCACCAGGTCTAACACCAGCCTTCTTCTCACTGCCCGCATACTTGGCTTCTTCCTCCTCCCACTTCAACCGCTCTTGCCTTCTTCTTGCTGAGTACGCCCTGGAAAACCTCCAAGCTTCCGTATCTGCCAGATTCCACTGTTCTACTGCTTCGACAACCTTCTTCATATTCCTGTCCTTGCTCTTGATCGCATCGCGAGCCTTCTTCAGACGCTCCTCTTCCTTTTCGATCCATTTTTCGTCTGGTACATCGATACCTTGGATGGGCTTCGGGGGCGCTGGGCGTGGGAAAATGATAAGTTCAGACTCCTTGCTCGGTGAGCTGGGTTCTTTGGTGGATGAGGCAGTTTGAGGTAGCCCAAACCCGAAGATCCAGTCCAAATCTTCTTGAGTTATGCGCTCCGCTGTCAACCATAACGTGTGCGCAGGGGCTGCTGCTACAAGTTCCTTGAACTTGAGCACGCGATATTCTTCGGTATGGTCAGTTGGAATCGACTTGTCGGTCAATTGCATGATCCAGAGATCGCGCTTGGTGTTCCGGCGAAGAAAGGTGCTGTCCAGCATGTCACGTGTATAGTGCAGCGAAGTAAGAGTGTAAGGATGCGGAACAGTTCCGATACTGAAGAACTTTGTCGAGTTGACAAACTCCGGAAACACGTGCAACTTCATCGCTTTGTTGGCGTCGCATGGCTTGCACTTTGGCCGATTGGGCGGACACGTCTTAGGCATTGGCGAAGTCGGACACTGGGTCAGATTGCGGGCGATGTCGGTCGCTTCATACATGAGTGCCGTCGTGTGTTCTGGCACAGGTTTCACAATGGCTACACCCTCAGGATGTTGTTCTTGCCAAGTCAGGTGGAGATGGGAGTTTATGAGGTTCGCAAGCAGGTCAAGGCCTTCTGCCTGGGTCGTGTTGGTGAGCTTGTCGGCGACAGTCTTGTATTTGCTGGAAATGATAGCTCTGTTGTAGGACGCAATGCCGTTGGCCTTGGAGTCGACTTTGACATGCTCTGAAGCCAGAAGGTTGACAACCGGGCCACCCTCCTTGTTGGCCAGCTTGGTGAGCTTGTCCTTGTTCGCGGTGGTGTTCTTCAATAGCGCATTGCCCATGACTTTCTTGAGCGCATCGTTGACAGCTACTCTCTCTCCAAAGAAGACGGCGTTATCGAGGGATTGTACTCGCGACAGCTTGGGGTACTCATTCCGCCGCAGAAAGCTCAGCATGGGGTTATCATATTCGGCCATGGGCAGCGCAAGCCAATTGACGAGAATTCCCCCACCCATCTGTCCCCAAGCCAGCCAGCGCATAACTTCAAATTCGATTTTTGAGCTCAGCTTCATGCGCTGGAAGAGCTGGTACTGTGGGTGGTGCATAGCCTCAGCGCGAGAGAGCACCACGGGCTTGAAACCTTGGGCCCACCATGCGCGTCGCCATGCCAGTATGAGCCTATGTTCTGCGGCAGACACGTCCTTGTCTTGCTTCTTGGGCACATCGTAGTACGTATAGATGGGCGTTCGCTCGCGGAGTGGCGGAAGGAGGGCCTTGTTTTCGTCCAGCGTCACCGAGGAGGAGAAAGGGTTGCGCCACTTGAAGTCACTCAGCCATTCTATGGCACCATAGGCACTTGCAGTGGTGCTGTTGGCCTGAACAGGCGGCTTGTGTGCGGAGGGACCAAAGGGATTTGGCACAGCCGGGAGCTCGCCAAGGTTGGGTACGTGTGCTTGCGGGTGCTTGACCGCGTCGGCTACTTGGTCGTAGGTGGGTAGGCGATTGGGCGAGGGCGGGCCGTAGAAGGTCAGATTGAATATGAAGAACAGAATGACAATCAAGAGAATCTGGAACCTCCTAGGCGGCATCTGGAGGGTAATGGGCCGACCCATGAAGGTATGTTGGGCCGGCATGGTGCAATATACATGTGCTGGTAGGCAGGAGGTATAGAATGCAAACGACGACAACTTTGGTCGTGACGTGAGCTCTTGCACCAATTACGAGCCGATAGCCGCCGCGTCTACCGTATCGTGGGCCTAGAGAGAGCGCCGTGGCGCAGCAAAGCCAGCTCTGCTCCCAAAAGGTAATGGCGTCAGTATTTGCAGCGTGTGAAGGAGCGACAAGAAAGAACAGCAAGGAAGGACAGGGGGCGTAAGCAATTCGACGTGGGTCATCACTTTGGTCGTCGAGGTACGCGGCTAGCGTAGGGCTGATGCAATGCTCCCCGGACTCCCACGCAAAGACGCTCGCTGGTGGGGGTCGCGCCCTCGCCGATGTCGCCTGAGTCGAGCATTTTGTCTGGATGCGTCATACCTCTATATTCCTCTTCGACGTCTACTTTTCTCTTCGTCTCCTACAATATATCCCCCAAGTAGACGACGGGAGCACAAGTAGATCGCTTCCGAGTTTGCCAATCTCCTTCTATTGCGTCTTACTCCAATTGGCCTGTTTCGTTTCGCACCGATTCCGCCTATGCCCACAAGTCAATACGCGGCCCCGCCATACAATTCCCTAAAACACAAAAGTCCAATTGCACGCGATAATGGCGTCTCTTACCAAGGGGAGCATTCCAGATCCCACTGCAGACCTTCACTGGTCTGACTTCAAGGGGCCTATTCATGAGATTTTCGCAGGAAATGCCCGCAAACACCCGGAGCGGCCATGCGTGGTGGAAACTGCTACTAGCAAAACTCCAGAGCGCCAATTCACATATAAAGACATATTCGAGGCCACAGCCGTATTAGCGCACCATCTTGTGCAGAATGGCGTGCAGAGAGGCGAGGTGGTCATGATCTTCGCCCATCGTGGTGTAGATCTGGTCGTCGCTATCATGGCTGTACTTGCGGCAGGAGCGACCTTCTCTGTGCTGGATCCACTGTAAGTATGCCGCATCAAGAAGACGTCCATGAGGCTGAATTACTCAAGATATCCCCCGGACCGCCAATGCATCTACCTCGAAGTCTCCCAGCCGCGCGCCCTCGTTGTCATCGATAAAGCCATTCGGGAAGCAGGCCCTCTCTCGGACCAGGTCCGTACCTACATCAAAGAGAATCTACAACTCAGGACCGAAATTCCTGCACTCGAGCTCAAGAATGATGGGACACTGATAGGAGGTACCAAAGATGGAAAGGATGTACTGGACGACCAGCAGCAACTTAGGGCCGAGCTTCCAGGAGTGCTGGTCGGGCCAGACTCAACTCCAACACTATCCTTTACCTCGGGCTCAGAAGGAAAGCCCAAGGGTGTCAAAGGGCGTCACTTCTCGCTCACACATTACTTTCCATGGATGGCTGAGACATTTGGACTGTCTGAGAATGACAAGTTCACTATGCTTTCTGGCATCGCCCATGATCCTATTCAGCGAGACATCTTTACACCCCTCTTTCTCGGCGCGCAACTACTCGTACCCAGCAAAGAGGACATACAGCACGAGAAGCTCGCTGAATGGATGCGCAAGTACGGCGCCACAGTCACACACCTTACACCTGCCATGGGCCAAATCCTCGTAGGAGGTGCATCGGCAGTGTTTCCCACCCTGCATCACTCATTCTTCGTAGGCGACCTATTGATCAAGCGAGACTGCAGAAGATTACAAAACCTAGCACCCAATGTGCGCATCGTGAACATGTACGGAACGACAGAAACCCAACGAGCCGTCAGCTACTATGAGCTGCCGAGCTGCACAGAAGCACCCGAATTCCTGGACAGCATTGGAGATGTGATTCCGGCTGGCCGTGGAATGAAGAATGTCCAGCTTTTAGTGGTCAATCGCGAAGATCGGAACCAGATTTGCAAACCTGGCGAGAGCGGTGAAATATACGTACGCGCCGGTGGTTTGGCCGAAGAATACCTTGGACTACCAGATCTGACAGCTGCCAAATTCGTCGACAATTGGTTTGTGGATCAACAAAAGTGGGTAGATGAGGACAAGAAGAAGGTAGAGAGTCTAGGTGCTGCTGAGCCGTGGCGGGAATTCTACAAAGGTCCCCGGGACAGGTTATACCGCTCTGGTGACTTGGGTCACTACTCGGAAGACGGCAACGTTCACTGCACAGGAAGAGTAGACTCGCAGGTCAAGATCCGTGGCTTCCGTATTGAACTGGGTGAGATTGACTCGCATCTATCTGCTCATCCACTGGTGCGCGAGAACGTCACTTTGCTCAAGCGTGATGCTTACGAAGAGCCAACACTTGTCAGTAAGTTATGCTCCCCTCCATATATTTATCTATTACTGACACATCAGGCTACATCGTTCCTGAGATGAAGCGATGGTACGACTGGCTAGAAGAGCGTGGTGCCAAGGATAGCAATTCTGTCGAGGATACCAGCATGGTCACGATGCTGAAACGCTTCAAGTACCTACGCGATGACGTACGAGAACACTTGAAGAAGAAGCTCCCTGCTTATGCTGTACCATCCATCATCGTTCCACTCATCCGGTTCCCATTAAATCCGAACGGCAAGATCGATCGACCAGCGCTGCCTTTCCCCGAGCCAGCACATTTGGCAGCTGCAGGCGCGAGACGTCCTTCACAGTTGGGTGCAGCTTTGACACCAACTGAGAAGACCATGGCTGGCATATGGGCAGAGCTTCTGGGCGACCGCGGTGTCACAGCCGATAGCATCGGCGGAAGCGACTCCTTCTTCGACTTGGGTGGCCACAGTATCATTGCACAACAGTTGTTCTTCAAGATTCGGCAAGAATGGAAAGACATCGATGTGCCCATGACGACCATTTTCCAGTACCCTACATTGCGCGGCTTCTCGTCGAACATCGACCAGGCTATGGATCCTATTGGTTTGCGCTTGGACACGGCAGAGGCCATCGAAGATGATCCAGAGGATGAAGCTTACTCTGCGGACGCCAGGGAGCTTGCCAACCAGTTGATCGAGTTCAAGACCAGGGAACCTTTGGATCCAAAGGAAGAAGTACATACCTTCCTCACTGGTGCAACAGGTTTCTTGGGCGCCTACATCCTACGAGACATCCTATCTAGGCCCGGAAAAGTCACGGTACTTGTCCGTGCCCAAGATATCGACGCAGCATTCGGACGCGTGAGACAGACATGCACAGCATACGGCATCTGGGAGGAGAATTGGGTGTCTCGACTGGAGCCACTAGTCGGTGATCTCGAAAAAGAAAACTTCGGTCTTGAGCCGAACACCTGGAACAAGCTCGTGGACTCGGTCGACGTGGTCGTTCACAACGGTGCATTAGTGCATTGGGTTCTCCCATACTCTCGGTTGCGAGGACCCAATGTCATTTCAACCATGACGGCACTCTCCATGTGCGCAGCAGGCAAGGCCAAGAACTTTGGTCTTGTCAGCTCTACATCAGTACTTGACACAGATTACTTCGTTAAGCTCTCCGATAAGAGCCTTGCTGAGGGCGGCACAGGTGTCTCTGAAGAAGACGACCTAGAAGGTGCTCGTAAGGGCCTAGGAACCGGCTACGGTCAGTCCAAGTGGGCTGCTGAATATCTTGCACGGCAAGCTGGGAAGAAGGGACTGAGCGGCTGTGTCATCCGCCCTGGCTATGTCCTCGGAGACCCAGAGTATGGCACTACCAACACTGATGATTTCCTCGTCCGAATCCTCAAAGGTTGTATCCAACTCAAGTCTCGACCCGACATTACTAATACCATCAACATGGTGCCTGTGACACATGTTGCGCGTGTCGTTGTGGCGTCGTCTTTCAACCCACCTATCGCGCCACTCGGTGTTGCTCAGATCACCTCACATCCCCGTATCACTTTCAACGAGTTCCTAGGGGCTCTTGAGAAGTTTGGATACAACGTCCCATTGGTCTCATACCCAGAGTGGAAGCAGAATATGGAGAGCTATGTGGCGGACCGCTCAGGCACGAAGGAGGAGAATGCGCTTCTGCCGCTCTACCATTTCGTGACTGGGGACCTGCCAGCCGATACGAAAGCGCCTGAGCTTGATGACAAGAATGCGGCTGAGGCGTTGAAGAAGGACGAGGTATGGACCGGACAAGACTGGAGTCAAGGAGGAGCGGTGACGGAGGAAACTGTCGGTGTGTACGTCAGCTATCTAATTGAGCTGGGCTTCATGCCCAAGCCAGAGAAGAAGGGAATCAAGGAGCTAGTAATGAGTCGGCTGACAGATACGATGCGTGAGGGCATGAAGCTGGTAGGTGGCCGGAGGGGTGTGTAGCAAAGTCTTGTCGAGCACAAGCACTGCATGTTTAGAGCATGGTCGGGTTCGATATTTTTCTACATTCTATACAGGGTATACAAAAGAGCCAAGCATGTCTAGTCGACGTTTACTGATAAGACGAAGGCATGGAGCTACTCATAGAGTGGTCCCTTGCTGTTGCATTCGTCTTGGCTGCGTGACATCAGACCTGGTTCACCTTTACAATTACAACCCCAGCGCGCTCTTTGGTTAGCTCGCCTACTACCCAAGCCTTTTAGCATTTACCCTGTGTCGTAGCGGGACACTCTTGACGCGATATCCGAAGCTCCGGGGGGCAGCGGACGGCGGACGGCAGTCGGTAATTGATTGAGGGGCATGCCAACAAGATGGTGGTCGCGTGATCTGTACCGCAGTGTCGTATTGATGTGAGTTATGGAGTGTACCAAGCGTGAAGTCAAAGATGGAAGACTTGGGGGCCAAGGGACGAGCCAGGTAGTGCGTCTTACTAACCACGTCGCGGAGCGTCGATCAGAGGCCCCAAGGGTACGGTCACGTTACGTACTGGGCGGTATGGTTGCAGCAACATGTACGGTACCAACATGTCTACGGAGAGCCAAGGAAGCCATGTGTAAGGCACAAAAGAAAGACTGCTAACGATGGACATTGACCAAGCATGTGCGGCGTCTTCAGCGCATCTGAGCTCGCCCATGTGCCAACGCCAAGACCAAGATCAACAAGACGGAGTTCGTTTCAGCCACGCTTGGACTCCAAATTGAGACTTCACCAACGCCAACATGATCTATTCCCACCAACAGGCGGGTCTGACGGCACTCCGCCCCTCCGACTTGGTTTGCTGCATCTGCATGGCACGCAAGAGGCGCTCGCGACGTTGCACAGCTGCACCACGGCCAACCGCGCCGGCTAGTGCCTAGGCAGAAGAAGAGGGCGGAGGGCATTGGAGTCGTGCGACGGCTGCATCCGTGGTACATGTGTACTAATGTGCGCTGTATCAATATTTGCTAGGCACCGCATCACCCAACACCCAAGTCCCCAACTGCCTTGGACGGACCGTAGTAGCGCTCTGGTTGCGACTTGGCGTGTTTCTCCAACACGAGATGATGAGCAGGTCGAGCAAGATGGCCATGTTTGCTCAGCGTCGCTCACCATCATCGGCGCCGGCCAAGGGCAGGGTGAAAAGATCAAGGCCGGGCTCGTACTGCTCCAGTACACGTCTCTGCCGCCAAATCCGTCAGTCCGTCAGCGGCCTCATCGGCGCCTGGACGAGAGATGCACTGGGTCCAAGCACAAAGGCCGTGATTGGCCGTTGCTGTCCTCAGACGGTATGCCCAGCCAAAATGCCCAGCCTTGGGGATGAAAGCCAAGCCCAAGACCTTCTCCCAAGGTCTTGAGAGCGTAATTCTATGTAACAAGAGTCTTGCCTCTCCTGAGGAAGTCTTCGCCTTTGCTATAACATGCCCGGGACCTCGTCGACTTCGCCAGTTTCCCAGGGTTATCGGATGCCCGTCCAGCAGTAACATTGACTACCCGATTGCCGGCCATGGAATCCCAGCCCCCGCCGGTGCCACGTTCGGCCACATCGACATGGACACAGCAGTCCCCATCGCAGCACCCCACACCTCCCAGTGCTGCCCACGACGACTACAGCTACGCATACAACGAGAAAGACGCATACCAGCGCCAGCAACACGCCTGGACAGATCGCCACAGCAGGTCGAGTTACCGCGCTCATGATTCCGTCATCTCCTCCCACCCCTTGTCACCAAAGGGATCCTCTCTGCCAAGCCCCTGCAGCAGCATCAACTCGACCAGAGGGCCACACAGAAACTCAAAACCAGAGTTTCATTACTCGGCATCAGACATAGAACAACAACAACACCAAATTCAATTTCCACCACGCGCCTACATCGACCCCGAGAAACAAGCCCATCGTTATTCGCACAGCCACCCGTCGCCAAACCGCGCATCGGCAGGACCGGAAGATGATGCCATCGTCTACGACAAGGGCGCGTACCACGAGAAAGGACCAGAGGAAAAAGCATGGCAGTTATTGGTATGTTACCATGGTTCTCGACTTCGTTGAGCACGATAACTAACTTTCATTTCAGTTTTGGCTCTGCGGCCCATGTGCCTTTCTCTCCGGCGCCATCGCTCTATGGACCTTTTTCGCTATCCTCATCGTGCTTCTATTAGCACCGCTTCGCTTGTGCACCACGCGACAGCCACTATCAGAACAAATTATCAAGTTTCTCGCACCGGCGCTAAATCTGCAACTGCACATGGTCTATTCCCACGACGCAACAACCGGATACAGTGCGCCCATGCTCGTTATTATCAGCTTATTTTCCCCCATCGTCGCATTCGGTGTCGCAATGGCCGCATGGACAGCCGCCGGCTTCTGGTTCTTCTCGTTGATTCTGGGTGACCCTGGCGGTAACGATGGACACAACGACGGCAAAGAGAGCATTGTTGGTGTACGGAACTGGTGGGAACGATGGCTATCAAGAGGATTGAGGGAGACGAACGCATGAAGAGGAGGCAACGCAACGATGGATTTTCTACTTTTTTTTTATGCCCTTTAGCTACGGCAGGGGCGGCGTTCAAACGGCATATACCATGGCATGGCGTACATTTATTTTTGACCGGCGAACGGATATGACGGCAACTGCTGCTCTGGCATGACAGCACGGCGTTTACTGGATTCTCCTCGAGTTGATGAATAGGAGATGGACAGGATCCTGACATGATATACCCCATTTTTATCGATTACCATCAATGTTTAACATTATCTTACTTATTTTTAATCACGGCCAATTCTCTCCATTTTCTCCATGTGTATATTAGACTTTGAACATTTCCACAATCAACACAGAGCCGTGTACATGCACCCACTTCTTTCACCCCTCGTACCACTCTCCCCATACGACAACAATTTCAAGCGAACTCCCAAACTCTCCAACCCGCCAAGGCGAACAATCAACCGCAATTACAGTCACGTCAGCTCACGACACAGCCTCTAATTGCCCCCGCAAATTCACCCAGCACAGCCCTCCAACGCCTCTCCATCTCCCCAACATAAGCCCGAAGACGAATAATCTCCCCCATAACCCGCCGAGCCAACCGAACTACCGATGCAGACGTGCCATCAATCCTCGTCCACGATCGAAACCCAGAACCCAGGCTCTGTTCTGGAAACCTCGACCTGGACATGTCCTGCAGTCATTCCTGCAAAGCAAGCAATACTAACTGTAGCCATGAGCACGTAGATCCAGACCCTCTTTTTTTCCCTTCCCTCTTCTCATACATATATACCCGATCAATCCTGCCCTTACAATGTCAACCTCGTGGGGTTTGGTTGGTGGATTGTTGCAATGGACAAGGTACGAGGGCTTGTATGCACGCAGGCACAGACACGCGACCAAGATGATGAGAGGCATGGTTTTCCGCGCGGTTCCGCCGACGCTAAGCGGTGGGAGCAGAAGCATGACAACAAACAGCCATCCTGGGGAAACATCATTTGTGGCGTGGTGATATTCAGGACGGGCACTTGGCTGGAGCGGGGAAAAGCAAAGGGAAGGTGAGGCTAAGTCTTGGTGCTTGGTACTGTAGGTACACCGGTGAAGAAGGCGGAGATTGCCATTGGGTCGGCGTCTTTCGCTGTACTTTTCTTTTTCTATGGAATAATTTTCCCGGTTTGGGTTGGGTTTTTGTTTTGTTTTGTTGCCGGATTATGTACGATGTTTATTATTTGTACAACTATGAGAGTTGACCTGAATACTCGCCGGTGATGATGATAGTCAAGATGATTGATGACACGGATACGAACGCCTCAGATGCTTTGCTGACTGGACGGCGTTGTCATCATCCCACCCCTGCTGTTGCTGTCCCAAGCTCCTTCTCTGACTTCATCTCTTCGCCCGCGGTAAAACAGAGTGATGTGTTTAGCAGCCCATCGGACCTACTCAATCCATTCAACTCAAACCACGTCCCTTTCTTATCTTTCTTACTCGAAGCCAGGGCTGACGTAGAGGGACGTTGAACAGGCTAGAGAAAAGAATTCTACGCGGTTCTGAGATAGAATTTATTAACGTCCTAATTAGGAAAGAGAAGGACGACAAGAAAAGAAAGGCACAAGGCCAAGACTGTTGGATGCCGAGTTTGCACGTGATGTGCGTTTTGCAAGGGGCCGTTTGCGACGGTCTAAGAAGGCGAAGACGGATAGGTCGGGCTTTGCCTAGTAAAAACCACTCATAGACACCAGCTCGGGCGGCTTGGAAGCGAAAGGGGCTGTTCCAGCCAAGTACATACATACACCTCGTGATGAGGTGACAAAGAATAAGTTTCTCGGCAGCTTGAACAGTCGAAAGGCGGCGAAGCGTACGTCTTCTGCAAAGGACATGCGTACCACACGCGCGTATCCCGCGAGCCGTGCCGAGTTTTAATTGTCATCCCCACACATTTCTTGGCCACAGCTATCGCGAAGGATTGCGGTCAATATTTGATTTTCGTTTTTTTCTTCTCCAAGATCTGGCCATGAATTGTGGCGCTGTGCGACATTATAACGGCATGACGGGAATGTGAAACTTGATAGATTTGACTCAAGTCTGGGCGCGGAAAGAGCGGCCCCACGGTTTATGCGACGACTGAGTGAAATTTCCGAAACAACACGTTACGAAAAGCTCGAAAAAAGGATACACCTAATATGGCCATTGAAAGTACCCATGAGGAAAAATGTGCGCAAGTGTTTCATCGCGTGTATATATGTGTATTTACAGATGCAACGCTGTCCTTGGTGCAGAGTTGAACTGAGAGAGACATTACTGCATTAGACATGAAGTAGATGATAGGTATGTGTACAAGAATCTGGGTATAGGACAAGAAGGATAAATGGCGTAGGGTGTTGTGAAGCTGATAGTCGTCGGGAGAACGCGCTCCTGGATAGCCAGGACGGGCATAGCAGAACCAGCTGAGATGACTAAAGCTTGCAGTGTTGCGTGATGATGTATTCGCGTAATTGTCATAAATGGTCGTCGTTGTTATTGTTGCGCAGGTGGGTCGTTTTCAGCTCTTGTTTTTGAAGCTCTCTTTCGAATGGACCTGCCGTATGGTGATCTGGCTCTTCATTCTCCTGTGTCTCCTGTCCCGCATAGATTCTCTCTCTAGGCAGTTCTTGAGACACTGTTCGACGAGTGAAGGATCACTGTCGATGTAGTCCTCACTAAGCAACCAGGTTGAGCTTGATTTGCTAATCGAAACTCTCAAGCAACTTCGCTCGCTTCCAATCTGCTTTTGGAAGAAGTGATCAAGGAAGGCGTATGAGTCGTCGAAAGTCTTGTAGCAGCTGTTGCATGCAAACGTCGCTTTGTCATCTTTCGACACCGGGTCCAGTGCAATGTGCGACGTGAAGAGAATACATCGGTAAGCTGGTAGTCCAGAGTGAGCGGCTACGGAGATGCATGCATCGCAGTGAGGACAGATCTCTTGGTCATCGTACTTGTCATGAGGGTTCGCTTTTTTCGGCCTTAAATTACTTTGCTTAGATTCCTTGAGGTCTTTGCGGAGCTGGTTTGCGAACGGGCAGAACTCGACTTTGAATCGTGGTGGTGGAAGGATTGGCGAGAGAAGCGGTGATTCGAGACGCGCATATTGATCGCGCAAAGCGGTCAGGCAAGCACGACGAATGCTTTTCGCGGTCATGATGATTTCATCAATGGGAATAGTTGGAGTTGACGAAAAAACACTGTCATAAAGTGGTTGTCTGATTTCATATTGGACCCGAAGTAGTTGTGCCGACAGGATGGTGTTGCATTTTACTGCAGACGGTCAGTCGTTGCAGGACATGTGTATAGAGTAAGACTCACAATCTCCTTCTTCAAAGCGCGTGCCAAACGCCTGTTTTCCCGATTCCAGAACTCTATGAACCTGGCGACCAAGACTCAGAGCTTTCCCAACAGCATCATCTCGGTTCTTTCCGGGGATGCATGCCCAGCGAGAGCGTGTGCGACGATGACGCGCTTGCCATTGCTCATACGTCTCGTACGCGTCTTGGAGCTCGCGATCGATATCCCATAAGGTGAGAGAAGTGTGTTGAGACTTTTCCCAGGAAACGGCCATGTTAGACATTATGATGAATGCGCGTATCTTAGATTAGAAAAAACAAACAAACAAACGGATGCAGCGAGTAACAAGAATGAGGCTTGCGAGGTAAATGACTATGCTTGATCGAGACGATCCTTCCCTTTCTGGACGACGACGCGAAAGCCTGATCTCGATTGAGACGCAAGAGCTGGAGACGTCAAAAAAAAGGGTCTCGGTTTGCGGGTGCTGCGTTGGCTTTACATACACCGTCAAGACTGTGTCATGCTTCTGCAGGTACCAGGGACGCGAGCCACGGAAATTGCATGCATGACACTTCTCGTGGTTGTGGCGGAGCTCGGCGGAATTGGGGCATCCTTTCAGGCGTGGCTTTCCTTTTCGATACGCAAGCTCATCTCCACGCTGAATCGATGCTCATGAAGAACGACAGGTCCATGTGGATAAACTGGTCCGTGAATTCCGGGTAACAATCTATAGTTGTCAATCATAAGAGCCTGGTGAAGAGCGTCGCGGATTGTGATTAGGGTGCAGGGGAAGACGAGCTGGAAGCAGCATTGATCCCTTCGGAAAACGCAGCTATGTTCCGATTAAGGCTGCCTCGCCGAATCGCAGCCCGCTGCGGTAATGATAGTCGATATCGCATTGAATTGACTTTGCACACGGGCACGCCATGTTTATGCGTAAAACAGGTCGTCGATTGTGAGCCTATGAAGCTGTTGTTGATGATAGCTTCGCTACCGGGGTTGACGAAACCCCACGCTCGCTGCATGCTGCCCCACCATGTACAACCTCAAGCTCCAGTGCTGTTGTCTCCCCTCCACTAACTGGTCCTGTCAAGTCAAGCTCGACTCGCTGTAGCCATGTCACACAGTCACTCGCATGACGGCGCTCCCCATTCGCATTCGAACGCCGCCGCAGATCACGGCCACACCCATGAGATCCTCGATGGGCCTGGGAGCTACGTGGGCCGCGAAATGCCCATTATAGAAGGCAGAGATTGGGAAGATCGGTCCTTCACTATTGGGATTGGAGGGTATGACGGAATCCATTTCATCCGAAGATGCCGCTGTCCTGTTTGGAACAGATTTGGCTGAGCAGGGTTGACACGGCAAGATATATATGTACACGACACTGACTAGGCCAGGCCTGTAGGATCAGGGAAAACAGCGCTCATGCTGGCTCTCTGCAAGCATTTGCGAACACGCTTCTCCATAGCTGCCGTTACAAACGATATCTTCACACGGGAAGACTGTGAGTTCCTGACCAAGAACAATGCTCTACCCGCGTAAGAAGACTCGTACTCCGACTATACCACCAGTATAATGACCTCTGTAGCGAGCGTATCGTCGCTGTCGAGACGGGAGGCTGCCCTCACGCCGCCGTCCGCGAAGACATCTCCGTCAATCTCATGACGCTCACGAACCTCCACCACAAGTTCAACACCGATCTCCTCCTCATCGAGTCTGGCGGCGACAATCTCGCAGCGAACTACTCGCGTGAACTTGCCGACTTCATCATCTACGTCATCGATGTCGCGGGCGGTGACAAGATTCCTAGGAAGGGCGGGCCTGGTATCACACAGTCAGACCTGTTGGTCGTAAACAAAATTGATTTGGCCGAGGCAGTAGGTGCTGATCTAAGTGTTATGGAAAGAGATAGCAGAAGAATGCGCGAAGGTGGTCCGACCATATTCGCAGTGGTCAAGAGAGACCAGGGTGTTGATGCGATTGTGGATTTAATTCTGTCTGCATGGAAGGCTTCGGGTGCTGGCCAGGCGCGCAAGGAGAAGTTTGAACCCACATTGATGGAGTAAAGTGTCGAGACAGTAAGTTTTGATCTACGGGCGTATGACTATCACATGGACTGTACTATTTTATACAAGAAATGTGCCTCGTTTAGTCAGACAGTACAGAAACTCCACAATTGGTTATCCAAGTAAAATCAGCACCAGGAAGAGACATGTGATTCTTTCCGACTCTTACATATGACGATTCGAGAACCTCAAATAGTGCCGCCGGTGATTGTGGTCCAAGGGAGGTTCATGCTTGCTGCAGCTGCTTGTATTTGTGCGAAAAGCCATGCGCAATCGCTTTCATAGCTCTCGCATATCATTATAAGCTCATAAAATAACGGACAAGACGGATGTGCAACATTTTGCACTGCTCTACTGTCTGCCGGGCCCTCCGTTGTGAAGTTCCATTGCACTAGTGATATTGGACTAGTCCTTCTACTATTTCACAACATACCCCCAAGTATCCGCTATACTCGCTCGACGATGTCCTCTATTGAGAAGTACCAAGTGTGAAATGTCTAACATTGCCTCCTTGCTACACATTGCACTGGCTGCGCAAATCCGGATCATGAAACCATACCTGCGCAGTGTTCTTGTAAGGATGCGTAGATCCTTTGGCAAGTTATTCTATCATCGCGTCGTGGCTCTCGCACTCACTCTACTCTTTCCTCAATTTCGTACAATCTTCAACCAGAAAAGCATACATGATATACTCAGCATTCTTTACCCTTCTATATTTGTCTCAAGGATACCTGGAAGCAACCCAATATGAATGGTTATCTACAGCTAGCCTGCCAGAAGCATCTTGGACTCTGATGTCAACGAGTGGAATGTATACTCTGGGCCGCATCTTAACGCACCCCGTGTTTTGTTTTTGGAAAGGTTTTCACACGACTGCAAATGAATTCAATTATGCATTACATTGGGTTCTTTCTCAGGTAACGCGTTACTACTCCATGTCATCATCCTGGCGTGCCGAAGTGACGAACCACCATTCACTTGATCTACCGGGAGCTCTCTGTTTGAGCATCAATTAATTGGAATCGATCTACGCTACTCTCAACAGCAGATCCCAGGGATGCCGGCCTCATGATTGGGGCCTTTTGGACCCTCTTAGACCCTATGAGACACTACACACGGGGCAAACGGACAGGGCCAATCACTTTGGAATCACATCGTCAATCATCACTATGATGAATTACTATTAGTGAATTACGATCCCATGACCGCGCTAGCGCACCCATCCACCGCATTTATCTACTTGATCTCCACGATCCGTGACCGCCACCGCCGAACCCTCCCCTCAATTTTCGACCCCGCTTGCCAATCGACTCTACACACAGCACTAATTTCCCAAAGAGCTTTCGAAAGCGTCTGCACAAAATTCTTCAGTATGTTAAAGTCGTGTATGCTTTGTGGCTCAGAGGAGAGCGAAGTCGATCTCCTACTCAGCGTGCCTTGTGGCCGCCACTGGATCTGCTCGGACGACGTCGCCAGCTTTTTCGAGCACGCAACAAATAACGAGAGCTTGTTCCCGCCAAAATGCTGCGGCCAGATCTTGTTGCTGGAAGACTACGAGGATCATGTCCCATTCGACGTAGCATGGGCGTACCAGAAGAAGGAGCAGGGCGAGTACGCCATACTGGCCAAGTTTCGAGTATACTGCGGTCATCCGCCATGCGCCACGTTTCTCCACCCAACTTCCCACCTCCAAGACCCAGAGACGAAAACCGCGTACGCCATTTGTGAGGCAGAAGGCTGTGGGAAGTTGACCTGCACAAAGTGTCGGGCCCTAATCCAGGACGGCATCGAGAACCACGAGTGCCAAAAAGACGAAGAAGCCAAAAGGTTCAAGCAAGCGGCGGCGGAGAACGGATACCAAGAGTGCACTGGCTGCGGTGCGACTGTCGAGTTGAGTGAGGCCTGCAACCACATCACATGCGGATGCGGCCAGTCCTTCTGCTACGTCTGCGGCAGAGACTGGGAAGACTACCACGCTTGCCCCATATACGGTCCTCCTATCTTCGACGAAGAGGGATACAACCAAGACGGCTTTCATCGCGATACAGGCCTCAACCGAGCTGGTCTGAATCGCCGTCAAGACATCACCCGTGCTCGTGCAGAACATTGGGGCGATGGTGGCGATGACGAGACCAACGACGAGCAAGCGGAGTGGGAAGTGCTTCAGCACCTTAATGAGGAGACACGCCACATGCTCGAATTGCTTCCTCCTCACGTCCGCGAAGAGGTCTTGGACCAATTCCGCATCGAGTTGTTCGAAACCCAAGGTATCCTCTTTGATCAGTTCCAAGGCGAGAATGACGAGGATGCCGAAGTGGAGGACGACGAAGCAGAGCACGAGAATGACGAGGACAGCGAAGGCGGAGAATCTGACATCGGTTCAATCCCCGAGGATCAAACGGACGAAGAAGAAGAAGAAGCTATGGAGTTGGAGGCTGCTCCCTAGGTGAGGAAAACTGGGTCATGAAGAATACAACAGAGTTTTACAAGAAATGGTTGCATATGTACCCAGTCTTTGTAATTTAGACGATATATATTGAGATCTATATTTCATACTTCAATTGAAATTTCATTCCAATCTCTTCGGGTGAGAGAGTCTTTTCTACTTGATAAACGTATTCACCGGTAACCGGTAGACATCAATAGTCCAGTACGGCCTCCTTGTGCCCGTCCACTGGTCACTGCCATGTAACCCAGACGGAACATTGATATCCTCCCATGCTGTATCGAAACCCGCCTCGAACAGATCCATCTCAGCAACCTATATGCAAGTCAGTGTTCCATTTTTCCTCGTGAATGATCTCCAAATACCACGTACCATTGTGTAAACATCATAGCAAATCTGTCTATCAGCGCCCAACCCGTTATACCACCCGAACTTGCCATCTTTAGCCAAAAGCTCAACCACGTACTCTGCAAAGAACTCCTTGAGCGCCTTGTAGTCCTCGGCAAAAGTGTCATAGTAAATAGCATCTAGCACAACGCCCTGCTCCACCAGCTTAGGAAGCACATCCTGCCACCTCCCCTCGTGGATCTTGACATTGGGCTTGTCGTACCAGCCCTGTTCGCGGAGGCGCTGGTGCACCTGAGGATGCGCCTCAACGATGTGGTGCTCAGCGGGATCATGTGTAAGAATTGCCGTGTCCACAATACCCATCCCGTGCCCTACGTTCATAGTACGAAGTCCCTTTTTGGGAATCAGCGTCTCGGCGTGGCGCTGCATGATTTGCGTTTCCCAGTCCATCATGACGGCATTGTCGGATTCGTCAAGCAGGATGCCTGGTTTGTACCGCAGCTGACTCTTGAGGTATGCTTTGTTGTCTAGAGAAACATCGTCCATGCCAGCTGGATCATGGGCCTCGGGCTCTGGCTGCTCGACGGGCTTGGCTTCCTCAGTGGAAACCTTTTGCTTTTTGGCTGCTGGCTGTTCTTCACGAATTTCCGCGTCTTCCTCGGCGTCTGAGGCAGCCTCACCCATACCCAGGGCTTCCAGTCGCGCAAAGAGAATCTCGGCACGTACACCGGCTTCGACCATCATGTCGTAGATTTTCTTTTGGCCTAGGCGGAGCGCAATGCAACCTGGTGTTTCGTCCTCCTTGTTCAAGTCGTTCCAGATAGCGCCATTTTGGAGCAAAATTTCCACCGTTTGGACTGCCGCATCACTCGCCTCTTTTCCCTCCTCGGCTTTCCCGCATGCTGCAATTGCTGCGTGGAGTGGCGATGTTGCGACTGTCGCGGTGGGGTCCTGGACGTTGGCTGAGCCGTCTTTGAGCAAGATGTTCAATGCCGGTACATCATGACGCTCTGCCGCCGAGATGATACGCTTAGCAAGGAGGATATCTTCTTCAGTTGCTTGTTCGGCCATGGTCAATTGCAGTTGATATGTGATTGATCTGAATAGAAAGAACTGTGTGGGGTTGGGTAACTTTTGTGCAGGGTTTACGATAAGATAAGCGAGTGTTAGTGCTTCACTGCGGTTGCCTGTTCGGGAACAGTCTGCTCGTGGACAGCATATCTTCTGATCTTAACATAATCTTAAGAGTACAACATCCTAACCCCAAAAGACTATACAATGAGGATATATTGAAGGGCTATGGATCTACTCTTAGTCGTCTTGGGGTATTTGAACAGGGCAACCCTTAGCATAGGAAGCGCAAATGACATGCAGTTGTTTGTCTAGTTCTGGTCCTGATTATGTCCAAGAGCTACACAGCCGGATTAAGCACGCCCCAACACCAAAATGCACAAGTATGGAAAACTAGAATAAATGAAAAAATAGCGTACAGTACCGAGAGAGGCACGGATACTGGAACATGGTGGTATGCGAAATTCCTGATATACAAAAAGTTCAGATGCGTATAGAAGGATTTACGACACCATCCACCAGGCGCCGACAAGAATGGAGACCAAGACCAAAAAGGTCAGAATACTAGCACCGGCTTTGTCACCAGTTGTGACAACATTGAATGTGATGGGCTTGTCGGTGGCATCAGAACCAGCGTCGGGGTTGCTCTTAGAAATACCACCCGACTGTTGGGTTGCGGGACCGGGGACTGTTGGGTAGAGCAGTCCTTGTATAACTTCCATGGCAGCCATCTGTTCACCCACACCAAAGCTACCGTCGTTGACACCGTTGTCGACCCATCGCAGCCCGCATGAAGTCTGGTTCACACCTGCATTGCACTGCTTGGCAGCGGCTTTGGCGGATGTCTGGAGCAGAGGGTCGATCTGAGGACGGGTCCAGGGGGCGACGATGGCAGTGTAGGCCATCCAACGGGCGAGATAGGCCTTGAAGGAGCGCTGATCTACGTCACACTTGCCATTGTTCTCGCAGGCAACCTCTTGCATGACATTGTCCTTGAAGAAAACCTTGGATCCATCGATGAGACCCTGAACTCTGGTCTTCCAGTAGTCTTTTCCAGTCTGTCATTTGTTAGCATGTGGTTGTCTTTTATGTGTGTCTTCTTGTACGTACGGCATTCCACAGGGCAGCAGCACCGGCCATGTGCACACCGGCGTTGTAGGTCCACTGAATGTGGTTGATGGTGGTGCAGTTCTGGAGATCGTCGGTTCCGTCGTAGAAGTGGTAGTCGGCACTCATGAGTCCGACGGAAAGCTCCCACTTCCAAGCCTTCTCAGCCCAGTCGGCGTATGTCTCGTTTCCGAGATACTTGTAGAGTCGCGCGGCAATGTTGAAGAAGCAGCCGTTGGAAATGGCGTTCTTGTAGTTATAACCGTTGTTGAAAGAGAAGATTTGCCACCTCAAGCCCCCACCGCACGTAGACATGTCCCAGCGGTTTTGTTGCGTGTTGAAGACGGCCTGGGCGAGTGAGAGCCATGAAGGTTTTCCATCCGGAAGATCGGGCAGCTTGTTCTCGGCAGCTGTCATGGCGGCCATTCCCCAGAAGGCTTGGTCATCGTTTCCGAGCGTCTTGGTCTGATTCGCAGGCATGAAAGCATTGTAGTCTCCGATTTGGGCCTCTAGGGCTTGCGTGGTGATGCCGTTGTAGGTGTCGTCGCCGGTGTAGTACCAGTAATCGATAAAGGCATTGAACATGGCACCGCATTCCCACCAGTAGTATGGGTCCGGAAGGTTACCAGGAGTGTCGCCTGGTCGGTCTCCGGTATAGTACTGTCGGAGGTTTATAGAGATGTCCTTGGCGGCCTTTTTAATTGATTCTACAGGCGTTAGCAGTGGCCGTACTGGCACTTGAGGTGGCATTACCTGGCGAGTTAATGTCTAGTTCAACTGCGCCCACGCCGGAGAGCAGTAGACTCGAGGCGCCGATGGCGCCTAGGGCCGATGTGAACCTCATGCTGTGACCGGCAAGCTATCAGACGATGCGCAGTGCTGTGCGAATATGACAATGGCGGTGGATTAGCGTACACTGGCCAGCGAGGGTCTTTGTGTGGATGTGGGGTAGGATAGACAGAGGGTCGATTGATTGACTTGGCTATGTATGGAACGAGCGACGGGGAAAGGAGGGAAGGCTTGAGGGACAAGGGCTGGAAGTGGAGGTTTATGGGAAACAGACGTCTGGGCAAGCAGCGTATTACTTCAGCGAGCGGTGTATAGTAGAGAAAGGACAGAGGGAAATGGGGAGCTGGGTGCTGAGCGGTTGTTGCGGGAACTCCTGAGCAGGCGACTGGGTTGTTAGCGGTCCCAGTCCCCAAGATTCAAGACATGGCTTCTAGCACACGCGGCTTGGCGATCAGGGCCCACCGCAAACGGGCTACGGGCTGCGGGCTTGCGGTGCCTGCGTGAGGGCTCCTTCAGCAGCTGATAGGCCCAGACGGCGAGGAGAATGTTCCGCCGTCGATAATGCACCCATCCTGCTGCACAATACGTCGCGAGCCCGTGGAGACGTCCTGCGAACAGCCGGACCGGCACGACAGCCATGACAGCCAGACGAGACGGCGGCAGACGGCAAAGGTGAAGACGCCAACTCCCGCTTAGCAGCTATTCTAAAAACCGGACCGTTGTTGTCGCCCGTATTACCTGGTCGCCACGCCTGCCGAGCTCTCTTTGACCAACACAACGTCGTATTTGCGTGGCTGAGCTGCTGATGCAAGGGTACGTCGTCTTTTTGTCCGGGGGACAACCAAATCCTGGCCGACTCGAAACTCTAGCACGTGTGCGCAACAAAAACCACCATGGGCAATTTAACTGCACCCTCCCCAGGCACACCAAGACGACAGCCCGTGGCGAATCATGTCAGGGAAAGTGGCCTCGTCATGGTGAGGCTGGTGCTTGGTGCAGATCACGTGTCAGTGTGGCGCACAGCGCTGGGGATTGACGGAGCAACGGTTGCACTGTCGCAAGAGCCAAATAGACAGCCTTCACAACGCAAATCCATTGACGCCATATCAAAGTCAATCAAATCACGTACATTTACAACTGTCGTGTTCATATGCAATTTCCGTCTTGTTGCGCCAGGTTTCACGCAAACACCAGCCTCACTGCTCAAACCGAGCTGACACATTGCCTTCGTTCGCCATCCGAGCGGGCTGAGCGGAGTGCCTTGGTCTTCCGCAACCCAACCACACCAACTGTCTCCATCTTTCAAACACCACACCCTCCATCACCCGCACCCTCCACACCCACCACCACCTCTGAACTCCACGACAGTCGCACTTATCACCACCCTACCTTTACACCGTATCTTCAACCATGTCGAGCCGCGAGGAGCCCCCGTATGATCCCTACATCCCCAGCGGCGGCGCCGGCCAGCAGGGCGCCGGTCAGGGCCAGAATGGCAACCACCGCACAGCAGCTCTCCAAGCCGTACGTTGTCCTCACTTCCCCCCGCCATCGCAACGTCTTGCACTCGTCGTCGCATCCATCGCAGCGCAGGTGCGGCCGAGCTATGGTACCTAAACCCGACGTTCGCGGGAAGCTTGTACCAGTAACATGATGCAATGTGATGCGACGACAACTGCACAGGGCATACGCTCGTACCCGTGCATCTCCGTTGCTTTGCGCACTCATGCAAACCAGCACAGATGTACAGGAAGTGTGCTATGGAGCTCGTACCACTACATGTGTGACCTCATATGCTGACCATGTACCAGGAAATCGACAGCACTGTCGGCATCATGCGCGACAACATCAACAAGGTCTCGGAGCGAGGAGCACGCCTGGACTCGCTACAGGACAAGACTGACAACCTTGCCGTGTCCGCCCAGGGCTTCCGAAGGGGCGCCAACCGCGTGCGCAAGCAGATGTGGTGGAAGGATATGAAGATGCGCATGTGCCTTATTGTCGGCATCATCATCCTACTCGTTGTCATTATTGTACCCTCCGGTAGGTTTTCCGTAGCCTGCGACGCCGCTACTCCTGGCTAACATATTCGTAGTCGTTGCGACGCAAAAGAACTAAACCCACCACACATGAGATACCACGAATCATACAGAAATTAATAATGGCACGGACGAACGCGAGAGGAGCCATGGAGGAAGGGGAGGAATGGCTACGAGTTGCGCTATGACGAATGACATGGGTCACTGTAGCATATGTCTTCACGGCGAATAGGGAGCGACGGTCAGATGTCTTCTTGTCTTTGTTTGCGATTTGACAATCATGCTGCTCGGAACGATGCGCCCCCTTATGATACCTCGAGAGCCCAGTTCCTAGCATGATTGTCAGACGACCAAATGGAGTTTTATGCTTGTTTGTAGACCACCTGCGCTTATGTTTATTCGCACTTGTCTTCATCACTGGGCCTTTGCTACTCCTAATGGGATTTTGCTTTTTCCGAGTGACTGCTGATGTTGATACACAAAAGCAATTGAGAGGCGCATAGCAGTACTAATATTAGCTCTTTGGATACCCTCTGCCCTTTACATGACTAAGTTCTTCCAGATGGTCCTGGTTCACCATTCAACTCAAGTTTGACTCGTCTATTGCACCCTAACCCTTCCAACGTTGCATGCCCGCTACTCTCAGATACGCATGGACAACGTCATATCCTACTGCATGCAGAGCACACATTTCCTATCGACCCAGGAACATGATATCCGCGCTAGCATGCAAGTGCTTAGATGGGAAAAATCAGCCTCTTGCCCCAATACAGCACACGGACAGTAACTACGCAAAGGGCTGATAACAATTCATGTCTGTTGTATACATGGTATCAATCCAAAAGCATGTAGCGAATCATACTACCCCGTATTTCTTTTAGGGTTCATCTGGTATATGGTTCGCGCGGTTTTGCGGTAGACCAGCTGGCGGTGCATGACTGCATGCACCAGGATGGAATAATCGCCCTAAAGTCTGCCCTTCTCGGGCTCACACAATGAGCCAACACGCTCCGAGGCATGCACGCGCCAATGGCAAGCCATGGCAGCTTATGTCGGAGTTGGCGCTAGATGGCCGATGCCCTGTCCGTCTGGGGAAACCGCGCAGCGATAACGGAAGTAGCGAATTTTTGTTGCTTCCGCGCGTCATATCTTTTGCATCCGCTCAGACTTCAGATTGACTCCAGTCTCCACCGAACAGTCACGGTGCCAATTCGGTTTGCTTAAAGTCGCCCTGGGCCTGGGTAGCTGGGAGCGACACTTACTTCACTCACCATGCAGAGCTTCATCCGAGCCAGCCGTGTGGCTGCCCGATCATCCCACCGTATCCTCGCGCAAACCCCACGTAGCCTCCCCCGAGCACTTGTCGCGACCACGACGCCGAGCCGCCTATATACGTCCTCGTCCAAGGATGGCCGCAATTCGTCCATATACGCTGCCTTTCTTAATCTGTTGGCCAGCTCCAGTTCCCGCCGCGAAGTCGACCAGTACCTGGGCCAATTCCGCTCCGTCTCACCGCACCAATTTGCCGTCGTAAAAGTGGGAGGAGCCATTCTGACCGACCACCTGGAGGAGCTATGTTTCGCTCTCCAGCAGCTCCACGCAATAGGACTGTACCCCATTATTGTCCATGGTGCCGGCCCTCAGATGAACCAGCTGCTCCTTGAGTCAGGCGTCGAGCCCGACTTTATCGATGGCATACGGGTCACGGACAAGAAGACGCTGGGCATCGCGCGCAAGCTGTTCCTCGAGGCAAACATGGATCTGGTCATGACACTGAAGAAGGACTGGGGTGTGCCCTCGCGGCCCATCACCGCTGGTGCTCTGCAAGCCGACTACCTGGACAAGGACAAGTGGAAGTACGTCGGCAACATCACCAACGTCAACACGAGACAGATCATGGATGCTCTGGAGAACAAGGAGCTACCAATTCTGTGCTCCATGGGCGAGACGCTCGACGGTCAGATCCTCAACATCAACGCCGATGTAGCTGCTGCAGCCTTGGCCCGCGAATTCCAACCTCTCAAGGTCATCTATCTCTCTGAGAAGGGAGGCTTGTTCAACGCCGAGTCCAAGCTTATTCCCCACATCAACCTGGAGGGCGAGTACGACACGTACATGAAACAGTCGTGGGTTAAGTACGGCACCAAGCTGAAGATTGTGGAGGCGAAGAAGCTGCTTGATGGCCTCCCGCGCACATCGAGTGTAGCAATTACACACCCGTCCAACCTCGGAAAGGAGCTCTTCACCCACACTGGAAGCGGTACACTTATCCGCAATGGCGGAAGCGTCAAGGAAATTAGCAAATTTGAAGACTTGGACGTTACCGCTCTGCAAGAGGCCATCACCAAAACCCGAGGCGCCGATGCGAGCGATGCCGTGAACAGGTACATCCAAAACCTGAAAAACCGGCCCTTTGAAGTCTTCCACGATGACTCAATGGGTGTTGTTGCCGTCGTCTACCCACCCACGTCCGAGGGAGAGTTTGCCCAGCTGTCTCATTTCAGCATGACAAAAGACGCTTTCCTCAACAACCTCAACGATCTCGTGTTCCAACGCATGAAGCAGAAGTACCCGAAGCTCTACTGGGTGGTTGACGACCAATCACAAAACTACGTGAAATGGCACTTGGAAAAGACAGACGGCTTTCTGCGTAGGGAGAATGAGGTCTTCTGTTGGTGGGGATCCGCACAGTCTTCTGAGATCTTCAAACTGCTTGAGGAGTATACAAAACAGGGCCGTGGCATCCTTCAGGACAGTTTGGATGCGCAGTTCCGTCGGGCAGCTGACTTTGTAGCCAGCCTGAAGCAGGGACAGCAAACTCGCGGTTACGCAACAATGGCTAGTCGGTCTTCACGACCTATGCTGAGCCCTCGACGCAACAAGGCTGCATCTTCCCGAGGCTTCGCGACCACTGCAACACGCTCTATGGAGACTACCAACCCCAACCCACCGTATGGCATCAAGCACAAGAGCAGGGACTACCCCGCTAAAGTCGCCCTGATCGGTGCGCGAGGATACACCGGCCAGGCTTTGATCGAACTGCTCAACAAGCACCCCAACATGGACTTGCGCCATGTATCGTCACGTGAGCTTGCTGGCAAGAAGCTAGAGGGCTATGCTAAGCGACAAATTACATATGAGAACCTGTCGCCTGAAGACGTCAAGAAGATGGCCGAAAACGGCGAAGTTGACTGCTGGGTCATGGCCCTCCCTAACGGTGTATGCAAGCCTTTTGTTGACGCCATCAACGAGAGCGGCAAAGATACCCTCATCGTGGACCTCAGTGCCGACTACCGATTCGACGAAACATGGACGTACGGATTGCCAGAAACTATCAACCGTTCACAAATCTCCGAAGCTAGACGGATAGCCAACCCTGGTTGCTATGCTACTGCTGCTCAGCTTGGCATCGCGCCTCTGCTTGAGTTCATAGGCGGCCAGCCAACTGTGTTTGGTGTTTCCGGTTATTCTGGAGCAGGTACCAAGCCGAGCCCCAAGAACGATGTGAAGAATCTCGAGAACAACCTCATCCCGTACAGCTTGACAGACCATATTCACGAGAAGGAAATCTCGCGACAACTGGGCACCGAGGTTGCCTTCATTCCCCATGTTGCTGTCTGGTTCCAGGGTATTCACGTAAGTCAGGTTCCTGTCTGATTACAAATACAGTGGTTTTGGTAGTTTCGACAGCTGACTTGTTGCAATAGCACACCATCTCTATCCCGCTTAACCGCACAATGACTTCTCGCGACATCCGCAATCTCTACCAAGATCGCTACGCTGGGGAGAAGCTCGTCAAGATTGTCGGAGAGTCACCACTCGTGAAGAACATCTCTGGCAAACACGGCGTCGAGATTGGTGGTTTTGCCGTCCATAGCTCAGGCAAGCGCGTTGTCGTCAATGCGACCATCGACAACCTGCTCAAGGGCGCGGCGACTCAATGCCTGCAGAATATGAATCTGGCACTTGGATACGGAGAATACGATGGCATCCCATACTAGATGGAATCTACATGTGGTTGTCGTTCTTTTCAACACTTACCAAAATGGGTCGATGATGGCTACATGGCACGTAGGAAAAAGCAATGAGCCGGGGTTAGGCTCTTGTCGGACGTCCAAGGCAGTCTTCTTCTTTGAACTTGTAGATATATCCAATTGCAAGCATGTTCACATTCGTACAGGAGTGTTCTAGTTTTGAAGACGGTGGCTGACTATGAGTTTGGCGTGTAACCTCTAAGCGACAATGTATCGCGGTGCGAGTCATGTCAGCGTGACGATGAGGGGAACATGCATCAGGCCTAGATTGGATATTGTTTTCCGCGTCAGCATTACTGAGCCAGGTCGAGAAGCAGACGCTTTACCGCTAGCTCTTCTTCTGTTGAGCAATGGCTGATCAACGCAAGGGTATGATGTGAGTCGAGGTACATATGTTAGTGGTGGGTCCACTCCGCATTTGGTGGTTGTTTACTCTGGAAAGTATCCATTCTACACGAACTGCAAGTTGTTCCTTCAAGCTTCTTCATCTCCTCCAAACATGGGCAATCATGCGCTGATCTATGGCGCTTCTGGTATCTCTGGGTGGGCTATCGTCAATTCCATCCTCAACGGCTACCCTTCCAAGGATGCATTCTCCAGAGTCACAGCAATGGTAAATAGGCCATTGACAAGAGAGATGGCTCTTTGGCCCGATGACCCAAGACTACAAATTGTATCCGGTGTGGATCTAGTCAAGGGAACTCAGGAAGAGTTGGAGAAGCAGATCAAAGAAAAGGTCAAAGATGTGGAGACAGTAACTCAGGTGTACTTTTACTGCAAGTCCAACACGCGCAAATGATTGACCAGGACTCACACTTTCCAGCCTACAAACAAATAGATGATCCCGGATCTGAGTGCAAGATCAACGAAGCAATGTTGGAGCGCGCTGTCACTGCGATTGACCATCTGTCTTCCAAGCTCTCCTATGTGCTTCTTCCAACAGGTACCAAGATCTACGGGTGCCAAATGGTGGATGAATTCCCATTTGCAAAAGACCTGCCACTGAAAGAAACATTACCACCTATCCCGGAACCACACCTCTCCCAGCTCTTCTACTACAACCAGATCGACTGTTTGAAGCGCATCTCCAAGGGCAAGAGATGGAACTGGTGTGAGGTACGACCTGACAACATCATCGGTTTCGTTCCAAACAACAACGCTTATTGTCTCGCACAAACCCTAGCGTTATATCTTTCGCTCTATCGATCTGTCCAAGGTGAAGGTGCCAAGTGCCCATTCCCTGGAACGGAGAAGTCGTGGGTGAATAAGTACAACGAGTCTCCACAGGACATGGTCGCACACTTCTCCATCCATGCATCTTTGCACCCCGAAAAGACTGCATCGCAGAGTTTCAACGTCGGTGGGCAGGAAGACAGTTGGAGCGGTAAATGGCCGGTCATTTGTGATTACTTCGGTCTTGATGGTACTGGGCCAGAAGAAAACTCGCCACAGCCTGGTGCGTACATTGATGCACACAAGAAGGAATGGTATGAACTGGAGAAGAAGCACAATCTCAAAAAGGGAAGCGTGGATAGCGACATCACACATCCAGGCTTCCAGGTAAGTCGGTTCAAAGCTGCACAAAGCGAACAGCTCAAGCTAACATGCCACAGTACGTCATCATGACCTTGTTTGATTTTGACCGCCAGATGAGCATGGAGGCTTCGCACAAGGTTGGATATACAGAGGAGATTGGGACGAAGGAAGCGTGGACGACGGCATTCGATCGCATGAGGAAGGCCAAGGTCATACCGTGATAGCCCCTCGTGCTTTCCGTATGCAGCAAGCACCGCGATTAGCGTGACAGGTAGTCGATCTTGCATCTAGTCGCATATACCATTTCCATTCCATGCCTCAATGCGTTTCCTCTTGCCTGTGTAATGACCGACGCCAACGATGTGCGCCATGGTGAATACTCGCCTATGTACCCGTCGTGCCTGCCTAATAGCGCAGACCCCCCTGTTTTACGAGAGCTAGGTTCGGCGATCAGCAACACAGACCGCGATGGCTACGCAACCGTGAGCTTGCAGAGTATATTGTTTTCGCAATAGATGATAATTCGATACACATCATTATGCTTCCGAATTTGGGGAGCCCACGAACCAAACTCGCGCTGAAGGTGGTTGGCCTGGTGGCTGTTGTGTGCTTCTGTAGGTCCCCTTTCCTACTTACCTACTCTCATGTGGAGCTGATCTAGGGTCCACAATCGCGTTGCGAGTTGACCTTGGCCTACATTTGCAGGACCTATAATTTGCATAGAAACTCCCTAATCTTCGTTGTCGCGCGTGCTTGACCATCACCTCCCTTACATACCGCTAACCACCAACCTCCCAGTCATCCCTCTCGCCTTCGGCCTCCCCCACAGATCACCCCGCGCAGACGTCAACATCCCACTACGAATACTCCCTCTCGGCGACTCGATAACATGGGGCTGGCAACCCACAGCCAAGGAGAATGGCACAGACGGCTATCGCGCTGTGCTTATCCACGAGCTCACCTGGGCGCGCTATGGCTCTGTCAAGTTTGTAGGCACGCAGCACTCTGGATACATGTACAACAACGAGAATGAGGGGCATTCGGGAAGCACAATTAGTCAACTACAGGGCGTAATGAAAGCAGGGCTAGAAATGCGACCGAATGTCATACTACTCCACATCGGCACGAATGATCTCGCTCGCCAGGAAACAGCAGAGGAGAAGTGGATCGATGCGCCGGAGCGATTAGGAAGGCTTCTTGATGAGATATTCAACACATGTCCGGATACCGTGGTTCTCGTTGCGAAAATCATACAAGCACAGGATACACAGACGAGGGCGAACATTCAGGCCTTCAATGATGCGATACCTGGGGTGGTGAAGATGTGGGTGGAGAAAGGTTTCAAACTTGGTGTTGCGGACCTGAGTATCGTGGGCACGAATGAATTGGTTGATGGTTTGCATCCGTAAGTCATTCGGTCGGAAGTGGTGTGAGGGCGGATGGTACTAATGCTGATCTAGGTCCTATGCTGGATATTCTCATATGGGCGATATCTGGTGCGATGCCATCAAGGCTGTTAGTAGGAAGGGATTGATTACGCCGCCTGTTGCGGTAGAGCGATTGAATGGATAGATGATGCATGTTTGTTGAGTTTCAAGATACATGGTTTTCAATTCTTATACCATGCATATTGCACGCCAATTTCCACAGGCTGATAGACAGTAACTAACGTGCCTACTGCCAGTCTTACATGGAAGACGCGAAGCCCCAAACTCTATCGCTCAAGCATAGCTAGGTGTTGCTGCAGCTACCTGTGCAGAAGACAAGTGCTGCCAGACGCGTCTTCCACGAATCAGGAAACCTCATATTAGATTGATGCACGACTCGCATACATCCGCGCTGTGTTCATTTGTCAGACGTACCCGATGCCTTCCTCTTTCCTCGGTGGGGTTAACATGCGGGGTCCCGCCTCTACGCGACATTGCGCTATGGATAAAGCATTTCCCAAGCTCCGATGTTGGAAGAGTGATGGTCTGTATAGCAATCTGCAAATCACGATGTATCCGGAAAAACATCTGTCATACAGTGTAACATTGAAAGCCTGTTGAAAAGAGATCATGTATCTGATAGCGCTCGTTGGTGTACTAGTTAGGCAAGTCTGTCTCGCTGGCTTGCATACTTGGTGTCGGAAATGCTTTTGCGAGGCTACGCCTTTGGAAGTGCAACGAATAACGCCGTTTTCTGCGTCTCTGGTCCGGTAGCGTTGAGGTCACAGGGACTAATTCAGGATTAGTATATCTGAATGGCTTTGCATTTTGTAGTCTTGTCCGGCTTCATCTCCCACACTTCACAGCAATTGATTGGTGTTTCACCGTCCTCTATATCACCCGGGAGTTGAGCAGGTGCCATTAACTATGGGTCTTGTAGACGCAGAGCGTCTTCACCAGGCCGCGATATGGGCACCAGTCGCTGTATGTCCTACTCTCTTTCCCTTTTGAGACACAAACCTAACCATACTCAGTTCATAGCCTATATAATCCTCACGGCAATCTACAATCTCACACTCCATCCTCTGGCGAAATTCCCCGGACCGCTACTATGGCGCATCTCGCCCATACCTTCAATCATCTCTCTTCTCCGTGGACGTATCGCCTTTGATTACAAGGTCCATCACGACAAATATGGCCCCGTTGTCCGTGTCATGCCCAATGAACTTTCATTCAACACAGCCCGAGCATGGGAGGATATTTACGGCCACCGGGTTGGTTTAGCCAACATGGATAAGGATCCAATTCACGTTGGGGCAGTAGAAGCAATACCCGGGGCTACGAATTTAACCATGGCGCCGGATATTCATCATGCGAGACAGAGGAGGGCGCTTGCTCATGCGTTTAGCAAGCAGGCGTTGTTGGAGCAGGAGCCTATTTTGAGGGATTACGTAGATTTGTTTGTAAAGAGATTGAGGGAGAAGGCGCAGAGGGGGGAACCGGCGAATATGGTGTCGTGGTTCAACTTTTGCACTTTTGATATCATCGGGGATTTGAGCTTTGGTGAGCCTTTTGGTTGTTTGAGAGAGGGTAAGTGCATGCGATCATGGGGGTACAACCCAAACACTGACGTTCCACCCCAGGCGAAGGTTCTGAATCAGCAAACTGGGTTGTTCTAATCTACAAAGCCATCAAATCCGGCGCCATCGAACAAGCCACCCGCCGCTTCGCCAAACCAGGCTCCCTGACTCAGAAGTTCCTCATGTGGTGCATACCCACAGTCGTGCGCGAACGCCGCTTCCGCCACCTGCGAAACTCAACTGAGAAAACGGTAAAACGCCTAGCCATGAAGACCGAGCATAGAGACTTTATCTGGTACATCCTCCGGCAACGCGAGAAGAAGAACGAAGTCTCGGACGACGAAGTAATCATGAATGCCGCCTTATTCATCGTAGCAGGCAGCGAGACGACAGCTACACAGCTCTGCGGCCTAACAAACTATCTTCTCCGGGATTCTGAGAGATTCAGGAAGCTAAAGGATGAACTGCGAAGTGCGTGCAAAACAGAAGCGGACATCAACATGGATGTTTTAGGAAATCTACCTTATATGAACGCTTGCATCGAAGAAGGCCTTCGCGTCTTCCCCCCGGTACCCGTCGGCCTCTTGCGTACCGTTCCGAAGGGCGGCTCTTTGATCGATGGTCATGCTGTACCGGAGTACACAAGTGTGTGCGTCAGTTCCTGGGGCGCCTCGCATTCACCCTCCAATTTCGTCCAGCCGGATTCCTTCATCCCCGAGCGCTTCCTTGATACGCCTGAGTCCAAAGTAGAATTCGGAACTGACGTTAAGAACGCTGCTCGGCCGTTTTCTACGGGGCCGAGGGGCTGTATCGGAAAGAATCTGACATATGTGGAGCTAAGGCTTATCTTGGGAGCTTTTCTGTGGAATTTTGATGTTGAATTTACGGAGGAGGGTGGGAAGCTTTGGGACCCGAGAAATGATTTTGAGGGGCTCAAGGCGTTTAATACTTGGGAGAAGAGTCCGTTGTTGGTGAAGTTGACGGATATAAGGACGAAGGGTTGAGAGAGGGGTGGGATATGAATGATGGCAATGATATCGAGGCGATACATTTCTGTACACTAAGTATCTAAGAAATATAAGACCAGAAATAATGTCATCCATATTATCATGTTGGTGGGAGACCTTCACGTGAACTCGTGAAAGCGCGAGGCGGGGTTACCACGCGTTAGCTCCGAGTCAACTACGTCAGCACCTGCTTGTGTCTGGACTGTTTACAACTTCCAACCATTTCGTCAATGTACAGACGCCCAGTCAACCTCCTCACAAAACTTCCGAGCGCAAAAAAGCATAGTGCTCGTAGCCCGATTCGAATACGAAGCTTGTTTTCTCGCGATAGCTTTCAACTGCGCAGCTTCCACGCTCGCAATCAGCTCCGTGCAGCCTACAACATGCCGCAAGAACCAAAAATTGTCAAGGTTGAAGACCTCCCAGCTACCGAGGCAAAGTGGATCGAGTTCCAGAAGATCTCGTGGCAAGATCAGACGGGCAAGGACCGTGTATGGGAAGCTGCCGCGCGCAAAACTCGAGGCAAGGCAGGTGTGGACGCGGTAGCTATCAGCACCATCATCCGCCATCCTTCACGTCCAGCCTCGACTATCGTCATACTACAGTATCGCCCACCGGTGAACGCCGTCTGTGTAGAGCTCCCCGCCGGTCTAGTCGATGAGAAGGAGTCACCCAGCGAGGCCAGCCTACGAGAGTTGCACGAAGAGACCGGGTACAAGGGCAAGCTAGCCTTCATTAGCCCGACTATCGTGTCTGATCCTGGTATGAGCACGGCAAACATGCAGTTGGCGATGGTGGAGGTGAACCTAAAGGAGGGGGACAAAGAGCCGGAGCAAGCGTTGGATGATGGCGAGTTCATCGAAAAGGTTGTGGTGCCGATCGATGAGTTGTATGAACGCCTTATCAAGTACGATCAAGAGGGGAAGAGCGTTGATGCGAGGCTCTGGCATTGGGCTGCAGGATGGCATGCGGCCAAAACCATGTTGTAAGGGAGTGCGTATAGGCAGTTGAGCACTGCCCTTATCGGTATGAAGGAGATCACGTTGGCCTCTCGGAACAGAATCTTATAGGACCCTCTGTTCGCTAGGCGCATACACAATTTGATATCCCTCGCCTTCACGGAAAATGACCTAGCCTGATTGATGGGGCTGAGCAATTACTTGCTTCAATGAGTACTCAGCTTACACCACAATCAATTCCCATTTCCTCACATACGGCGATGACATTCCCGATATCCGGAAAGTAGGCCCTTGATGTTACCGTAATCGGTAGGTACTCACGAACTGCTGTTATTTCATCTTATTCTGTTGTCATGCAAACATTTTGCGGTCCCCTGACCGAGCCCTGACGGCCCGCCGTGCACTTTGTCCCTTTCCATTTATCTCTCACTTCGTTCTTCTCAGCAATTGCGTGACATTGTGCTCATTACTTCGGAATTAAAATGGTAGGCTGCTCTTGTTAGCGCAGACTCGTTGATGAATAAGCTACTGCTCCTTCCCTGCTACTTATTTTCTACATCAATCACTTTTTACATTCTCTTAGACGCACTTAGGCTTTGAGAACACCACGAAGATGCAGTTCCTCAACATCCTCTTCCTCGGTAAGTTTAGTTATCACTGTCATCGATAAAAATTTCCTGATTCTGATCACAGGCCTCTGCGGCTTCCTCGCTAATGCCGCTCCAACGTCCCCCAATGATGATGGTCTGTCCAAAGACTGGACCCACGTCTTTACACAGGACAATATCAACCTCTCTACTGTCAATCCTGGCTCACCAATGGCATCTGTTTCAATCCCCAGCGTAGCCGATGCCACAGAAGTTCACGGTCAAATCGTGAACAAGTGCTCATTCCCCGTCTGGGTTCGCTTAGCAATCGCGGCAACTACCTCCAACCCAGATCGTCCTGGCGCCAAGTGCGACCACGCCGGAGAAACCCACATGGTCGAAGTTCAGCCGGGAGGTACCTACCTATCTCCCTTTCCTGCCAAGTGCGACCAATGTGGTCACGTCCGTACGTATGCCCACCCATCCTCTGGGAATCATACTAACATACAACTCACAGTCAAGGTCGCTCACAATGCCGGCGATCTTAAGGTCTACCAATTCGAGTACTCTATGGACGGCCATGATGGTCGCCTGTGGTACGATCTCAGTGCGGAAAACGGTGCGCCCTTCCAGAAAGTCGAGCGTTATCTGGGAACTTCCGGCCGTAGCTGCCCATTTGTGGACTGTAAGCCTGGTCAATGGGGTAAGCACCCAGTGTATGGGTGTGACTGGCCTCTTCAGCCGGTTTGCAACACTCCCAGTACTGTTGTTGGAGTGTTGTGTGGCAGGGTCTGAGTGATCACGGACGCAGAGATGCTTTGTGCGATTAGGTGTTTTATTAGATTGGGGATTACATGATAGATGACTACAGGGCTTGGGGGTTTGAGAACACATGACATGGCAATCGCGGATCACTGGAACCTCACGAATCAATACAACCTCATCTGTGTCTTTCAACAACCACCTCATCATACCAATTCAATTATTTCCCTCATGACCTCACATCTCACAGTCAACAATTTTCGATGACTTACCTCCTCGGCTACACGGCGCGGTGTCAAGTGGAAGAGTAATGATAGGCCCATCTACCAAAGTAAGGCGTTTGTTTACGTCATCAAACTCATTCTCATCATCTCTGTATTCGGTCCCTTCTTCTCCAAGTCCTTAGGCGTTGACTTCTTCCAATCATATCCCCGAGTGGCCTAATACCAGTTTAGTAAACGCGACCACGGCTTACGCTGACACGATTACTCCGCGGTAATTCCAACGCCTGTGAAACCTTTCAATATCACATTTTTCAGCAGAATCTTCTCTCCTATACCACACACTCCTAATCTAGCTGTATTATGCGCAAAATTCCACCAGCCATGAAGTTGGGCGTTTGAGCTTCATTGGACAAAGGCAATTTGCCATGTCAGCAATGCCCCGAAGCCATCACGCCTCCAACACAATTGTTTACATCATCATCAGCGTTCGAGCTGTGGGAGAAACTTACCACTTCTAACACAAAAGATGTATAAAGGCTGCAGGATGGCCAGCATTGACACCAACTTCACCCCTTCATCCCTCATATAACCCACCTCACTTACACATAACCCCCAGCCCAGCCTTCCAAAATGCAGTTTCCAACCACCGCCACCTTCCTCTCCCTTCTCGCTTTCGCTGCAACAGCATACACCTACGACACCGTCAGCTTCACTACATCCTCTTGCCCTGACTGCAGCCAAGCTGTAGGCTGCTCTATCGAGGCGCGCACCGGGCTACCACCAAACCAGTGCGTCCGCATGTGGAACGGTGACGCCAGCCTGACTGTCTATGGTGCCACGAATCCTTCTTGCAAAGGTATATTTATGAGTATTCATTTAGTTGAATCACTAGCAGAGGCGTTGAGGAGAGGCTAATGGGACGCGTGTGTGCAGTGAACCTGTACGAGTCTCTCGATTGCACGGGGACGCCAGAAGTGCATCAGAATGCGCAGTGTGAGAACTTCTCGCCTAAGAACTCGTTCAAGATTACCTGTTAGGTTGGGTAGCTGGACGTAAGAGGTGCGTAGACGGAGCGGGCAGCGGGAACCTTATCAAAGTACAGTCACTACTGCTCCTTCTTTCTCTAGGCGATCGCAATGCTGGCTGTTAGTTCAACACATGACAAAAGCCTTGTGAGTCCTGTCCAATTTGCAGTTTAGAAAGTAGAAGAAGTGTTTTTGATATTAAAAAATGGCGTCCTGAAACTTCATGTACATTTGCGCTCACTTTCCTACGGCCTTTCTGTATCAATTATGCCCAAAAACCGTCTTCTTCGTAACAGTTCTGTATGTTAATCCAAAGAGCTATAGCTCTCACCGCCGTTCGAGAGTTTATCCTCGGAACTCCAAGTTTGGTATGGAGTAGTAGAAGTGTCGAGACCGAACGCACGCAAGGATTCCCTATACCATCTCGTGTAGCATACCTCGCACGTATCATGGCGCATACCCTTGCGAGCCTCGCTTCCTTTCTTCACAATTTTACAGAATTTGCACCATAATCATCTTTCGGCTTCAACCATTGCTTCCGTTCCAGGTATATATCCCGGTTGCCCTCGTGGTGTTGCGAAGCCACAGTCAGCACAGAAGCGTCTGTAGGTCTGGGAGCCATTCCGTCCAGTCTTGCCTTTGAGCATCGTATCGGCAAAATTGGATGCATGTCGCAATCTGGTGCAGAACTTGCAAGCATATAAATAGCGATCTTTTGCCCATGCAGTTTTCTCGACAACAAGGAGCTCGTCGTGGGTAGCTTTCTCAACGATATTGTGGAAGTGCCGATTTGTGAGGCGCAGGTACCGTGCAGCGAAATTGCCTCCTTCTTCTGGGTCCATGAGCTGGGCTGCTATGTTCAGGTGCAATTCTGTTGCTAGGCGGAGTATGGGTGGAGTGGACTCGCCAGGCAAGGCTGAGGACTGCATAGCATGAAGCTCGGCGCGCGGTAGGTAGAGCGTGTGGTAAATTTCACTGACGGTGTCGGTTTCAAGATTTGTGGAGAAGACTGTAGTTGGAAAAGACGATAGTTGAGAGATGGTGGTTGATATATATGGTAAGTTAAGCTACGCCACCCCCGCGCGTCACACAGCTTTCTTTCGAGTGACAAGGCTGGACAGGCAACAGCAGGCAATGCACCTACCAATTATGTGGTGTCTCTGTTTAAATCTGGGAAAGAGCGACGGCATCGATCAATGACGAACTAGCGCGACACTAACAGAAGCTAGTCCTAGTGAGGGTGAAGGATAGATGTCTGCCTACGAGGCTCACCTGCCCGCAGCACCATAAAATATGGTCGAATTGAGACAGAATTAAGAAGAATGATATATACACCGTCTATTAATCTTCATGACGTCAAGAGCCTTCAAACCATCTATTCTCATCTAATCGTTGGCCGTCTTGTCGTTGTAGTAATGTATCGTTTGATCGGCACATCCACTCGGCGTTTGGTACAGATAGTTGCCCAAGTTGATGTACATCTTCTGGCCTGTACACACATACCATGCGCTTTTGTTTGGCCGATTCACGCCCGCAACCGACCATTGGAGATCGTCACCACCCCAAGCAAACGTTCCGTATGTGTTCTTACTCTCTGAAAAGCTGACCGCGAGAGACATGCCGTTGATAGATCGTTCCTCTGAAACATTGGCGTAGAGAAGTTTGACTGGAGCGCCTGGGGCAGATACTAATTCAACGAGCTGACCATCTACGACTTGAAATTGGCCGGCTGTTGTGTAGTCTCCTAGGAGGGCTGGGCCGGTCGAGTAGAGTGGGTTGGTTTGGATGTATTTGTGGAAATTGGGAGCCGCAACAGCGCGCACCCAGTAGTAGCCGCTTTGAAGTGTCTTGCCTGGTCCCGTTCCTGATGGAGCGTTACTTGCAGTTGGCGTTCCAGGAGTCACTTGGGATGGCTCCGGTGTTGGAGAAGGAGCAGCAGAAGACGAGGGAACAGGTGCAGGAGCAGCGCCGGGCTGGCACTGCGAGTAATAGTCACTGAATACTGTCAGCAGTGCTTCAGATAATGGCCTTGGAGTTCGTTTTCCTTACTTGATCTTGACGCAGCCAGCACCTGAGCCACATACTGTGTCGCCAGACCAGCTCATGCCGCCGCCTTGACCCCCGTTAGAAAATGCTTATATAAAAATCTGTGACGTGCATACATTGTTGCCAATTTCCTACAACAGCTGAAGTGGTACCGGCTAGCAATGCTAGTAGACCAGTCGTTGAGGGACGCATCTTGCGGTCAAGATTTGCTTGTGCTTCAGATGGAGGAAGTTCTAGCAAGTTTCTCGCGTGAAGTGGACAATGTGCAAGCATACAAAAGCGACATGATATACTTTTCGATCTAGCTTCCAGAACATGAACCATGTGATTCTGGATATAGTGTTCATATCCATGATTGTCGGACCGTTGGCCGTGTAAAGTGGATAAAGTACCCTATGCCTGCAAGCGAGCGCCATAACCCGGGACCGGGGCCGAGACAGCGATCTCCATTTGGCAACAATATATTGCTTGATCGCTAGTTCTGAGGCTTGACTGGCCAAGTAATAGTTTGTCGTAGTAGCCAAGGATGAGACTCATTGCCACCGAGCCTCAAAAAAGCCCGGGTACAGCGCGTATCGTATCATGCTACAGCTTGCCAGGGGCTTCTTTCCCTGATACCGCCATCCTTTTTATATGTTGTATGGTTTGCAGGAGGCACAATGGCTGCTTGCTGATCTCGGTGGGTGGGACATTTGGTGTGCGGGATAATGTCCTTACGCCGTCTGTTCCATGGCCATTGCCACCTAGTATGGTGGATTGAGCGACATTTTCCCGCCTCATTCGGCCCCAGCAACCCCACTAATAGGTTCTGGTCTCGAAGAAAATATAATCTTGTACCTCACAACCTCCACAATCTCCAGCTCTTCCTCGCCACCATTGTTTCTCTTTTCCTTATCATCGTCCTCCAAACCGCCCATCTCAACGTCTCCACCATCTTTCCTTTCCCTCTTTCGCATAACGCCAATTGGATTGACCAGCTTCTTGCACTCGCCAGTCATCCTCTGTCCCTTGCCAACGTACATGTACACACGCTTCATCCATTTTGTGTCGCTGGGATCGTTGATGTCGGGATTGTAGTACGGGAAAACCAGCTTTCCGATTTGTGTCGAAGTAGTAGAGGGTGCGGGGGTTGGGAAGTGGATTGTGCCTTGAATTTCTAGTAGGGCGAGACCGGAGGGTGTGTGAAGAAGCTCGGGGAGAGGGTTTTCAGCGCGCGAGGGTGCCATGGCACGGGAGGGCAAATGAATTGGTATGGATGGCATTGTGTGTCTTTGTGTATATTGAAAAGTTGAAAAGATGATGGCTGAAGTCTGTTGTGGGAAAAACAAGTGTGAAGCGCAAGGAATCGAATCGGCAGGTGCGCGACGCGCCCAAATTTGGTGGGGTAGGCGCGTCGTGGGGAAGCGAAAATGACGGCATTCAACTTGGACAAATATTCATTCAAAAGTTCATTATATTTGAGATTATCTAGTGGTATCTAAAAGAGGCATAATCCTTGCAATTGTAGCTATCTAAGCCCTCTTTCCAAAGACCTTGTCGTAGCCGGTGAGTGTCAGCCTGTACTTGACGTTGTCGTTCTTGTACACGCGCTCAACCGCCTCCTTGCAGCCCTCTTCGCCGAGCTGGATCTCCTGTACCCAGCTCTTGATGTTCTGTTTTGATGCAAGCTCAAACATCTCCTCCATCTCTGGCCTGTTGCCAATGTGCGACGCACCCATGGAGCAACCGTTGGGCGCAAAGATTTGAGCGGGCATGGCGGGGAGCGGGTTGTCGGGGAAGCCGACCATGTGGAAGTTTCCGTTGACCTTTAGGATAGAGAAGTACTCTGCCAAGTCGAACTTGTCCGTAGCATCGGCCGTGTTGATGACAAAGTCAAACTGGAACTTCCATGGCTCCGCCCAACCCTTCTCCTTGGTAACGATGAAGTCTTTGGCACCCATCTTGAGGGCATCCTCCTTCTTGTTAGGAGAGTGCGAGATGACGTATGTGTCGGCACCCATGGCAACTGACCAAAGGACACCGAAGTGGCCAAGACCTCCACTGCAGTTTTGTCAGTTCTTGCACCCAACAACCGTGAATACCTTTACGGGATAAGGTACTTACAGTCCGATAATGCCGACCTTCTTTCCTGGGCCAGCTCCTAACCTCTTCAATGGAGAGTATGTGGTAAGCCCAGCGCACAGCATAGGCGCCGCAAGCGCAGTATCCAGGTTGTCTGGGATCTTGAAGACAAAGTATTCATGTCCTCGAATATGACTAGAATATCCACCCTGAGCAACGGTGCCACAGCTGTGCTTAGCACCGTATGTGTCGACCTGGTTGGGGCAGTAGTTCTCGTTGTCGTTCTTGCATTGCTCGCAAGTCAGGTCGGCGCCAATCTGGGCACCAATACCAGCACGGTCGCCAACCTTGACCCGAGTAACCTTGTCGCCAACCTTGACGACCTTGCCAATGACCTCGTGTCCTACACAGAGGGGAAGAGGGATTGAGTCTCCCCATCCACCAGTGATGGTGTGAACATCTGAAGCGCAAACACCGCAGGCGTCAATGGCGATGTCGACATCGTATTCCTCAAACTTCTTGAGGGGTAGCTGGAGGATTGTTAGCAAGGATCAATAGTGGGGTGATTGTGCACTCGACTTACCTCCTGGCGCTTGAAGGTGCTCCAGTTCTTGATGTCAGTGACGGCAAACGCGTCAGTCGTCTCTGGGTAAGGCATCTTGCTATGAAATTGACGTGTAAAGCGTGTAGGGAGAAAAAGTTGCGAAGTTGCAAATCAATGGAGGGGCAAGTTGTTGAGGGGCAATCGCACGTATTTGAAGCATCGGTCAATCTTCCGCGACCTGATAAAAGTCGGTCCATGAATTTCCGCCAGTGAGGTCATAACAGTGGACAGACGTCCGAAAGGTCCCCGCCATTGAGACACCTATGAAGGCCTGATTGGACGACATGACGGACACGAGAACACTGTCTGCTGGTTGCGCATGGTACCTTTTTCTTGACCGTCACTGACGCGTCAATGATCGCGACTTTAACCGTTTCATCGGGCTTCTGCCAACGGCGTTAGGGGCTAGACCCCAAACCATCCCACGTCGCCGTGGCTAGCTCAGACTACCTGATGGGGCGTACCGACTGTGCCGGTCGTAGTAGGTTGGTTCTGTCGCTTTAGAACTTCCAGACGCATCCTTGGTGTTGGAGGCGTTGTCACTTGAAGATTCCTTGCGCCAGCTTGGGCGAACTAATGACATGATGACATACTGTGTGCTGTCTTTCCGAGCTCGTTCCGATCGGATCGGATCGGTGAAAGTGCCGACTCCTCTTCCGATTGCCGAGTGGCAAGCCTCAACACCATCTTTGACCCTTTATGCTCAACATCATCTCCCTTGACAATCACTGCGAAGTCCTTCAAGATTTTGCTGCCATTTCTTCGTCGATGGCTTTGTTGGCACAGCCACGTCGTCCGAGGTAGTTCTGGGCAATGGCTGGCTCACTGATCCTCAAGCAACACCACCCTGTAATCAAATTGATGCCCTGTGTGTCGGCATCTTCAGGATCGTATCTTTCACGGGACAATTGAGTGCGCTCTCGGCCTCTCCCAGCTATCGTGACAGACAGGACCTAGGTACCCCGCATTGCCATTGCGGGGTGATTGACCGCGGGCTTACCAAGTTAGGCATGCCGTGATGCTGCTTGTACGGCGGACGCGCACCTAACCAGTCAAGAAACCCAAGACGATAGACTGGCGGGAGACCGGAAGGATGTTCGCGAGAACTCGAGGCTGGAATCAGCCAGTATAGACGTAGCTGATTTGTTGGCGCATGTATTTCCACAGTACTTTATCCTCCTCTTCAGCCAAGTTCATCTTTCACCTAACATCTCGTGGAGATCGCGATCAAGAACCAGAAAAATGGGAATTCCAGCTCCATCAAGCAAAGAAACAATGAACGCTCTTCGGTTCCATGGCCAGCATGACTTGCGGTTTGAGAAGATCCCAGTACCAGAAGTAAAAGCGGGCCAAGTCAAGGTAAAACCGGCCTGGGTTGGAATTTGCGGGTCTGGTGAGTACAAGTAGACTGAACAACAATACCGCGAGACTGACATTGATATATACCTCCACGAGTACCTGGGTGAGTATATGTATTTTGGGGTTAAAGCGGTCACGTGCTAAGTACCTAGGTGGCCCCAATCTTTGCCCGACTACGCCTCATCCAATCACCGGCGAAACAGTCCCACTTACCTTTGGACATGAGTTCAGCGGAACAGTAGAAGAAGTAAGCGACGGTGTAACAGACTACAAACCCGGCGATCGAGTGGTAATCCAGCCCATCATCTACGATGACACATGCGGTGCGTGTGAGGAAGGCCTACAAAACTGTTGCTGGTCAAATGGATTCATAGGCCTTTCAGGATGGGGTGGTGGACTAGCAGACCACATCGTTGTCCCGACTTCAACTCTCTATCATCTTCCCGACAATGTACCCCTCGAGATCGGCGCTCTTGTGGAACCTCTTGCAGTTGGGTGGCACGCCGTTAAAGTCAGCCCCTACAAGAAAGGCGACGTTGCACTGGTGCTGGGTGGTGGGCCCATTGGTATCTCTACCATTCTAGCATTGAAGGCGAATGGATGCGACAGGATCATTGTATCCGAAGTCAGCAAGAAGCGACAGCTGTTTGCAAGCAAATTCGGGGCCCATTACATCATCGACCCAACCAAGGAAGATCTCGCGACACGATGCCGCGAACTCACCGGGGGAAAAGGCGTACACGTAGTCTACGACTGCGCTGGCGTCCAAGCCGCTCTCAATCAAGCTGTGCATGCAACACGTGCCCGGGGCTGCATCGTCAACATTGCTATCTGGGAAAAGCCTTGCACGATTTTCACCAACGACTTCAACTTCAAGGAGAGGTCTTATATGGGCATTGCGACGTATGAAGTGGGCGACTTCCAAGAGGTCATTGACGCGCTCAGCAGAGGAGACATGGACCCAAAAGACATGATTACGCAGAGGATTCAATTGACTGAAGTAGAAGAGAAGGGGTTCAAGAGTTTGATAAACGACAAAGATAATCAAGTCAAGATTCTGGTCGAGGTTGGCGGAGGGGCTTGATGAGTTTAGCAACGCAGAACTAGGTCGACAGGGATCGTGAGAGAAGTCATGGAGCAGCATAGGGCAAGGAAGCTAATAGGACTCTTAAATGTGATAGTGTGGACTGATCAGGCAGAAGCTGCAATTTTTACGTCCCTTGTAGTTACAGTTCTTCCAATGTCTACGCTGTAGTCAAAACAAAGTACCAAGTCCATATCTTGCCAAATCCAATTTCATTCCCAGGCACTCATTCACGTCCTTTAATTCCTCATCACGGCACAGCGAGCAAATAAGAGTTATCCAATATCGTATCTCGTATTATAATCTTACAGCCCCGTAATGTTTGTCTAAAGACCAAGACGCTGTTAACTCCCACAATGCTTATGCCTGTGCTCATACGTGAAGACCTCATACAAACCGCCACGAAAACTTCCATACTGACGCCTCTAGTGAACAACGCCATATGAAAGACTCTATCAAAACAAGTGAAGTAGTTACATGAAGCATCGCCGATGTATTATGTACCCAGAGTATACCAGGTGATGCGTTTGCGAACGAATTGCTTTTCGGGAAAGCTGGAAGGGGCGAGTTGAAAGCAGGTTCGTGATGGTACAGTTGTAAATCCGGGTCTGGATGTCGACTGCTTCGCGATGTTCTCAATGTCGATATCGTATTGAGCGATGTTTGTGGGTATCGTGTTCAAGTAGCCAACATCATCCTTCGATATCCAGTGCTGTGCGTCGTATCCGCCGCAGATCATCCTGCAGTCCTGTCATATTCATAACAAGGCCAAATAAGATAACCAGGCTCAACATACAACCTCTGGGCTTATGGAGAAGAAGTATGCCATACGGTATCCAAACAACCTCCATGGTCTTCTTTCTTCATCTTGGCGTCCTAGTCCAAGACCTCCATCATCGATGCCTTCTTCTGTTCGTCTTCTACCAGCATGCAGCGAGCCCGGCAGACGTCCTCGACAATATCGACGACCTTGTGGAAGCTGGAAGCCGCGCCGCGAGTCTGGGTGAATCGTGCGAGGCAGAGGTTGGCGCGACGTCCATGTTCGAGTACGACGAAGAGTTCGATGACGAAGGAGACGGGCTTAATCTTCAAGTCTATGAAACCTCACTGTTAGCATATATCGTTTCAAATAGCGGAACGGGATAGAAGAATGTACTTACGGTTGCTCTTGTCGATCCGCGCACTGATGGAGTTTGCCTCACGATCTAACGAGACATCGTGGACGCCGAATCGCTGCCAGTCCCGCAGCAAGCGAACTAGGTCTTGACGGACTTTGCCACGGCCGATCTGGAAGCACAACGTTTTGTTGGCCGGTTTGATGTGCAGGAAGCGCGATAGCCAGTTCATCTGCATCTCAGGTGGTCCAGTACGGACTATATCAGTGCTGCTTTCAGCTCCAAGATCGAAGTTGGAGAGGATGGACGAGGAGCTGTGGTTCATCGCTTTAAAGCTGTCAGTATGTGTTCGCAAATGGATTCCAGCATGCTTACCTCCTAGCTCCATCGATCTCTTGGCCTTTTCTTCCTTGGATTTCTTGCCAAAGAAGGCAAAGAATGCCTTCCGAGCCATTCCATCGCCCTTGGCACCAACTGAGTTAGTGTTGCGTAGAGGGAACTCGCTCCCACTGCTACCTTCCGACTGCTTCTCGTTGTGTTTGGTGTTATCAACATCTTCGAACGGCTCAGGCTCGTTCTTGATACGGTCATCGAGACCTTGCCATGCATCGGGGATTCGAAGTAGTCCATTTGATAGCTTTTTCTTGATCTGATTCTCTTTGTTGTCTTGATCGCGCTCTTTCTCTTCAGTATTGCGACGGAACCACAACGACTTCTTTTTCTTGATGACGGCGATTTGCTTTTCGGGTGCTGGAGGAGCGTCATATGTACGAGCGGCAAGCAGATCGCTCTGTACATTTTGGTACGGCCGAACAGTAGAATTACTGATTGGACCTGGCCAAGTTACAGCAGACGCTTCATCCGTAGTCTTCGTAGACTTTGAGCTTGCTCCACTTCGTTTGCGGATATTCAAAGGCGCGATACGAGTGGGTGACTCATCAACGAGGCGAATCGTCTGTTGATGTTCTATGGCCACGCGACGACCTTGAGGCCTTACGGGGTCAGTGACAACTCGACGATGGGGGACATGGAGCTCAAACCCATCTCCATGGTCATTCTTCACCTCCTCAGGGATCACATGAAGCGGTCCATGCTCCGGGGACTTTGCAGGAGCCGAGACAGCTCGCTTACCGCCATTGACTGTAGGCACCATCAAGCGATCGAGATGCTCAAGGACTTCGTTGAATTGTTCAGTGTTGTCGTCATTCTCGTTGAGTCTTCGGGCAATCTCTTCACGCGTCTCTGCTAGCTTTCGCTGCAAAAAAGTGTTTGGGGTCTCTGAGGGGATCGGAGGTAGTGGTCGTTCCCCAAACATCATTTTAGTGCCCGGTGTAGCACCCATTGTACTACCACCTGAGTCTCGGGTGTTCGAGAAAGAAGTTGGAGGACTATCATATTGGGAAGTGTCGTGGTAGGCATCTGTACCCGAGCGAATGCTGGAGCCCACCGACGAGCGATTGAAGGCTTCCTCCATGACCTTACCAAGCTCCACACTCACTTTACGAGCCTCACACTGGATGTACTTGGTTGGACTCTCATGTTTTCGTATCTTCAATCGGGTTGCTTCCGAAATAAGAGGAATCCTTGACTTGGGGTTTGAACGAACAGTGCCAGTCTTCATAGATGGCCCGTACGAACCGATGGAAGTATGAGGCCTATGAGACATGTAGTCGGCACATGACCCAACTTCGGTTTGCCAACTACTAGTAGTCGCTGCAGATGAACGTCGATCACGAAGATGAGAGAAGCTGACGCCCCGTTTACCCATGCCACTAGAGCGAGCGATAACGGGTGGACTACTAGGCCAATGGGAGCTCGCCAGAGACGATCGCGACACTGAACGCCGCTGGACGGAAATATTACGACGAGAGGGAGAACTCCGGTTTGAAGAGCCACGTGAAAGTGCGGAACTACGCTTAGAGTTGTTACGCAGAGCCTGAATTCGTAAAGAGCTCCCAGTCCGGTGCCCTAATGCTGTAGTAGGACGCAGCTTATCGCTTCGGCTGCTGTATCCACGGTGAACAGTAACATTCTGGTGCAGCTCTGTGTCCTCTGGAATGGGGATGATGGGCTGTCTCGAGGCTCGGTATGGATCGTAGCTAGCTTCAGAGACAGGCGACTCATAGAGGCTGTGCTTCGAATATAGATGTTCGTTGTTCAGAATTGAATAGGCGGACTGAGAGCGCGAGTGCAACTTCGATGGGAGCTCTTCGACATCAAGTTGTGTGGGGGGATGACGGGTGTTATGATGATAGTCGCTGTTGGAATGAGCTACGGCGTGGTGTGCGCTAGGCTGATAGTTCTCTAGCTGGTCGGTGTGGTACTTTCGCAATGCAGAGTAAAAGTACTTCTCGTAGTTTGCTCTGTGGTGCTTGTTAGTGTTTATACTTTGCATCTATGACATAGGTTTTGCTTACTCGTTGCTCATCAACTTCTGGATCAATGCTTCTTCCTTCTCGCTATGCCACAACGTGCGCAGATATCGCAAAATCTCACGATCAATGGCAGTGCGTTCCAGATTTGTCCAATCCTCGACTCCAGGAAATGGCCCGGTCCAATGGTCGAGCTTAGTATTCTCCCCTAAGAAATTCAGCTCCTGCTGATATTTGCGTAGGAAGGGATGATCCCAGATTTCCTCAAGACTTATTCGGCGCTTTGGATCGGCGACCAGGATCCTCTTGATGAGATCTTGTGCCTCTCTAGAGATATTGTCGGGCATGGTATACTTCGCCTCTGCAATATCGCGGAATAGGTGCTTGAGATGTCGATCGTCGCCGGAGTAGTTGAAAGGTGGTGTGCCGGTGAGAAGGACAAACAAGATAACGCCACAGCTCCATACATCTGCCTTTGCGCCATCGTAGGAAATAGTCTTGATAACTTCTGGTGCAGCATAGTGAGGGCTTCCACAAGGTGTGGTAAGCTTCTTGCCCTCAGGCTGTAACGCAGCCATGCCGAAATCGACCAACTTGACAGTCATGGTATCTCTGTCCAGCAGGATGTTCTCGGGCTTGAGGTCTCGATGATGGATGTTGATTCGATGGCAGTATTTTAGGGCTGCGATGATCTGTCGGAAGATGTGCACGGTGTGGATCTCGATTAAACCACCCTGCTCGTGGATGTAGCTGAACAGCTCGCCGCCTTCGACAAACTCCATGATAAGATAGCTAGAGAAGATCAGTCATTGTTTTCAGAATGTTATTTGGGGCTACTTACAGCTCATCTCGATTTTCCCAGATATCGTATAGACGGACAATGTTAGGATGATCCAGCAACTTCATGATGCAGATCTCGCGCTCCAAGCCAAAGGGAATGGCCTTGCCGTCAGAGTATAACGATCCGTCTTGCTCGGCACTTTGGATAAGATTGGCCAGGCTGAGAGCACGCACCTTCTCTGCCGTGGCTTTGGAGATGATCTTTGCTGCGCCATACTGTCCTGTCCCGCTGTGTCTGACAAGCCGTACACGCGAGCAGCCGCCTCGTCCAATAGTCCTGCCCAGCTGCCATGGACCAATATGAGTCTTCCGGCGTCGGTTTGAGATGGAGGCATTGGTGCTGGCGTTGGAAATCTCAGAGTCGCGCTTCGAGTTGTGGGGGCGACCTTCGTGAGCTTGTACGGCGGAAAGACGCTTGTTCTCGGGTGATGCTTGTTCATGGCGAACGGCAAGCGTGCCATTGGGGACTATCGACTCGTTGTGAGGAAGTTGTTGTGTCGCAGAAGACGGCGCATGGTCGTTGTTGTGTTTCTCGTCCCGCCGCTGAGTGCGTGGAATCTCGTTGGCGCGGTTGGTGCCGTCACCCAGTGCGCGTCGACGCGTTGGTGGGCGGCCGTGGTAGGCCGATTCCATGCCGTATGTTTTGATGCGAGCAATTTTCAAAGTGGAGCTCTTTGAGTAGTGCAATTGTGTTGATTATATCAAGTAGGTAGGGTGATGACCAGAATGTACAAGATAAGTAGGGTGAGGGCCCAGGTTAAGGAGACTGATAGTGCAGTGTCGTGGTAGTTGAGGCGGTTGTAGTGGGCGGTGTCAGGCAAATGCCATGACCGGGCTTTGTTTGTGTTGTTGTTGTTTATCGCTGTTGACACTGAAGGCGCTCGACAGTCAACCGCCTGCGAGTCCGTAGACGGCCGGTAAACGAAAGGCGGCTATTTTTGCAATGCCAATTGAGTCTGCTCTCGCTCCAAAAAGCTAACAAGTAGTTGGATGCATACAATGAACCGGTTATGCGAGTGTCGATGTTGGGGAGGTGACGGGCGCTGCGAGGGCAGATTTGTGCACAGACGGACCCTGATGGAAGCGCGATCCACGGCAAACACAACAGCGGCAGGAGCAGGCTCGACTTTGGTAATTATGGGCAGCAACAACCCTTGTGAGAAAGAAAGTGTGCCTTCTCTTTTGTCTAGGTGTGGACAAAAGTTTTTGGGGTTGCAGCGGAGGTGGAATGTGCCAAGCATCGTGGGCGAGAACGACTGTTTGTCATCCCAAACAACGTGAGAAGAATGGGGTTGCCCAGCCAATGACAAAGGAGTCGAGACCATTCTGTCTTCCTTACCTACACGACTACCTTAAGGTTCTAGATGACCAACACTTGTTCTTGCTCCTTTCCGCGCATGCAAAAGGCAATCAGCGTGCCACTACTCGCCGTTATCATTCCACCTGTCTGGAATCTCCTAAACACTAAAACTAAAAGGAACTTAGAATTAAGTATGATTTGAGCGGTCTCGACTGAGATGGAAAGATATTACGACTAGAGAGAAACGTATAGATAGTAAGAGCAGCTATAGAGAATAAGATTACAAAGAGAATTTAATATAATACTATATAGTTAAATTAAGCTACCTACTTTAGAACAACTTACTAGTTGCTCTAGGCACTTAATTATGCGATATTATCTAGGATAAGATGGGATGAAAGCGCATGGTGGTGAGGCGAAGTGAAGGGTGAGGTTCGTCCGCATGGTTGACCACCTCCCGCGTCAAAGCGCCCGCAGGTGCCTTTCCAACGGAACCTGCCGAAGCCCTCTTCCCGAGTACATGGTTCCCTCTGCACCCAACCGACCTGGCACAATAACCTTAACGCCGCGACCGCTCCTTCAGGAACATATTGCATTTACATATACATCATCAGTCCCCAGGGGCTCAAATCACAGCGCACTTCATGCGTTCGTCGACGAATCAAGGAAATAGACAAATGAGTGGTGAGGGTTTGAAATCGATAAATCATATGGTATTTTCGTTCAGAGCAATATTGCAGTACCACCTTTTTGAAAACCCCCGCACGATAGTTGTTTCCTTTGTCTCCTCGAGCAATGCCAACGGCATTGCTGATGCGCTGTGAATAGATTCGCTGCTCCGAGCGGGTGTACCAGTCGCCTCTGAAACATTACACCCGCAGCAAGCTCTCACCTGGCAGTGAGTCTCCGATTCCCAATCCCGAGCCTAGACCTGAAACCTCCCGTTCCGACGAGGCTAAAAAAACGACTCGCATGAAGCACGACCAAAAGCGATGACCAACGCAGACCCCATGCGCATAGTGTACCTGATACAAAAGCCCGGATCCACAGAAGATGACGAAACAAATAATAGGTATCCGCGAGCCCAAGAAAAACGAAACATAACCGGCAGCCCCACGTCAACAGTAGGGGCGCGCGTGAACCCCTGTGACTCCCATACATGTACCAGGGTAATCCAATCAAAAATTGAGAACGTAAAGTGTCGTAGCCAGAATACTTGCAGCGAAGGTAGTATGGTCCCGTAAAATGTATGCGCCGAAACCAGTAACATGCGTAAGAAGGTAAGTAATACATGAGAAGAGAAGTGAAGACAGGAAGCTTCTGTCAGGGTATGCCCAGCGACTGAGCTCTGTATCTCTATTTCGAGTCTTCGGCCTTAGGTGAATGGCTTTCGCGTTTTGTGTCATCGTTCGCGTTGGCCTTGCCACAGCCCTTGACAAGTATGTGTCGCTGTTGTAAATGTTAGTAATCCGTATGGTCGCATAGCGGAACAGGTCAAATGTACCTTGAGCGCATCTTTCCTTGAGAAGCTCTTGTCGCAGTGATTACAAGGAAAAGGCTTGACTGCAAGATGTATCCTCTTGTGTCGCTTCAAGTCGTGATTACGGTTAAAGCTTTGTGGGCACTGGTCGCACTTGAAAGGTCGGTCGTTGGGGGCCGGCTGTTGGTGCTGAGGGTGGCCCATGAAGTGTGGCATTGCTGCAGCATGCCCACTGTTGAAGCCAGGCATCATCGGATGTCCTCCAACGAGTGCAAGCCCTCCGTTTGTGTTCTGGACATTTGAGAAAACAGGTGGTTGTCCACCAGAATACTGAAGAGAGGGTCTTTGCTGATATTGATATGGTGAGTGGGCTGGGTTGTTGGATGGTATCGATGGGATTGAGCCTTGCGAAACGGCTGGTGACATCCTAGGCATCGAGCCACCAGCGCTAATGGGACTTTGTTGCTGGCTCAATGTGGGTGAGGGTCCAGTGGAGTAGGGAAAGTTTGAGTGTTGTGGCGTGCCTGAAGCATGGTAGTTGTATGTTGGTGTTGGTGGTTGAGGTGGCCTGAAGGAATCCTGGCTGAGGGCAGGCGACTGCTGAGGTGCTGAAGAGGAGACAGGTGTCTGCGCACTCATCATTTGTTGATGGTGATGCTGTTGCTGCTGTTGTTGGTGATGATGTTGATGTTGATGTTGATGTTGATGTTGATGTTGTGTGGATATCGAAGGCATACTCGACCCGTTGGACGAAGGCGTAAAAGGTGGCAGTTGTTGGTTCATTTCGTAGGGTGGCGGATTCAGCCCTTTGCCAAGTGAGTCTTGTCGTCCAATCTGGCCATCACTTCGAGGTGGAGCGAACATACCTCCTCGGGCTTGACTATATTGGTTCTGCTGATGATGCGCAGTTGGGTAGCCATAATGTGCCGTCGAAGCTTGTGTTGGTGGAGAGTACATGTACTGTCCGTTGGAGTAGGCCATTGTTGTAGAGTATTGCGCGTTGGTAGTCGATACACCAGATGAGCTTAACAAATCGCCGTGATTTGTGTTTGGTGGTGTCAAGAGATTGCCGACACTGGCAATGGTTGTCGGAGCCTGTGGCGAATGTGATGCGGTGACAGTGTTGGTAAAGGGATATTTGTGCATGGTTGGCGGGGGTAGCTCAAAGCTGCCGAGTTGCTGGGCGTGAGGTCTTCGCGTTGCAAAGCTTGGGGGTGCACCCATTGGGTCGGACCCAGGATGCATGGAAGACGGATGAGCCACGGCAGCAGCCACGTTGGCGGTTGTGTCCCGGGTAGGTCCTAATGACCTACCTGCTTCGGATGAAGGGGGACTTGGGAGTGAATGCAGCTGTGACGCTGCAAATGGCGGAGTGGTGTAGTGGGCACCAGACCAATACAACCCACGTGTAGACTGGGAATCCACGGAGGGCAACGGGGTGGCTCGTAGCTCAAAGGCGTAATGTGAGAGGTAGGGGCTCTAGTCGAGAGGGACAAGGTGATGATGATATGCAGGCAATGGAGGGAAAGGGATCTTGTAAAAGGTCCCCCAAGTACACAAATACCCGCTCGGTCTATGGATTGGCGATGGTGCGGCCGTTCTAGTCTCTCGTCGCGTCAGGCGGCAAAAAGCTGCTCCGAGTCCTTCGAGATGCTGGAATCGAACGAACGGCTCCGGTAATGGTACCTGCGCTGGCTCAGGTGGGCAGTAATACCGACAGACGCACGTCTGACCGTAAGTATTCTAGAAAGTCTCAGTCACTAGGCAATGTCAGTGGTGCTGGACGTCGCAGGTCGAAGAAGGAGGGCGTACAAGAGATCAAAAGCAGGAATTGGTGCAACTGTGGTGACCTTCGACACAGAGTGTTCGGTAGAGCCCGGTTTCCTGGTTGCGCAGACGTGGTGCTACTGAGGCGGTCACACAGGATGTGTGTATGATGGCTTTAGGTCTAACGACAGTGGCCCTTTTGCGATGACCGTGCTGGTGTTGCGGTCCGACAATGATAGCAATGCTCGGGATTGGCTAGACGTAGCTTGCTGGTACTCAATCCACTGGGCTGGGTAGCGGCGTCGATTTCCAGATCAGGATAGAGACAGATGATGTCGTTACAGCTAGCGTTCAACCACGGCGGCGTTGCAAGATCTGGTGTTGTACGTTGACAATACGACCCACTGATGCTTGGGCGGGGGAGAGAGAGCCTTGTGAGGTGTCGATGGTGGAGTTTGAGGCGTGCGGAGCGGCGATCACTCCTTGTTAAGCTCAGGACCTGGGCGCCCTAGAAGAGGCGATGGCGGAGAAGGCTGGATCCTTGAGTGAGCTAAAGGCTTTGTCACCGCGAGCGTGTGGAGAGTGGTGGCCCTCACGTATATGTATGACGGACTACGGTTGCCAGGGTTGTTGGGCTCGCGTGGCTGACTGGCGCACTGGGGCATCTGGAATATCCAAGGGCTCAACCAGGCGATAGGGTCCGTCCAAGCGTTTTGGGGGGATCTGGATCGGGATGGGAGATGAAGAATTAGCACGCGAGCCAGCCTCAGGTGAGCGGACGGGAGCGCTATCCACAGACGCGCTTTGTCACAATAAGGCAACGCAAACGAGGCACGGCAGAAGTAACGCGACGAATGAATAATAAACCCACACCGTTCAGGTCCAGTTTAGAGAGCTAGACAAGCATGGGGCCGCAAGCTTTCAATGCACTTTACAGGGGGTGTGAAGGGCAGCGTAGCCAGACCCTGGCCGCAGGCCATTTGTCGGAGTCTGCTGGCGTGCGGGACGGCTTGGACCAGGACAGTGGAGGAGCTGTCGCTTGCGCCGGCCCGTGGAATAAAAAAGTACAGCCATCATGATTAAGCATGGTGATGACGGGCGACATGGACAGGCAAGCTCGCCGTTCGCCTCTTTGATAACCCTCTTTGATATGACGCGGCGTGGCGCAAATGTTCAAGTTGGGTGGCCAGCCATGCGGCTCTCCTGACCCTTGGTACTTGGGAAAGACAAAAGCATTTCTCAACTTGTCCGTCTCTTGTCGTGCCGCAAGTCTGGGTCAGGAGCCCACGGGCACTCTAACGTGCGTCGGGACTGGCGCCAACAAGACCTGGGAGAGCCTGTTAGCGCACGGGCGCGGTCTGGCCCAAGGAGGGCCGGAGCAAAAGACAAAGCCAAAAATCAAAGACAACCCTTTCCCCCTTTGCCCAAGCTCGCCGTTTGTGAAGGCCAATCGCCGTTACTAGCAGCGCTGATCAAATCGATTGTTTGGTACGACGCATGGAAGCGCTATGAGGTTTTCAGACGAGCGCTTCAGTTGTAGAGCTCATCACGCTGCATTGTCGCGAGCCCCCTCGAGCCCCCAGCGTCAATCACAGGCTCGCGAGAAC